ATACCCCACTGTGGCCCTACAAAGCCATTTGGGGCATGGAATATTGTGGGGAGAGGGGGGATAGAGCAGCCCCGGGGCTGGCTGAGGGGATGGGGAGGTGACAACGTGCCTGTCCCCAGGTTGCCAAGTATGTGTGGCACCGGAGGGACCTGCTGGCGCTCAACCTCAGCCGCGTCGACTTCCTCCTGGGTGAGTCCTGGCACCCAAGGGTGCTCTGGCTTTAACTGGGTGCTGGGGGGAGGCACCCCTGGCCTGGCCTGTGGTGCTGGGGCAGCTGGAGTGGCCAGCCAAGGATGCTGCTGCCTTCAAGGGATGCTGGTGCCCCCCAAGATGCTGGTACCCCAAAGGGATGCTTTTACCCCCAAGATGCTGGTACCCCAAAGGGATGCTTTTAGGCCCGAGATGCTGGTACACCACCCTGAGATGCTGGTACCTGCTGAACATGTTGGTACCTTCCCCTGGGGATGCTGGTACCCCCTAAACATTTTGATACCTTCCCCTGGGGATGCTGGTACCCCCTAAACATGTTGGTACCTTCCCCTGGGGATGCTGGTACCCCAAAGGGATGCTGTTACGCCCCCAGGGATGCTGATACCCCTCCCTGTGGATGCAGGCTGGTTTTGGGAGCCCATGGCACAATTCCCCAGCCCGGGATGCAGGGTTCAGCTGGGCTGGAGGAAGGAAGGGCTGGGAGCATCCCCCGGCTCCTATCTAAGCATTGGGGATCCGGTAGCTTGAGCCAGGAGAAGCAGTCGGTGCTGCTGGATCTGTGTGTCCTGTCCCCTGCCTTTTTTTGTTTACTGGTGGGGGAAGGATGTGCCCAGCAGTGTCATTGTCCCCAGGCCTCTTTGAGCCGGGTGACATGGTGTACGAGCTGGACAGGAACAATGAGACGGATCCGTCCCTCACCGAGATGGTGGCTGTAGCCATCAGGATGCTCCAGAAAAACCCCCGGGGGTTCTTCCTCCTGGTTGAAGGTGGGACAGGGGGAATATGGGGATGCAAAGGGGAGTGGAGGGGATGTGGGAGTCAAAAGGAGGGTGGTGGGGATGCAAAGAGATGGGGATAAAGGGGGTGGTGGGGGGATAAAGGGGGATGCAAAGTGGGGAATAAAGTGGGAAATAAGAGGGGTGATGGAGGATAAAGGAAGAGGGGTAATATTCAGGGGGGATTAAAGGAAATGCAAAGGGGGAATAAAGGAGGCACAAAGAGGGACATAAACAGTGAGATAATGGGGACCATGGAGATGTCAAGGCGGGGATAAAGGGAGTGATGGGGGAATAAAGTGGGGAATAAAGGGACAGTGAAGGATGAAAAGGGGGAGATAAAAGGGGGGATGGGGGATGCAAAAAGCATGATAAGCAGGCAATGAGGGATGTCAAGGGGGTGATAGGGGGATGCATAGGTAGGATAAAGGGGGTTATGAGGGCTGTCAAAGGGGGATGGAGGGCGATGCTGAGCCGTGCCGGGTACCGCAGGAGGCCGCATCGACCACGGGCACCACGAGGGGAAGGCAAAGCAGGCGCTGCACGAGGCGGTGGAGCTGGACCGGGCCATCGGGCTGGCCACTCGCCTCACGTCGGTGCAGGACACGCTCAGCGTGGTCACCGCCGACCACTCGCACGTCTTCACCTTCGGCGGCTACACCCCGCGAGGGAACCCCATCTTCGGTGAGTCCGTGGTGGGCACGGGGTGAGGAGACACCACAGGGACAACGCGGGGATGTCCCCATCGCGCTGATGGTGCCGCCACCGGCAGGTCTGGCTCCGATGCAGAGCGACGTGGACCGCAAACCGTTCACCTCCATCCTCTACGGCAACGGCCCCGGCTATAAGATAGTGGCAGGGGAGCGCGAAAACGTCTCCGCTGTGGATTTCGGTGAGTGGGTTTTGGGGCAAAACCCCCTGAAATCATAACAACCTGGGTAAATCAGTGCCTTTCACTGCTTATACTGATCTGGGGCTATCTTTTACCCCAGCGCACGCTGACTACCAGGCGCAATCAGCCGTGCCCCTGCGCCAGGAGACCCACGGCGGGGAGGACGTGGCCGTCTTCGCCCGCGGCCCCATGGCCCATCTCCTGCACGGCGTCCACGAGCAGAACTACATCCCCCACGCCATGGCTTACGCCGCCTGCATCGGCTCCAACCGAGCCCACTGCAACGCTGCCGTCCGCCCCGGTGCCTCCGTGCTGCTGCCCTTCCTCGCTCTTCTCTTCCTCCTCTGCTAAAGTGCCTCTTGCAAAGCACCGAAGGGGTGTGTGTGCGAGGGGGGATTTATTTTTAATTCCTGCCTCCCTCCTCCCTTCTCTTTGGGTTTTTGTGGATGGCAGCGCCCGGGAAAGAGGAGAGCAAAAAAGAAAGACTCAGCGGAGCAAAAAAGCAGCCGCCGGCGGTTTCGTGCTGGGAGCTGCCTCTGTAAATACACGGTTCCTGCCCCTGTAATTAGCATCCTTGCCTGCCCTATCCCGATCCCACCGCGGGATTTGGGATGAGAGCCGGAGCCTCAGCGGATAAAACCCCCCTCTTTGAGCCAGACGCAGTGGGGCCGGGTCCCACATCGCTGCCCGGTGCCTTGGCTGAGGACTGAACCCAACTCACCACGTGTGTGGCGACCCCGAAACCACACGAAGATGGGAAAAAAGATTAACTCCCCGGGTTCATTTGTCCCCAAAAGTTGGGCTTTTTTTTTTGTGCCTTCTGCGTGATTGATTCCGCTTTAAAAGCCTTCGGTTTGAAACAATGCGCTGCCCCGGGAGGGATTTGGGGTGGGAACTGCAGGGAGAGGGGAGTTAAGGGGTGGTTGGTACCCACTGAGAGGGGGAATGAGGCGGGGGAGAACTGAGGCTGAAGAGGGGGCCCTGGCTGTGCCAATGGTGCTCTGAGTGTGCAAGCGCTGAGCCTCAGGGGTGCTTTGCACGTGTAAACGCCGTTGTTCGCGTGCAAGGGATGCTCTGTAGGGGCAGTGCCACCGGGGGTGCATGTGAGGACGTGCACACGAGCAGCCCCCCTGCACACCCCCAGCTGCATCCTGCGTGTGCAGCACCCCTAAACTCCCCATAGAGTACCCCGAACCCCCCATGAGCACCCCCAAACCTCCCCTGAGCGCTCCCCCCCCCCCTTTATATTTATTTACCAGCTTTATAAATAAATCCCTGCTCCGGTTTCCCATTAACCAGAAGGCTCTGGAGCAGGCGCTGGCCTGGATTGGGGGGGGGGGGGGGATGCTGTTGGGACACCCCCACTTCTCCCGGCGCCCTTCGCACCCACAGCGGCGGCATTCCCGACCGCGGCACAACCGCTTCCCAGCCCCCGGCTATGTTTAACCGGTTTTGGGGGGTTCGGGGCTGGGGGAGGCGGGGGGGGGGAACCGCTTTTCCTTGGCCGGGGGTTTGGAATGGTGCCGGTGGCCACCGGCCAAAGGCGGCTCCCGACGCCGGGGTGGCCGCGGAGCCAAAGAGAGGGGTTGGATGGGTGGTTTATGGGGGGGGGGGGGTGATGGAGGCGTGCTTTGCCGTGCTTTGGGGTACCCACAGCCTCCCCCCTCCTAGATAGCGGTAACTCGGAGGTAGGCTTTGCTCAGCCAAAGCCCCGAATTTGGGTAAATAACTCCCCAAAATGGGTGAATAACGCCCCAAAAATGTGTAAATAACCTTCCCAAAGTGATTGAATAACCCCCCAAAATGGGTGAATAACCTCCAAAATGGATAACCCCCCAAATGGCTAACTAAAACCCCAAAAATGGATAAATAACCCCCGAAAATGGATACATACCCCCCAAAATGAATACCCCCCCAAATGATTGAATAACCCCCCAAAATGGGTGAATAACCTCCAAAATGGATAACCCCCCCAAATGGCTAAATAACACCCCAAAAATGGATAAATAACCCCCAAAATGGATACATACCCCCCAAAATGAATACCCCCTCCAAATGATTGAATAACCCCCCAAAATGGGTGAATAACCTCCAAAATGAATAACCCCCCCAAATGGCTAAATAACACCCCAAAAATGGATAAATACCCCCCAAAATGGATACATACCCCCCAAAATGAATACCCCCTCCAAATGATTGAATAACCCCCCAAAATGGGTGAATAACCTCCAAAATGGATACCCCCAAAATGGCTAAATAACATACCAAACATGGATAACCACCCTAAAAAGAGTAACGCCCCAAAATGGGTGAATAAGGCCCCAAAAATGGCTAAATATCCCCCCGAATATGGATAAATAACCACCCTAAAAAGGGTGAATGATGCCCCAAAATGGGTGAATAACGCCCCAAAGATGGGTACATAACCTTCCCAAAATGATTGAATAACCCCCCCAAACGGGTGAACAGCCTCCAAAATGTATAACCCCCAAAATGGCTAAATAACACCCCCAAAATGGATAAATAACCCCCCAAAATGAGTGAATGATGCCCCAAAGTTGGTGAATTAGCCCCCAAATAATGGGTACATAACCCCCCCAAAATGGATACATACCCCCCAAAAATGAATAAATAACGTCCCCAAAATGATTGAATAACCCCCAAAATGGGTGAATAACCTCCATAATGGATAACCCCAAAAATGGCTAAATAACTCCCCAAAATGGGTAAATTTGGGTGATTTCAAGAGCACCAGCTCTGATGTGTGAGGTTTTGTGACCCCCCCCCCATTGCCCCGCAGCCATAGCGATAAATAAACCTTTATTTTATACAGGACTCACAGGAAACACAAACACGATTTGGGGGGGGGGGCTTGAAAAAATAATCCCCTCCCCCCCCCCCCCCCCCCCCCCCCCCCCCCCCCCCCCCCCCCCCCCCCATTCCAGCATCTGACCCATTCCGGAGCTTTTTTCCCTTAAAATAAAGGGGGGGGGGGGGGGGATGGGGGGACAGGGGGATTCCCCACTTTGGGTTTACCCTGGATCTGAGCCCCCATTTTCCTTAGGGAGGGGGTGATGCTCGGGTCGGACCCGCTTTTCATTTTGGGGTGACAGCAAGGGGGGGACTTCATGGTCCATCACGACCCCCCCAGGGGGATTTGGGGTGATGGAGATTGTCTGGAGGGTGGGGACACCCCCATTTTTGGGGGTGTCCCCCCATATCCTACATTGGGGACGATGGCTTCAGCTCCTGGCACATGGGGGGGTTGACACCCCCTCAGGGATTGGGGGGGTTAACTACGAGCCCTGTGCAAACGGACATCAATGGGTGCACCCCAATATAGGTGTCCCCATACTGGGGTGCACTGTGGGGGGGGTGGGAGGAGTCACAGCCTCACCGGATGAGGGGGGGGCCGCTCCAGCTGGATTTTGATCTCGGGGCAGGGGGACTCAGGGGGACGTCGGCCTGGAGAGGGGGGGGAGATGTAGGGGGGGGGGGGACACACATGAGTTGGGGTCTCCCCCCCCACTAAAGCCCCGCAGTGCCCTGACGCCCCGGTGATGGGCTACCTGTGGGGGTGCCGGGGGGCTCATCCGGCCACGGGGTGTCGGTGAAGGCGTCGCGGTGGGTCCCCGAGGGGGAGCGGTTCTCCTAAGGATGCACGGGAGGGGGTGCTCAGGGGGATGCTGGGTGTCGTGTCCGCCCCCCCCCTTCCGCATCCCAGCACCCGTGATCCCCCCCCCCGCCCCCCGGCACCCCGGTACCCGTCCCGGCTCGCTCGGCTCCTCGGGGGCGCTGCCGAAGCTGCTGCCGCTGGAGGAGGAGCGGGAGAAATCCGGCGGCTCCGGCTTCTCCCTGCGGAGGGACCGGTCCCAGCCGTGGGCAGAGGCTGGCACCGCGCCTGGGGCCACCGCCACCACCCGGCCCCGAGTCACCCTGTCCTTGGGATGTGCCCTCCCTGCGCTGCCTTTGTCTCCGCACCACCCCATCCCCGGCGTAACCCATCCCTGTGCCGTCTCGTCCCCACGCCGTCCCATTGCTGGGGTGTCCCATCCCCGGGTCACTCTGTCCATGGAGTGTCCCATCCTGTGCTCCTCATCCCCCTGCCATCCCATCCCTCAGATGTCCCATCCCATCACTTAGATACATCATTCCCATGCCATCCCATCCCTCAGATATCTCATTCCCATGCCATCCCATCCCTTAGATACATCATTCCCATGCTATCCCATCGCTGGGATGTCCCATCCCTGTGTCACTCTGTCTATGGAGTGTTCCATCCCACTGCCCCTCATCCCCCTTCCCATCCCATGCCATCCCATCCTTCAGATATCCCATCCCTCAGAAATCCCGTGCCCATGCCATCCTACCCCTCAGATATCTCATCCCCATGACTTCCCATCCCTCAGATATCTCATTCCCACGCCATCCCAACCGTCAGATATCCCATCCCCACGCCATCCCAACCCTCAGATATCCCATCCCCATGCCATCCCCACCCTCAGATATCCCATCCCCACGCCATCCCAACCCTCAGATATCCCATCCCCATGCCATCCCATCCCTCAGATATCCCATTCCCATGCCATCCCATCCCTCAGATATCCCATTCCCATGCCATCCCAACCCTCAGATATCCCATTCCCATGCCATCCCAACCCTCAGATATCCCATTCCCATGCCATCCCATCCCATCCCCATGTCCCACACCACCACACCAATGTGTCCCCACGCCACCCCCCCCGTGCCACCTCCCCTCCACACCACCCTGTGCCCAGGCCACCCAAGTGCCACTCCATCCCTGTGCCACCCACCCCACCGCTCCCACTTGTCCAGCTCACTGATACCTTGTCCCTGTGCCACCCCGTCCCTGTGCTATCCCACATTGTCCTGTCCGTACCACCAGGTAGGTGCCACCTTGTCCCAGTGTCATTCCATCCCTGTGTCACCCTGTCCATCCACCTGCTGCTCCATCCCAGTGCCCTCCAGTCCCCATGTCACCTCATCCCCTTGCCACCCCATCCCAGTGCCAGCTCCCTGTCACTGCATCCCTGTGCCACCCCGTGTTCTGTCCCAGCCCAATGCCCTCCAGTGCCACCCTGGCCCATTGCATCCCTGTGTTACCCCACACCAGTACCACCACATCCCCGTGCCACCACGTCCCACTGCCACCCTGTCCTTGCACTGCCCCATCCCATTGCCCTCCAGTCCCCATGGCACCCTGACGTCACTGTCCCCATGTCACTTCAACCCAGTGCCTCTATGGCCTATTGCATCCCAGTGCCACACCATCCCAGTGCCCACCAGTCCCTGTGTCACCCCACTCTGTGTCACCCTGTCCCTGTCACCCCATCCCTATACCACACAATCCCATATCGCTCCTCCCCATGTCACCCTGTCCCATGTCACCCGATCCCCACGTCACCCCATCCTGTGTCACCCCAACCTTACGTCACCCCATCCTTGCATCACCCCAACCATGTGTGTCCCCAACCCTGTGTCACCCTGTCCCCATGTCACCCATCCCTGTCACCTCTTCCCCTGTCACCCCATCCCCTGTCACCCCAACCTTATGTCACCCCAACCCTGAGTCACCTCGTCCTTGTGTCACTCTGTCCTCATGTCACCCATCCCATGTCACCCCACCCCTGTGTCACCCCTTCCCTGTGTCACCCATCCCCTGTCACCCATCCTGTGTCACCCCAACCTTATGTCACCCCAACCCTGAGTCACCTCGTCCTTGTGTCACCCCATCCCCATGTCACCCCACCCCTGTGTCACCTCTTCCCCTGTCACCCCATCCCCTGTCACCCCAACCTTATGTCACCCCAACCCTGAGTCACCTCATCCTTGTGTCACTCTGTCCTCATGTCACCCATCCCATGTCACCCCACCCCTGTGTCACCCCTTTCCCTGTCACCCATCCCGTGTCACCCCATCCCCTGTCACCCATTCTGTGTCACCCCAACCTTATGTCACCTCAACCGAGTCACCTCGTCTTTGTGTCACCCCATCCCCATGTCACCCCACCCCTGTGTCACCCCTTCCCCTGTCACCCATCCCCTGTCACCCCAACCTTATGTCACCCCAACTGAGTCACCTCGTCTTTGTGTCACCCCATCCCAATGTCACCCCACCCCCATGTCACCCCACCCCTGTGTCACCCCTTCCCCTGTCACCCATCCCCTGTCACCCCATCCCCTGTCACCCCAACCTTATGTCACCCCAACCCTGAGTCACCTCGTCCTTGTGTCACCCCGTCCCCATGTCACCCATCCCATGTTACCCCATCCCATGTCACCCATCCCATGTCACCCATCCCGTGTCACCCCATCCCATGTCACCCCATTCTGTGTCACCCCAACCTTATGTCACCCCAACCCTGAGTCACCTCATCCTTGTGTCACCCCGTCCCCATGTCACCCCACCCCTGTGTCACCCCTTCCCCTGTCACCCCTTCCCCTGTCACCCATCCCGTGTCACCCCATCCCCTGTCACCCCATTCTGTGTCACCCCAACCTTATGTCACCCCAACCCTGAGTCACCTCGTCCTTGTGTCACCCCCTCCCCATGTCACCCATCCCGTGTCACCCCATCCCGTGTCACCCATCCCGTGTCACCCATCCCGTGTCACCCATCCCATGTCACCCATCCCATGTCACCCATCCCGTGCCACCCCCTCCCCGCGTCCCGTCCCGGTGCGGGACCTGTCCTGGTGCCGCTGGCTCTCGGGGGAGCTGTGCGCGGAGCCGGTGCCCTCGGGGGTGGCGGCGGGGCCGTCCCTGTGCGGAGGAGGGGGCGGGCACTGGGGTGACACCGGGAGGGGACAGCGGCCGCCCCGCCCCTCTCCCTCTCCGGTACCGGCGCTCACCTGCCGGCCGGCGCCTCCTGGATGCTCTCGATGCCGATGGCGCTGGAGCGGCGGGAGCCGAGCGGGCCGGGCCGCCGCCGCGAGGGGCTCTTCCCGGGCACCAGCAGCGCCTGCGGGGCGCCGTTAACCGGGACCGGGTGTCGGGATGGGGGGGGGGGGCACCCATGGGGAGGGGGGAGCACCGCGGTACCCACCTCTTCCACCGAGCCCAGCCCGATGGCGCTGCCGCGGCGTCCGCGCCGGCTCCCGGGCACCAGCAGCGACTGCGGGGGGGCAGCGGGTGAGAGACCGGCACCGGGCACCGGGAGGGGCGGGGCTACACTGGAGGGGCGGGGCCACACGGGAGGGGCGGGGCCACACGGGAGGGGCGGGGCTTGAGAGTGGGGCCGCTGATCTGCGAGGCGCGGGAATAACCCCCTGGGGGGCGTGGCCTGAGATGGGAGGGGCGGGTCCAGAGCGGTGCGGGGGGGGGGGGGCGTGGCTTCGCCAGGCTCCCGCAAGCTGATTGGCTGAGGGAGAGGTGGGCGTGGCCAAGGCGCAGGGGGCGGGGCTCTCCTCGGGGTCCCCGGTGCCGGTCCCCCCGCGCCGCACCTTGAAGGACTCGAAGAAGCCCGGCGCGGCCGCGCCGTTGTCCGCACGCTCGTCCTCGGGGCCCAGCCCCAGCATGGCCTGGCTGCGGGCCTGCAGCTCCTCGTGCAGCGTCTCCAGCAGCGCCGCCCGCGTCCGCTCCTGCGCACCCGCACCGCTGGGAACACCCACAGGGAGAGACCCCCGCGAGGGAGACACCCACCCCACCCCACCCCCGTGCCCGTCCGCACACTGCCCATGGCACCCATGTGCACAGCACCCACAGCATCCATGGGCACATCATCTATGGCACCCATGTGCACAGCACACACAGTATCTATGTGCACATCATCTATGGCACCCATGTGCACAGCACCCACAGTATCTATGTGCACATCATCTATGGCACCCATGTGCACAGCACCCACAGTATCTATGTGCACATCATCTATGGCACCCATGTGCACAGCACACACAGTATCTATGTGCACATCATCTATGGCACCCATGTGCACAGCACCCACAGCATCCATGGGCACAGCACACACAGCACCCATGTGCACAGCACACACAGCACCCATGTGCACATCATCCATGGCACTCAGTGTGCACAGCACCCACAGCATCCATGGGCACAGCACCCACAGCATCCATGTGCACAGCACACACAGCATCCATGTGCACAGCACCCACAGCATCCATGTGCACAGCACACACAGCACCCATGTGCACAGCACCCACAGCATCCATGGGCACAGCACCCATGGCACCCATGTGCACAGCACCCACAGCACACATGTGCACATCATCCATGGCACTCAGTGTGCACAGCACCCACAGCACCCATGTGCACATCATCCATGGCACCCACTGTGCATAGCACCCACAGCACCCATGTGCACAGCATCCATAGCACCCATGTGCACATCATCCATGACACCCAGTGCGCGCAGCACCCATAGCACCCAGTGTGCACAGCACCCACAGCACCCAGTGTACACAGCATGCATAGCACCCGTATGCACAGCACCCATAGCACCCATGTGCACATCATCCATGGCACCCAGTGTGCGCAGCACCCACATCACTCAGTGTGCACAGTACCCATAGCATCCAGTGTGCACAGCACCCACAGCACCCATGTGCACAGCACCCACAGTACCCACTGTGCACATCATCCATGGCACCCAGTGTACACAGCACCCACAGTATCTATGTACACAGCACCCATAGCACCCATGTGCACATCATCCATGGCACCCAGTGTGCGCAGCACCCACATCACTCAGTGTGCACAGTACCCATAGCATCCAGTGTGCACAGCACCCACAGCACCCATGTGCACAGCACCCACAGTACCCACTGTGCACATCATCCATGGCACCCAGTGTACACAGCACCCACAGTATCTATGTACACAGCACCCATAGCTCCCAGTGTACACAGCACCAATAGTACCCCTGTGCACAGCACCCATAGCACCCATGTGCACATCATCCATGGCACCCCAGTGTACACAGCACCCACAGTATCTGTGTGCACAGCAGCCATAGCTCCCAGTGTACACAGCACCCATAGCACCCATGTGCACAGCATCCACAGCACCCAGTGTACACAACATCCACAGCACCCACAAGCACCTAGTGTACACAGTACCCATGCGCACCGGACCTACTGCTTCAGCAGCACCCAGTATACACTACACCGACAGCACCCATGTGCACACGGCACCCACAGCACCCATGTGCACAGCAGCCACGCACACATCATCCATAGCACCCAGTGTATGCAGCACCCACAAGCACCTAGAACACAGTGTACAGTACAGTGCACAGTCCCCATGTGCACTGGACCTGCAGCTTCCACAGCGTACACAGCACCCATGTGCATGCTTACATGACACCCACTTCCAGGCACAGCACCCACATCCTTAGCACCCAGATCTGTGGAACTGGGTGCTGTGCCTGCAGTGGGACCCTTGAGTGCCGGGCACAACGTGGGTGCTGTGGCTGCAAGGGGCACCCTCATCCACAGCCCCACTGAGTGCCCAGCACCCACATATTGTACCCAGCACCCATGGGTGCCACCGCAGCCCCCCAGCACCCACACGTCACCCACCTCCAGCTTGGCGAACTTCTCCGCCTTGTAGCAGGCGTACTCGGCATTGATGAGCTTCGTGAGCAGGAACTCCTGGAACTCAGGGCCCTGTGGGGCAAGGGGCAGCCCTTGGGTGGGTGCCACCCTTGCCCCCCCCCCCCCCATACAGCACCCATGGGTGCTCACCTTCCTGAACACAGCGGGGTCGGGCAGCGGCGGCCCGAAGAAGGGGACATCATCACGGGCAGTGACGGAGACCTGCGGCAGGGAGGGGGTGATGGGGGCACCCAATGCACCCAGCGCCCCATGGAGGGGGAAGGGGGGGGGGGTGCACCCACTGGGTCGGGGGTGGCACCTTGTAGAGGGGCCCCTGGTCGCTGCCCTGCTCCAGCTGCACCACGACGAAGGCGTGCAGGAAGTTGGAGGCGATCATGTCCGGCACGAAGGGGGTGTTCTCGTCCTGGAACACCACGGCCACGATGTCGTTGCCGATGTGGCGCTTGCGCTGCAGCTGAGGGGACATCGGGGGGCGTCGGGGGGTCAGGGAGGGACAGGGAGGGTGGAGGGGACAGGGGCAAAGGGAATGGCAGCCGCTGCGCCAGATGGGTGCCCAACAGCGCCCGTGGGTGACCATGGGGCTTCGGTATCCCATAGGCGTTCCCCAGCATCCATGGGTGCTCTGCCATCCCCCTGTATGCCATAGATAGCATGGATATCCCCCCAGCACCCATGGGTGACCATGGAGCTTTGGTATCCCATAGGCATTCCCCACCACCCTTGGGTGCTCTGCCATCACCCTGTACACCATAGATAGCATGGATATCCCCCCAGCACCCATGGGTGACCATGGATCTTCGGTATCCCATAGGCATTCCCCACCACCCTTGGGTGCTCTGCCATCACCCTGTACACCATAGATAGCATAGTTAGCTCCCCAGCACCCATGGGTGACCATGGAGCTTCAGTATCCCATAGGCATTCCCCAGCACTCATGGGTGCTCTGCCATCACCCTGTACACCATAGATAGCATGGATATCCCCCCCAGCAGCCATGGGTGCTCTGCCATCCCCTGTATGCCATAGATAGCATGGATATCCCCCCAGCACCCATGGGTGACCATGGAGCTTCGGTATCCCATAGGCATTCCCCACCACCCATGGGTGCTCTGCCATCCCCCTGTATGCCATAGATAGCATAGGTATCTCCCCAGCAGCCATGGGTGACCATGGAGCTTCGGTATCCCATAGGCATTCCCCACCACCCATGGGTGCTCTGCCATCCCCCTGTATGCCATAGATAGCATGGATATCCCCCCAGCACCCATGGGTGACCATGGAGCTTCGGTATCCCATAGGCATTCCCCAGCACTCATGGGTGCTCTGCCATCCCCCCGTATGCCATAGATAGCATGGATATCCCCCCAGCACCCATGGGTGACCATGGAGCTTCGGTATCCCATAGGCATTCCCCACCACCTTTGGGTGCTCTGCCATCCCCCTGTATGCCATAGATAGCATAGGTATCTCCCCAGCAGCCATGGGTGACCATGGAGCCTCGGTATTCCATAGGCATTCCCCACCACCCATGGGTGCTCTGCCATCCCCCTGTATGCCATAGATAGCATGGATATCCCCCCCACCACCCATGGGTGCTCTGCCATCCCCCTGTATGCCATAGATAGCATGGATATCCCCCCCAGCAGCCATGGGTGCTCTGCCATCCCCCTGTATGCCATAGATAGCATAGGTATCTCCCCAGCAGCCATGGGTGACCATGGATCTTCGGCAGCCCATAGACATCCCCCCAGCACCCATGGGTGCTCTGCCAGTGTCTGCATCCCAAAGATGCTCCCCACCATCCATGGATGGCAATGGAACTTTGACATCCTCTAGACATACAGACATCCCTCCAGCACCCAAGGATGCCCACAGAGGTTTGGCATCTCATAGACATTCCCCAGCACCTACGGGTGCTCTGCCAGTCTCTGCATCCCATAGATGCTCCCCCATCATCTGTGGGTGACCATGGAACTTTGACATCCCATAGACACCCCCCAGCACCCATGGGTGTATTGCTAGCCCTTCTGCTCCATAGATGCTCAATAGCACCCAAGGGTGCTGTACCAGCCACTGTGCCCTGTAGATGCCCCCCAGCACCCATGGATGCCCATGGAGCTTTTCTGTCTCATTGACACCCCCCCTAGCACCCGTGGGTGCTCTGCCTCCCATAGATGTACCCCCGTGCACCCATGGGTGTACTGCTAGCCCTCCTGTCCCACATATGCTCCCCAGCACCCATGGGTTCCCCAGACACCCCTGCACTCCATGGTCACCCCCATAGCACCCATAGGTGTCCCACCACCCCTTCCACCTCATGGGGGCACCCTAGAACCCCCTGTACCTCCATCCCCCCCCAGCACCCATGGGTGCCCCACCTGCTGCGCATCCCCCTCGGTGTAGGGCAGCTTGGTGGAGACGTGGAACATGATCTCCTTGTCTCGGAAGTGGCAGTAGATGGACTCGCTGCCCGTCTGCCCATGGGTCACATCCAGCCCCCCCCGGAACCTGTGCACAGAGGGGGACACCCTGAGCCCGGCAGCACCCATGGGTGCGCTCCCCCCGCCCCCAGCACCCAGCGCCCCATCACGCACCCCTTGAAGTCTCGGAGCTGCACCCGCTGCCCCAGCACGTCCAGGAACTCGGTGAAGGCCGGGCTCTCCTCCGTGGTGCCAAAGAGCTCCTCCTCGGACGTCTGCGGTGGGGAGGAGGGTGGGTGCACCCCAGCACCCACAATGGGACCCCCCCCCCCATCCCGACCCCCCCACCCCGTACCTGCCCCAGCTTCTGGTAGATGACCCCAAATTTGAAGTGGTTGCTGAGCACGTGCTCGTCGAAGGCGAGGATGAGGCGGGAAGCCTGCGGGAGCATGGGGAGGGTGGGTGGGGGGCACCCATGGGTGCCCATGGGCGGCCCCGGCCTCACGCCCCTCTCACCTTGGGATAGAGCACGGGGTAGAAGCGATCCACGTTGACGTCCTCGCACACCAGCTGCGGGACGGATGTGGGGTGAGATGGGTGACCCAGGGTTAGGGGGGCACCCATGGGTGCTGCTGGAGGTGAGGCAGTGGCACCCACCTTGGCCATCTGCACCACGTTGGGGAACTCAGCTAGACAGGAGATGGGCACCACGTCGTGCAGGGTGCGGGTACGGGTGCTGTGGGGTGAGGAGGTGGTCAGGGTGGTCCCCTACCTGGAGGCAGCACCCATGGGTGCCCCCCAGGGCCCCTGCTCACCGCAGCAGCAGATGGAGGTGCTCCTGCTCATCGTACTTGAGGGAGAAGACGAGGTGGCCCAGTGCTGGGTCCAGGGAGTAGTAGTTGAAGTGCTCCTGTGGGGAGGGGGCCGAGCACCCATGGCTGCGCCAATGGGTGCTCACACTGGGAGGCACCCATGCCCATGAGCACCAATGTCCATGAGCACCCATGACCATGAGCACCAATGTCCATGAGCACCCACGATCATGAGCAACAATGCCCATGAGCACCCATGCCCATGAACACCCAATGTCCATGAACACCAATGCCCATGAGCACCCATGCTCTTGGAGCACCCATGCCCATGAGCACCCCATGCCCATGAGCACCCATGCCCATGAGCAGCAATGTCCATGAGCACCCACACCCATGAACACCCACACCCATGAACACCCCACGCCCATGAACACCAACGTCCATGAACACCTATGCCATGAGCACCCCATGCCCATGAACACCAATGTCCATGAGCACCCATGCCCTTGGGGCACCCATGTCTATGAGCACCAATGTCATGAGCAACTACACCTATGGGCACTCATACCCATGGGGCACCTTTGGGATGCTAAAGGCCTGTAGGTTCCCCATGCCCATGGACACTCATGTCTATGAGCACCCATGCCATGAGGCACCCAGGTCCCTGAGCACCCATAACCCTGAGCACTCATCACCCCAGGGCACCCAGGTCCATCAGCACTCATGGGCTTACATGCACTGAGCCACCCATACCCATGAGCACCCATGTTATGGGGCACCCAGGTTCCTGAGCACCCCTACCCATGGGCACCCATACTTATGGAGCCCCCATGCCCATGCCATGAGCATCTATACCCATGTGGCTCGCATGCCCATAGATATCCACACCCACAGGTCCCCCATGTCCATGAGCACCCATATACATGAGCATACTGGTCACGGGGCACCCATGTCATGGGGCACCCATGTCCATGAAAACCCATGCCCAAAGTTATCCACACCCATGAGTCAACCTTGTTCATGAGCACCCATGTGCATGAGCACCCTGCTCATGGGACACCCAGGTCCATAAGCACCCATGTCATAGGCCATCGTTGCCCATGGGCACCTATCTGCATGAGCACCCATGCTTATGAGGTCTTCATGCCCAAGCCCACCCATAGCCACAGAGCACCCATGGAGCACCCATGGAGCACCCACAGAGCCTCACCTTGCCCAGGAAGTGCTTGCGGTAGATTTTGGCTGTGTGGTTCCCCTCCAGCTTTGCCCGGCCGCTGGGTGCCGGGGTCGGGGGGGACTCGGGTGCCGCGCTCAGCTGATGGTTGGTGCCCTCGATCCAGTAACCCCCAAACTGCGGCAGGAGGATGAGGGGGAACGGCCCCTCCCGGCCCAGCACCTGCACCCACAACCCAGATGGGTGCTCAGCACCCATCATTGACCACCCCGCTGCTCGCGGGCCCTGGCACCCATCTCTGGAGGGAAGTGGGTGCTCTACCTCGTGCACGCTGGGATAGGGGATGTAATCCTCTTCCGTCTGCAAGACAACGGTGGGTGAAGGCCATGCTGGTACCCATGGGTGCTGGGGTCGGTGAAGGCCTTGCTGGCACCCATGGGTGCTGGTCGGGTGCCCCCACTCCACCAGCGCCTACCTTGAGCGACGGGGGGACGGCGTGGCGCTGCTGGGCCATCCTGCTGCCCTGCGGGACATGGGCGCTGTGGGTGCCCATCACCCCACCTTGAGATGAGCACCCTTGGGTGGGGAGCACCCATCGGTGCTTACCTCGGGGTGGGGCGGCCGAGGGGGCGGCGGTGCTGGGTGCAGACAGGTCTATGTGGTGCGGGGGGGTCCTGGGGGGCCCATGGCGCTTCCTGGGGGCGAGGGGGAGCTCCCCCACAGCCCCCTTGAGCCGCGTTAACCCTGAAGCCTACTGACGGCAGCGGGCCCCGGCACCCCCGGAGGCCGCCCCCTGCGGGCGGGAGGCGGCGCCGCGCGGGGCAGCACCACGGACAGCGCCGAGCCCCGTGCAACGGCCCCGGTCCCGGTGCAAACGGGTCCGTGCCCGTTCCCGTGTCCCCCCCCCGCCGCCCCTCCCGGTGCAAACGGACCCGGTCCGTGCGTGACCCTCGTGCAGGCACAAACCCGCGTGCAAAGGAGCCCCGGAGCCAGCGGGACCCATCCCGGGCCAAGCGCGACCGGGGGCAAACGCGACCCCGGTGCCAACGCGGCGATGTCACCGGTCCCGGTGCACGCAGGACCCGTCCCCCCCCCCGCACCCGTGGGCCGCAGCGTGACCACCACCAACACCCCCCCCCCTTCCCCCCACCGGGTCACCCTGCGCTGGTCCTGGGGGGGTTCCCCCGCATCGTTTCGCTCCCCAGCATCGCTTTGCTCCCCCCCCCACCCACAGCACTCAAAGTGGGGGGAGCCCGGGGGGGGGGGGGGTGACCCAAATCTGGGGCGAGGATGGGGGGGGGGTCGGGCACAGATGATGGGGCCGGGTTGGGGGGGATCTGGGGCAGGTTGGGGAGGGGCAGGTTTGGGGGTCCGTTAAGGGATGGGGGGGGGGGGGGGCAGGTTTAAGGGGTAATTCATGGGGGGGATATCGGGGAGGGGCAGGTTTGGGGGGGCTGGGGGGGGGTGTGTGATCCCCCCGCCCAGGCCCGGAGCATCCCCCCCCACCCCGCGCTACCGGTACCGGCTGAAGGTCACCGGGGAACCGAGCCCCCCTCCCCCCCACCCCCGGTGCTGCACCGGAGATGGGGGGATTGGGGGGGGGCACGGCGGGGGGTGCCGAAGGGGGGGGCCCCGGTCCCCGCGGAGCGGCACTTACCGGAGGGGCGGCGGGGCCGGGGCCGGTACCGGAGCGGAGCCGGTACCGGAGCGCAGCGGAGCTGGGGCCCCGGCGCTCGCAGCCACCGCGCCGCGTCACGTGCGGCGGGGCGGGGCGGCCCCTCCGGGGGCGGCCGGCACCGGGAACCGGCACCGGAACCGGGAACCGGCACCGGGAAACCGGGAACCGGGAAACCTCGACCAGGAACCGGCACCGGAACCGGGAACCGCAACCGGAGAATGGCACCGGGAACCGGCACCAGGCAACGGCAACCAGGAAATGGCACCAGAACCAGGAAGCAGCCCTGGAAATGGGAACCGGCAACCGGACACTGGCAGCACCGGGGAAGGGCACTGGAACAAGGAACGGGCACCAGGAACTGGGATCTGGCACTGGGAACGGCCTCGCCCCATCCTGTGCTCCCCCATCCCAGCATCCAGGTCCCCCTCATCGCTCCCCAAAGCTGGGGACACCCCCAAACCCCTCCCTGCTCCCCAGGGAACCGTCTCCACCCGGGTGCCCCCCATCACTCCATGAGCCTCTCCCACAGCACCCAGGGCACAAGGACCCCCAGCACCCACCTGCCCCCTGGGGCTACTTTGGTGTCAGGAAGGACATCCCAGTTTGGGATCCCCAGCGAAGGGCTCCTTGGGACACACTGGGATACCCAGGAGCTGCCCCAGCCTTTGAGCATCCACGGGTGCTGCGCTTCCAGGCTCCAGTAAGAACCATTCCATGTGCCACAGCCACTGTGATTCCCACTCCAGCCAGATCCCACTTGCTCACATCCCACCACCCTTTTTTGGATGGCCTGGAGCAGGATGTGGGGCTTAAGATCTCACCCACCCCATGTGTGTGCACTTCCATTGAGGCTTCAACAGCTCAAACCACGATTTTAATGGGATAATGCTTGGAAATAACAGACACAACAGGAATTTGGGCCTTTGATCATGTCTTGTACCCGCAGCACATCTGTCGCACACAGAAACATGGATCCAGCTCCTCCCTTCCCACCAGGGTGAGAGGTTCAATTCTGCAATGTCACAAGCTCCAGAATGTTGAGAAGGTAAAAAACCGGGGCAAAATAACAGCAAATGGGGAAAAAAAAACCCCATATGGAATTTCCAAGGAATATGTACACAAGCGTGGGCTTCAGTCGGGGAAGGAGGAAAGCTCCTGGAGGATGGAGCAGCTTCAGCACGCTGAATTCCTGCCCTGTCTTTACCTCTGGAAAGGCTCCACGGGTCCACACTGCTCCCCCCAAAATCACCTTCTCGAGTTCCATGGCTCCCTGAGGCCGGGAATGGGCTTGGGAATGGGCAGCTCTAGTTGAGCGGAACCGGCAGGGAATGGGGAGGGAGCCTCCTGGGAGCTACAGGTGTGAAAACCAATCGTATTTATTAGTGCATTCCTGACACAACGAGGGCAGAGGAGGGGAAAGGAACGCCTCTTCCCATGGGAAACACGGCACGCGCTGGGGCCCCTTGGTCTGAGGGGAAAAAAGCTGCTCTCAGAAGTCACAAAACCACCCAAACGTTGCCCAAATCCCCCCCACTTCACGCGGATCCAGCGGTTATCGGAGCCCATCGGAGCTTTGGGCCATTCCCGGGCCCCGGCGGCAGGACCCAAAGGGGGGTTTTGGGTGAAAGAAACGAAGATTCGGTGTGGGAAGGAGCCAGACATTCCTCACAAGTAACAATTCCTTTACTTCCATGCGGCACGGAACGAGTACGAGCGGATCAAAGACAGGATTATCCGGAAGAAGCAGGTTGCGCCTAAAGAGTTCCTCGAGAACGGGTCAAGGAAGGGGTTGTTGGATGGGATCAGGACCCTCTGCAGACAACACCACGTGGGGCTGAGCCGGGGCTGGATGAAACCCCAAAGAGGGCCCCGCTGGCGCCAGGGCAGGGCGTCCTCCAGTGCAATCTGCTTTGACATAAGGCATTTTGATTTCTTTAGAGGGGGGGGCAGTCACTTCCGAATGGGATTCTGCCTTCTGGAAGAGTCAAAGAGTTCAGTCCTGTGTCCACCTGCTCTGTTTTAATGCCCTACCCATGTCAAAATCCTCTTCCCTTCTGGTTGTGCCTCTGTTGCCAAGGCTTAGGAAACCATCAGTGGCCAAGTAAACCAGTCCCTGAGGAGGAGAAACAACCAGCAAGAGGTGATGATGGTCACAGGATGGAGATGATGAAGGGAGCGTGGGCTTAAATGAATGGGGAAGGGAAAGCCAACCCCCAAACTCACCTTTAAATCCTTCTTCAGGCATACAAACTGGGGAGGGAAAGGAAAAGGCACCGTGTTAGCAACCTTCCCAGCAGCTGTTTCTTAAAGGATCTTTTCTACCACTGAACCTCCTGTGGGCACTGACATTGTGGAGTCATGGAATGGGTTGGGTTGAAGGGACCTCAAAGCTCATCCAGCTCCAACCCCTGCCACAGGCAGGGACCCCTTCCACTAGAGCAGCTTGCTCCAAGCCCCTGTGTCCAACCTGGCCTTGAGCACTGCCAGGGATGGGGCAGCCACAGCTTCTCTGGGCACCCTGTGCCAGCGCCTCAGCACCCTCACAGGGAAGAGCTTCTGCCTCAGAGCTCATCTCAGTCTCCCCTCTGGCAGGTTAAAGCCATCCCCCTTGGCCTGTCCCTACAGGCCCTTGTCCCAAGCCCCTCTCCAGCTTTCCTGCAGCCCCTTCAGGCACTGGAGCTGCTCTCAGGTCTCCCCTTCAGGAGCCTTCTCTTCTCCAGGCTGCCCCAGCCCAGCTCTCTCAGCCTGGCTCCAGAGCAGAGCTGCTCCAGCCCTCGCAGCATCTCTGTGGCCTCCTCTGGCCTCGCTCCAGCAGCTCCAGGTCCCTCTTGTGCTGCTGCCCCAGAGCTGGATCAGGGCTGCAGGGGGGTCTCCCCAGAGCACAGCAGAGGGGCAGGATCCCCTCCCTGAGCTCTGCTCACGCTCTGGGGGTGCAGCCCAGCACATGGGGAGGTTCTGGGCTCAAGCGCTCACTGAAGCCAGGTAATGGGGAGCTTCTCATTGACCAACACCCCCAGGTCCTTCTCCCCAGGACTCCTCTCAGTGCAGTCTCACCCCAGTCTATGTTTGTGCCTGAGCTTGCCCCAGCCTTGCAAAACAAAGCTCCAGCACCTCCATTTTCAACCCAAACCCAACACAACCTTTGCCCACCAACCCTTCTCCCTCATCCCAGTGGTGAGGTGCCTTCCCTGAACCCCAAAGCTTCCAAGGTGCCCCCCACCCCTCACCTTGCATAACGTCGTCCATCGCTGCATAATCTGCAATGGGTTCATCAGCCTGGAAAACAAAGTGGAGCAGGGGATTAATGAGGAATCAACCTCATGTGGAAGCTCACAGCCCTGCTCGGGGGGGAGCAGGGACCAGCTCTCTTGCCCCAAAACCATCTGGGAACAAGAGGGGAGGACTCACTCCCTAATTTAGCCATATTTCAGGCTGGGACACACACAGCTCAGCAGCAAAGGCCACCTGAGAGATGCTCTTTAAACAAACAAGCTAAAGCAAAGTGGCTTTTCCTCCTCTGAAAAGAAGGACCTCGTGGAACCAAGCCACCGAGCAGCCACAGGTGGGCACATCTATCCCCCAGCAGCTTCCACCCGCACCACAAGGCTTTTCCCTTTGGATGTACAAAACCCCAGCTCAGGTCTCTGTGTTATCTGGCTCAGTTTGAGCAGCCCCAGCCTCACGTTACCTTCAACAAGATGACGGACTCGGGGATGACTCCCAGGCTGCCCAGCGTCGCCGTGTCGTCGCTCAGCATCTTCCCGTCGATGGACAAGTTCTGGTCGAAGGGAGCAACTGAAAATGCATGCATGATCTGTGCCAACACAATGAGACAGGCTCACTGGGTGCTGAGGGAAACACCACACTGCTGAGCTGCACAAGAACACATCCACACGAGCAACACGTGCCTTCCCGTGCCCTGCAGGCCATTATGCTCCTTCCCTCCATCCCCTCTCCCGGCCAGGCGCTCCTTGACGCTGTGTTTTCCTCCTCTGTTCCATGGAGGAAAACCCCCTTACCTGGATTTTCAGCTCCTTCAGGGTCTGGTTAGCAGACACGAGCAGTGCTTTCTCCCCTCGGACCTTGCGGTGCCGGGTGCTTCGCCGGATGCCTTGTTTTTGGTAAGGGATGTAGCTCTGGTGCGAGATCTTCTGGCGCTTCGCCCCGCCGTTGGTCTAGGAGCAAGAGGGAAGAGAATGAAAATAGCAGGAACCTAAGGGTGGGATTAGAGGGAAAAGCACAACCTCCCCATGCCCCAGCCTGTGTTTCGGGCGAGTTGGTCATGCGAGGGAAGGCACAGAGTGCTGCAAAGCCGCTTGGAAAGCAGACTGAAGCGTGCAAGGATCAAGAGGAGCAAGGGATTTGCCTTGAAGCCTCGGTTCCTGCTCCTACACTAGTGCAAGGTGGGCACCAGCCAAGCACAGGAGTCACCATCAGTACCTGGTCCCTCCGAAACAACTCAGTGGTGTGGTGCCACCCTTGAAATGAGTTTTAGACACCGGTTTTGCCTGCTCGTGGTTAAGGGAGGAGGAAGGGGCTGTCCCACCATGCTGACTCGAGGGGACGATGCGCGACCCAAGGGACCTGGTGGTGGTTTCGATCTCTACCTGGTTAAAATCTGGGTCTTGCTCCCCCTCTGGCTTGTTTTCCTCCCTGTCCTCTTCCGCTTCTGAGCTGCTCACGTTCAGCTCCGGAGCAGCGTCCTTCATGACCTGAAGTCATAAAAACCATTCTCTGTAACTAACCCGACAGCATCACCCCAAAGCCTCTCACATGCCCGCTCGGCCCCAGGAGCTGAGACAGAGCAGGAAGAACATGGGAGCTTGCTCCACGTGCTCTGCAAAGTCTTCTCCACCCCTCCCCATCTGCATTGAACCACGGGGGGATTCAGAACAAGCTTCTCCATTGAACTGCAGGTGCTTCCTGCTGCTCAGGGCCTTCCCTCCTCTCCAGGCAAAGGGAAAGTCTCCAGGGGCCTGGACTGATTTCTTTGCCATTAGCTGGCTGCCTCTCTGGTTCATCTAAGTGTATTATGAAAGCCCTTACCCAGAGAAAGGAGTATTATCCACGAATCAGACACTCATCCAGCCCTGCAGCAGACCCACAGAGGCACTCAGCACCATCATTTATGGGTCTGGAGGTTGTAAGTAAATGAAATCTAAATAATTTACGCAAACATATAAATCAAGAGGCTGCTCAGCCCCACGCAGGTCACTCCAGGAGGCATGGATCTGCCAGATGAGAATTCCCATCCAAGCTTTGGCTGGAGCTGGGGATTGCAGGAGCCCTGGGGATGGTGTGCTCCACACAGGAGCCCGAGAGCCCACTTCTCCATCAATGTATTTACAGTTAACGATGCAATCCCAGCTCCCACACATCCAGCAGCAGCCAGAGCCTCCCCAGAGCCCTCTGGATTCCAGCAGTGCTGCCCTGCATTGATTTTACACGGCTGCAGCAGGGGCAATGGGATGGAAGCGCTGCCTGGCTCTGCTCTTGCAGAACTCTCCTCCCCTCTCTCCAACTCCAGCTGCTCAGCAAAGAAAAGCTGCCTCTTGTTTGCCAGCCCCACGTGTGAGCTCCATCCTGCCCAGCACCAGGGGAAAAAACCAAGCCATCAACCCTCCTCTGCACCAGAGCCAAGATACAGCCTCGGGATGCAGCCCTGAGCCAGGCTGAAAACCCAGAGCTGATGAATCATGGAATCAGAGTGGTTTGGGTTGGAAGAGACCTTAAAGTTCACCCAGCTCCAACCCCTGCCACGGGCAGGGACCCCTTCCACTAGAGCAGCTTGCTCCAAGCCCCTGTGTCCAACCTGGCCTTGAACACTGCCAGGGATGGGGCAGCCACAGCTTCTCTGGGCACCCTGTGCCAGCGCCTCAGCACCCTCACAGGGAAGAGCTTCTGCCTAAGAGCTCATCTCAGTCTCCCTTCTGGCAGGTTAAAGCCATTCCCCTTGGCCTGTCCCTCCAGGCCCTTGTCCATAGCCCCTCTCCAGGCTTTTTGTTGGTCTCCTTAATGCACTGAAAGGCTTGAGGCCGTGCTGTGTGCTGCTCTACAGCTCAAAACCACGGCAGAAACCATCCAGCCTCCACCAACCTGCAGTTCTCTGGGCTCCAGCTTCTCCCTTACACTGGCAGGGACGTGCAGGAACACCTTTAGCTGAGCTTGCCCATGAGCCTTGATTTCCCCCTTAAAGCACAAACAAAGCCCTAAGGAGGAAGACTTACTGTAACCAGCTTTTGGGTGCCAATTCTAGACCTGATACTGATTCTTAAAGGCCCCAGCAAAGCAGAGACAGTTCCTAGCTTCAGAAGGGATCCTGAACCCCACCTCCACCTTTGCTGCTACTTCCTCAGCACGGAGGTTAAGAGTTCATTTCTATCTAGGAATAAATGTCACGAGCAACTAGGAAAGGAAACAACAAATACTGGAGGGGGAGGAGAACAGGTAGAGCCTGGGAAGACCATTATGAAGACAGAAATGGCTACACCAGTGCTTAAAATAACCCAAGCTGGACACATCCACAAAGATAACCCCATAATGCAAAGGAGTCTCTTTGGCAAAAGGAAACCTGGAGGAGGCCAAACTGTCAGAGCAGCTACAGACAGAGCTTTCCCATCTGCTGTTTGGGCCAAAGCGATAGGAGCTGCAGAGCTGGGTGCTTCCTGCCTGCAGAGAGCAGCCCACCACCACCACTGTCCCCCCCCCAGCAGGTCCCAGCCCCATGGGGACGCAGCAGGCCATGGCAGCTGCCTCGCCACCATGTCTGGATCCTTCTCTGGATGCTCAGCACAGTTCCTGTGCAGTGAAACAGAGCCAGGAGGAGCAAGGAGAGCCCGTACCTTCTTATTATCCACCACTTTATGGATGTAGATGGTTGCCTGGGTGTACTCACGCAAGTCCCGTTGCTGTTGGCACAACAGCCCTTCTCTGCACTCCGGACAGAGCTCTGGGGAGGCACAAAGGTAAAATGCATTTCATTGCTTCAGCTCCTTGGAGATCCCAGCCCAATAACTCAGAGCATCCGCCAAGCTCCACGTTTACCACCCATCCCCTTAGATCTGAGCCTTTAGGCCCTTGCCCAGAGAGCTGGCACAGAACAGAGCCCAGGGAGCAGCAGAACGAGCACTCACGGGGCTCAGAGGTGTAAAGGGCACCCTCGGGGTCCGCCCCGGGCGCTGCTGTCCGGGTGATTTTGATGACGTGATCCACAACAAAGAGTTTTTGAATCCGCTCCCACTCGCTGGGCCATATCAGAGCTATACTGTGCAAAGGAACAAGAACGTGCTTTATGACATGGAAAAGCCAAGCCCTGAGCTCCCCAACAGCCTCCCCTCTTCCTTTTAGTCTCGCTAAGGAAAGCAAAGCTCCAAAAATCAATCCCTAACTCCAGCTACACACGAGGGCCTGAACACCCAAGATAACAGGGACAAACACCAGGGTGCTGTTAGTGATGCTGCTCTGCTCCCATCACACTGGGCAGGGGGGGGGAGGATGGAGGAGGAGAAGGAGAGGAGAGGGGAAGATCTGCTACTTTTAGTGCTGCATCACTGCAGAAGCAATGCTACGGAGCATGAACTCCAGCCCAGTGTCCAGCGCTCCGGGGGGCAAGCCCCATGGAAAGCAAAGTGTGAGGAAGTCGGATGTTTCTATGCCCTGGTCAAAGGCAGGGGAGTTGATTGTTAGGAACCAGCCAAGCTGAAGTAAGCTCTTTTTTCCTCCTGACCCAGCATGCTCTGACTATTTAGGTGTTGCCTTGCATGAAGGCTGAGGAGGGTCTGAGCAAGCTTATGTGTTAATTTCTTCACGGACAAGCATTTGCTCCTCGTGTTGCTGCAGCTCAATGCAGCTCCGGGAACGCTCTCCAGGATGACAACACCCTTCAAAGGCACCCACATGAAGAGAAGAAACTCACAGTTTGGAGTCTTCTTTGGTCATGGAAGCGTAGGTGAACATGAGGCCTCCGTGGGGGCAGAGGAGAGCGCTGTTCCCTACCGAGGACACGGGGCTGCAGCGCGTTGGCCTCCTGCGCAGGTAAAGGGAAGCGGTTTGCAAAGCGCGGTTCAGGTTATCCCACAAACCCCACAGCTCTGCAGGCAGCCAGGAAGGAATCAGAGGTGAGTGTTTACAGGAGGCATTCCAGCTGGGAATATGAAAGCACTACAGATGAGGAAATCAGATCTGCGTGCCTGTGAGTTGCAGAGATTTCCATCTCCAGCAGCAGCCGGTGGAAGCAGGACTGAGCAGTGACCTCTGCCTGGGATCCAGGCAGATGAACAAACTAATCAGGTTCCCATCTAATCCCACCATCTGGTTGAGACACGATAAACAAGGAAACGCAGGTTCCTCCCAACGTACTACAACTAATCCAAGCTCTGCAGAAAGCAGCTTCCTTGTTCCCACCCAGGGAAACGGCAGGTAACCTCTCACCGCACTGTGAATCAAAAGCAAAACCCATTGGCAGGAATAAAAAGCACCAAAAAACCCCCCCTCCAGCCAAGTTACCTGACAAATTTCCTCCACTCTTCCACAAAGAACTGCGAAACGATGTACAGCTCATCTGTCTCCTGGAGGGGAAAAGGAGGGGAGGGGGGGAAAGGCTCTTTTGTTAATTAATCCCACAACAGAGAGGCGATGACTGCTCAGTGCTTTCTGCAGTGATTCTCCTCCAGCCCTCAGTGGCTTCACCATGACAACTCCATCCAAGCGCGCTGGGAAAGCCAAGCTAAATAATTTGGGATCAAGTACTAAGCACTTACATTACTAATCTGGTGTTTATTGCGGAGTTAGTTTAGCTTTAGATCCAATTACCTCTAATTCACAGCAGGACACAGGCACTTCCCCTGCAGCAGCTAAGAAGCCCCAGACTGTTCTCGGGGGCTAAAGCAGACACTCCTCTGCACCTCTGGGATGTTTCAGTCTCCCCTCTCCACCTCCACATTAAACCACTCTGCTTATTTTCCTCCCCAAACTTCAACTGTTTTGGACCAGGAAAACTCAGAAAGCTTGAGGGAAAGATCCTCAGCTCTTCCCTGTCAGGCTCCCTTGGGAAATTCAAAGGGAATGGAGGATGTAGCCTTACTGCCTGGAGAGACCTTCCTATTCTGAGCTGACCCATGGTGGGCTCCAGCTTTCCATCACCTACTCCAGCTCCAAAACCAGACCCAACCCTTAAACACCACCAGCAGAACCTGGCACATCTCCAGCTTAGTGCTTCCCATTTAAACCCTTCTGAGGTTCCTCAGTTCTGAGACATGGACCTGTATTGACTTTCATATTAATTCCTGGCTGGAGAAGGCACCTGGGAGCAGCAAACTGACCTGGCACGTCGGAGCCACCGAGGCACCTGCCAAAGACCTTGGCAGGACCTCAGTGCCAACCATTAATCAGTGAGAGGTCCTGGAGCCCAGGCGTGGAGCCAATGGCTTGTGCCATGTCTTTAGAGCGGCCTCAAAGCCCTGGAGAGCTCCAGGCTTGTCCGAGAGGTCTTTGAACCCCAGCCTGGATTGGATTGGAAGGGACCTTAAAGCTCCTCCAGCTCCAACCCCTGCCATGGGCAGGGACCCCTTCCACTAGAGCAGCTTGCTCCAAGCCCCTGTGTCCAACCTGGCCTTGAACACTGCCAGGGATGGGGCAGCCACAGCTTCTCTGGGCACCCTGTGCCAGCACCTCAGCACCCTCCCAGGGAAGAGCTTCTGCCTAAGAGCTCATCTCAGTCTCCCCTCGGGCAGGTTAAAGCCATTCCCCTTGGCCTGTCCCTACATCCCTTGTCCCAAGCCCCTCTCCAGGTTTCTTGCAGCCCCTTCAGGCACTGGAGCTGCTCTCAGGTCTCCCCTTCAGGATCCTTCTCTTCCCCAGGCTCACCCAGCCCAGCTCCATAGGAAGACCTGCTCTTGCACGACCATCACTTCTATTTTCAGGGCTCCAGCATTTAGGGCCGCTCCCCTGAGCTGTTGGGATGCAGGAAGGTGCTGGAGCCCACGTGAATTCTGTCTGACCAGCAGCAAGCACAATGTGGCTTGCACATGAAAGCCACCTCCACCAGCCCAGCCACACCACTGCAGTCCTTGCAGGGGCGGATGTAACCACAGCAGCAATATTGATGGTGCTTATCTGGCTGAGTGTGGGCCAGCCACAGCTCCGCTGGCACAGGAGAGCAGCTCGTGCAGCTTCAGCAGGGCTCTGTGCCAGCACAGCTGATGGGGAAATCACACCTCAGCACAGCTCACGTGTGAGCTCCGCTGGCACGGGCTCGCGGGTACCAGCAGCCTCTCTCACGGGCAAAAGAGATGCTCTTAGAAGGGATGAAAGCATTTAAAACCCTCCCCCAAGCCCTGCTATGGTGCCCTCATCCCCATACCTGAGGCCAGCTGCCCAGGCAAGGTCTGCATTTATCATGGAACAGGTTCTGGAGAGAAGTCTTCTGCTCGCTGGCCATCATCTTATGCAGAGCTTCGTTCTCCTCCCCTTCACGCTCCAAGATCTGCACGGAAGAGTCAATAACAGCAGAGCTTCAGCTCCTCACTGCCATCAAATGTGCCATTACCTTCTGGGTCACACCAGAACCAGAAACACGACCGTGTATTTACAGTCAACAAGAGGTTGTTTGGCAAATACCTTGCACTGGGAACAGCACTCTTTGTTGTTTGGGAATTCAGGGGCCTTTGGAAAGTATTGCTTGAGTTTCTCCCAGGCTTCCTTGGAAACCACCCTGCGATCGTTCTCGGATATGCACAGGCCACCTGCAGGGACAGAGCCAAGAGAAGGGCTTTGCTCTCCAGCGCTCAACGCCATGGTGCAGCACTGACCAAGAGACTGCAGGGTATCAATGTGGGAGAAGAGATTCACACACCGTGTCAGCAAACCAGAGCACAACCGACACACAAAGTCACCTTCAACTCCTTTATCGTCTCTCTGTTCAGACAGGGAAATAACCCAAAGTGACTTTAATTCCTGAAAACGTCCTCTAGATTCCAGAGCTCAGGAATCGAGCAGCTGATCAAACACAGAGTGTCAGAGAGATGAGGGAAAGCACAGATGTGCTGCAGAGGGCACGGGGCTCCTGCGTGCTGGTCCTGGCTGTCCACACCAGGGGGACTGCACCTCCTGAGCTGCACACTGACCCCATGGCCCATCAAACAGGAGCCAGGTGCTTTCCTCACCCTTGAAAAACCAAGACTACCACTGTATGATCCCAGATGGCTTCACGTGCCCTATCCAAGCACCTCAGGACTGGGAAGGATGGGTGTGAAGATACAAAGAGGTTTACCAGCTACCCCCCGGACCACGCAGGTTATTTATCCTGCTGCTCAAGCAGCTCAAAACAACCCACAAATGGTTTATCCTAGAATCCCAGAAGGGACCTTAAAGCTCCTCCAGCTCCAACCCCTGCCACGGGCAGGGACCCCTTCCACTAGAGCAGCTTGCTCCAAGCCCCTGTGTCCAACCTGGCCTTGAACACTGCCAGGGATGGGGCAGTCACAGCTTCTCTGGACAAGAGGCATTTGTGCTTGTTTCTTTAGGGACAGCAGGAGCAGAAAGCTCACACCCACACATCTGGACACCGTGTGTACATGTGACAACACGTGCTCTGGTCGACAAATAAGGCTTGGGAAGACCGGAGAAGGTGAAAGCTTGAGTATCCAACACGATGATGTCCAAGGGGAAAGCACAACCGCAGCTCCCTATGGGAGAGCAGCTGGGAAGCTGCAGGGACAAAGCAGAGGAGCAGTTGCAACGCTGTGATGCAAACCGGATTTGGATGCAGCATGGGAATATTCAGGCCTAAATGTGGGTTTCAGCAGCAAGAGGGAAGCAAAACAGCAAAGTCACAGCGCTGAGCAGGGTCCAGCCAAGGGCACAAACACTTCATTATCTGCTTTTCTATAGCCTGAGGAGCTACAGAAAGAAGACGAGGAGAAAAGGCTCCTTCTCCCTCTTTAACATTACAAGCAGCTCCTCAGGCTCCTGGACTCGGCGGCTTTCCTCACTCCTGGACTTCAGCCAGCCCTAAAGAGGAGAAAATAGCAACACTCCCCTCCTGCTTTTCCTTAACAAACAAAGTCAGGCGGGACCGCATCGCCGCAGCGATGGCCACTTGGTCTTCAGCAAACGTGACCAAGTGGCCCAGCTTTACCACACAAGGAGGCTGCTGCCCAAGGCTGGGGGGAAAGCAGCTTGTCCAGCTTAGTGCCTGGACACTGCATGATTCATGAGAATGGGTTAATTTGCTGCTGAGCAAAAAGAGGGGGAGAAATCAGATGTGGATGGGCAGGCAACAAGTGCTTTGCCATCTGGGAGATGAGGAGCCTGACCAGTGACCCCCCTCCCATCACCCAGGGACACGCTTTGGGCACAGGCATCAAAGGGCTCCTCACTTGGTGTCTGGAAGGAATTAATCCGCTGAGGTTGGGCAGTTACTGGAGAGGGAGGAATTGCAGCAGGGATGCAAAGGGATTTCTGCAGGGAACGCCGGGATGGCACGGCTGGAGCCCAGCCAGACCTCGTGGATAAAGCAATGGCTTTCCCAGGCCTACCACCAAGGCATTTCCCCCACAGTAAAATGAAAGCCATGGGATGGAGACCACAGACTTGCTGATAGGCTCCAGAGGGGAATTTTAAAGGTGGAAAGTCTGTTTTCCATAAGGAATTGGGGTGAGCTCAACACGATGCAATCTGACCTGCCAGCAGCCCCCTTATTTAATAGTGCTCATTCTGACATGACCCAAAGTCACAGATCAAGTAGCAATTCACCACCAGAACATGTTCAGAGGCCTCCTGGCCTATTCTTGTCATGTCTGGCTACATTCAGTGTTTCACCACGATGCTGAATGCTTTTATTTAACGGGAGCAGCCTCGTGGCAATGGGAATAACAGCTCTGAACAACAGCAAACACTGTGCCAAAGCGCTCAGCCACCTTAAACGGAGGCTTTCTCAAGCCATTACTCGACATCCTTGCTCAGCCTCGATGACAGGAGGTGTGTGGCTGATTTATGGCAGGTTTCCTTCTTCCTAGGAACGAGATGGAGCATTCCCAACAAGGAAATCGATGCCTACAAACTGGAGCTTACTGAGAGTTATGCCTGGGAGGAACTTACGAGCTAGCAAAGGGCCATATAAACAGCAGGGTAGCCAAGGATGTTGCTAATGAACCGTCACGTAGGAAAACAACCAAGGCTGGGGCAAAGCCTTATGTAAACAGACACCCAGAGCAGCAGGTCGGTAAGTCAATACCCTCAGCACTCCCAGATAACCCCTGTTTCCACAGAGGTTAGGTAAGTGCTCCTGATTTCATGCGAACCAAGAGGATAAATGGATGCTCTCAGCTCCCACCTTGACTGACTGCACCACGTTTTCTTCCTAAACACTTTCAGAGCTTTCAAGCAGCTGCAGATCTTTGGCGCTGCTCTCGCTCCATCACGTCATCATGATCTCATGAAGTTCAACAAGGACAAGTGCAAGGTCCTGCCCTTGGGTTGGAGCAATCCCAAGCACAAACACAGGCTGGGCTGAGAATGCACTGAGAGGAGTCCTGGGGAGAGGGACCTGGGGGTGTTGGTCAATGAGAAGCTCCCCATTACCTGGCTTCAGTGAGCGCTTGAGCCCAGAACCCCCCTGTGTGCTGGGCTGCACCCCCAGAGCGTGAGCAGAGCTCAGGGAGGGGATCCTGCCCCTCTGCTGCGCTCTGGGGAGATCCCCCCTGCAGCCCTGATCCAGCTCTGGGGCAGCAGCACAAGAGGGACCCGGAGCTGTTGGAGCGAGGCCAGAGGAGGCCATGGAGATGCTGCGAGGGCTGGAGCAGCTCTGCTCTGGAGCCAGGCTGAGAGAGCTGGGCTGGGGCAGCCTGGAGAAGAGAAGGCTCCTGAAGGGGAGACCTGAGAGCAGCTCCAGTGCCTGAAGGGGCTGCAGGAAAGCTGGAGAGGGGCTTGGGACAAGGGATGTAGGGACAGGCCAAGGGGAATGGCTTTAACCTGCCAGAGGGGAGACTGAGATGAGCTCTTAGGCAGAAGCTCTTCCCTGTGAGGGTGCTGAGGCGCTGGCACAGGGTGCCCAGAGAAGCTGTGGCTGCCCCATCCCTGGCAGTGTTCAAGGCCAGGTTGGACACAGGGGCTTGGAGCAAGCTGCTCTGGTGGAAGGGGTCCCTGCCCGTGGCAGGGGTTGGAGCTGGATGAGCTTTAAGTTCCCTTCCAACCCAAACCATTCCATGTATCTCTGGCTCTCTGTGACTTTGTTACTGACAGATCCTCCCTTCCACAGCCCAGCACTTCCTGCAGCATCTCTGCCTTTACACCCTTTTCCTTGCCTTACCAAATCTGGGCTGGAAGGTGACAGCTGACTTGCAAATAAAGTTTCAGTGTCAAGAAACACCAGGAAAATGAGAATTAAGCACATTTCTGCAGTAACAACTCGTGCTGGCCTCCGAGGGAGCAAAGGCTACAAGGTTAACGCCTTGAGCAGTGGGCAACAACAGAAACATTCAGCTCCATCCCCCGGACAGACTCACCATGTGGGCAAACGATGTCTTCATTAAAATTTAACTCCTCTTCCTCCTCTCTCTTCTCTTCACTGGATTCATCTAATTAAAGGAAACAACAAAAACCCCAAGCCATGAAGATTGCACACAGTTTCCTCTCTTAAGAAAGGAAGAATCTTTGGGCAAAGGAGCGCGGTTGCCTTCCAAATTGCGGCAAAACCCTCAACCCAAGGGAATCTTTGGAAGGAAATCTGCTGTTCTCCGCTGCTGTGGCCCCCAGGCAGGCGGGATTACAGCCTACAGCCCACGGAGGAGTGCTTTGAAGTGCCTGCAGCACAAGCCTGCCCTTTGTGAGACTACAAAGGACACATTTGTTAGGGCTAAAACACCACAGGGGTTCCCTGCTCCCAGGGATTGGAGTTTAACCTAAACACGGGCTAGGTGAGAGCGCAGGGAGCGGAAACCTGCTGGCAAACATCAGTGCCCTCTTTGCCTTGTGGATGCTGATCTAAACCAGATGCTGCCTGACAAACCAAGGGGCAGCCTGCCAGGGGGTGACAAGCCCCACATTAATCCATAAACGATAGTTAAGAACTGAAGCTCCACAGTAATGCAGTTGGCCCCTGAACTGGAGCATCATAAACACAGTACATTGTTAGTAAGGGTCCCTACCGACCTGCCAGACAAGCACATAGGCTTGTGAGTAATTCAAATGCACTACTCAGAGCTGTGACCTGTTGTGAAACCACCCTGAGGAATGAGGAGTGGTAACTCAAGTACCCTTTTTGCACGAGTGCTCCACCAGCACCAGGTATGATCAGAGGGCTGTGGTGCTCTCAGAGCCATCAAGCCCAAGACCAATGCCATCAGCCCATCATCTCCACTTGCATTCAAGCAAGCTTCTTGCCCTCAGTTCTGACACTAAAAGCTCAACAAAATATCCAGTTTCCAAAGGTTTGAAGAGCAGAGGGCAAATAAATCCCCATCTATTCTCATAATACTCATGATATGGGTATAGAATAGAGGTTTTTTTTTCCTCCTTGGCTGTGTTTTCCCAGTGCTGCTTTACGCTGCTCATCCATAGACCATCAATAAACATCATCAAGGTAATTTTCATGCTTCTTTACCCCCTGGGCTCCCTCATTCAGATAAAAGCAGATGAAAAGATCATGGGTCTGGGGTGGCAATTTTACACAGCTTTGGAAAACTACAAAACTACTTATCTTCTCAGGGTGTGAAGATCACCCAGCACTTTTGAAGCTTATCAAATCAAAAGCTCCTTAAATGAAGGAGCTTTTTTATGTGCTTTATTATCCTCTCCTCCCAACTCACACAAGGAAAGCCAAACAGCTACAGGAGCACCCAACGTGTCTTTTGTTAGGAGGTATCAGGCTGTGGGTGTCCACAGCAGCACAACTACCTTTGCTTTGTGCGTTTCCATTCATTTTCCCATTACTGTGCTCCGTGTCTTCATCTTGCTCATTTAACTGCTCCAGAGCCAGCTGACGCCAGCTCCTCAAGGATGCTTTTCCAACCCAGAACCCGTCATTCCTGCAGAGAGACAACAGCGCTGGCAACGCAAATCACATCTCTAGTAGGAGGTGTCCCTGCCCATGGCACGGGTTGGAACCGGATGATCTTAAGGTCCCTTCCAACCCAAACCATTGTGATTCTATGATCTATTTAAGCGCTTCTCAACCCCCTTTGACAACAGTAGATAGCATCAGGACTTACATACCCCTTGACTGTGATCTTCAGCAGGTTGGTCACGGTTTTGTAGTCTTCATTTAAGCGGTTCTTCAGCCGCAGGATTCGACACCTTTCCACCACGCAGTCCTTGCAAAGTGCTTTCACTGGGGTGACAGGGGAAAGAAACACGATTTATCACACACAGGGCTGAGCTTCTGGCGGGATTGAAGGTGCTCAGACACGTAGGTACCAACTATGCTGCCTCGAGACCAGAGGTTTCACATGGAAATGAGGAGAGCCCTGGGGTCACTGCCAGATCAGGCCACATTTGCAGGTTAAATGAGCACAAAACACTCCAGAGGTGGGATCTGTTCTGCTGGCTTCACAGCCTTCTGGTACCAACAGTCTGCAATTCCAGCTGCGAGCCAGGGCATGCCAACACACAGCCAGGGGAGCCAAAAGGCAGGAGGGATTAGGCATATTGCAAGAAAAAAACCCACCCATATTGTGGCACTTTGAGGTTAAAGCCAGAAATAACCTCCCCTCCTGCAAAGCTACACTGGAGCAATAGGAGTGGAAACCCTCCAGCTGGGCATGTTCCTCTGGGAGCAAGAGGGGTGCATCCAGGGAAGAAGCTGGAGAAGGCAGTGCATGCATCCATCCATCCCTTCACCCATCCATCCATCCACACATCCATCCACACATCCATCCCTCCATCCCTCCCAGCCCTACTCCACAAACAGAGCTGCGGGCGACCTTCCAGTTGACTAATAAATGCTGCCCTGGTTGCTCTCCACAAAGACTGCCTGCGTCACAGCACTTGCTGCTGGTTCTGTTCCTTCCCTATAAGCTCCTCGCAGGAGCTGAGCTAATTTGGTCTCAGCGGGAGTCATGGAGCTCCTTCACAAAAGGAACTAAGCCTGGGGCTCAATTAAGGGATGCCCAAAGACGATCGGGGCTGGGCTGACCCCAAAACTCAAGATGTGTGACAAATGCCCACAACACAAGCACGCAGGCTATCAGGTATGTGCTTTCCTCGAGAGGCAGCTCAGGACAGGCTAGAAGTGACAGACAGGGATTTTATTTGCTTGGCCTGCACATATCCGTGCTGCTGGCTCCAGGGAATGCTGTCCACACAGGATCTGGAGGTAGTGCAGGTACAGACAAGAGTCTGAGGGGTTGCATGTGCAAGTGAATCAACTTCACAAAACCTTCCCAAGTCTTACATTTAAGTCTCTTTCTCAGAAGTCCCTCCATGAGCAGCTCTTCCTAAATGGAGAACTCAGGAATGAACAGACCCGAGTCCCAGACACGCTGGGCTGCACCCCCAGAGCGTGAGCAGCAGCTCAGGGAGGGGATCCTGCCCCTCTGCTGCGCTCTGGGGAGACCCCCCCCTGCAGCCCTGATCCAGCTCTGGGGCAGCAGCACAAGAGGGACATGGAGCTGCTGGAGCGAGGCCAGAGGAGGCCATGGAGATGCTGCGAGGGCTGGAGCAGCTCTGCTCTGGAGCCAGGCTGAGAGAGCTGGGCTGGGGCAGCCTGGACAAGAGAAGGCTCCTGAAGGGGAGACCTGAGAGCAGCTCCAGTGCCTGAAGGGGCTGCAGGAAAGCTGGAGAGGGGCCTGGGACAAGGGATGTAGGGACAGGCCAAAGGGAATGGCTTTAACCTGCCCGAGGGGAGACTGAGATGAGCTCTTAGGCAGAAGCTCTTCCCTGTGAGGGTGCTGAGGCGCTGGCACAGGGTGCCCAGAGAAGCTGTGGCTGCCCCATCCCTGGCAGTGTTCAAGGCCAGGTTGGACACAGGGGCTTGGAGCTGGGTGAGCTTTAAGCTTCCTTCAACCCAAACCAGGCTGGGATTCCATGGTTCTGTGGCTGCAATCAGACCAACTGTAGTTGCTTGAACGTTAACATCTGCATGTGAACCAAATCACCCAGTGCAGCACAAAAAGAACTGAAGTTCTGACGATGAAGGACAGGTCTGGGACCAGAACAAGGCTCAAAACCACGTTCAGACCAGGAGTTGGAGAAGGCATTTTGTAGCTGACTCCTTACCATTCAGCCGGGGCCCTCCCCCGTATCTCCTGTAGAAGAAGTCAGCCACGTACTCCGATATCCTCTTCATGATGGATATTTTGTCGGGATGGAGCTTGCCATGGGAGCAGAGGCAAGCAGTGTTATCTATGGGTTTGGGAGGAGTGGACTCATCCAGCCATTTCTGCAGCCACTCCAGGGAGATGAAGTCGTATGGGGAACCTGGGAGGGGAAAAAGCACAAAGAGAAACAAGCCCGAACGTGTCAGCGAAGGCACAACGCAGCAGATGGTGTTTTATAATGACTCTGATATTAAACAGCACTTTTAAAACTTCACAAGCTATCAGTGTTGATTAAAACCCTCTGTTCAGTTCGCAAACAGCCACTACAGCTTCCCCTGGCCAAGTCTCATCTCAGCATCACACGTTTAGGAGATAGGTGCTATGTGAAGTTAAGATATGTGAGAGTAAGCGGTCAGTTCAGATTCAGGCAATCCATATGGAAGCCCAGACCATTCCAAGTCACACTGCTAAACCTTTAGGGGCTTACAGGAGAGCAGTTGAGGAAGGACAAGGATTTTCCTATCAGCCACTGAGGGACAGATATAATACCATATGGACATGGAGCTGTTGGAGCAAGACCAGAGGAAGCCACGAGGATGCTCAAGGGCTGGAGCAGCTCCTGTATGGACCCAGGCTGAGAACATTGGGGCTGCTCAGCCTGGAGAAGAGAAGCTGTGTGGAGACCTCAGAGCAGCTTCCAGTGTCTGAAGGGGGCTGCAAGGATGCTGCAGAGGGGCTCTTCATCAGGGGCTGCAGTGACAGGACAAGGGGTGAGGGGTTCAAACTGAAACAGGGGAAGTTCAGGTTGGAGATAAGGCAGAAGCTCTTCCCTGTGAGGGTGCTGAGGCACTGGCACAGGGTGCCCTGGCAGTGTTCAGGCTTGGAGCAAGCTGCTCTAGTGGAAGGTGCCCCTGCCCGTGACAGGGGGTTGGAACTGGAGGAGTTTTAAGGCCCCTTCCAAAGCAGTCTGGGATCCTATGGTTTAAGCTGTGATCATCCATTAAAGGCTCTTTCTAGAGCGACCTCATTGGGTTACATTGAAAAATAAAAGGCAACAACATTAAATAGACAAGGTCAGTGCTTGCCCCATCCCTTCAGCGCCCAACACTCCAGTGCTATTCTGGGCTGCTCTCACCCCTCAGAATGAGACATCCGTGTGCATTTTACCATTTACAGTGCAAACCGGCCCTGGCTCAACTGTTTAGAAGGTGCAGAGCACATCCACGGCTCAGCAGCAGCTGCAGGAGCAGTGAAACAGCTGTGGGTGAATCCAGGTATCTCAGTGGGCACAGGGTGCCCAGAGAAGCTGTGGCTGCCCCATCCCTGGCAGTGTTCAAGGCCAGGTTGGACAAAGGGGCTTGGAGCAAGCTGCTCTAATGGAAGGTGTCCCTGCCTGTGGAAAGGGTTGGAAGGGATGTTAAAGCTCATTCATGATTCTATGACTTAATACCAAGACCTGCTGCTGATGTGCAAACCCTTCTTTGAGGTCACTGGGAAATGAGGAAGAAATGAGGAGGAAATAAAGCCTGTTCTATGCTGACACAGGGAAAGCAGCTCTGAAATCACCCTCGGTTCCATCCACGAAACGAACACAAATCCTTAATGTTCTGAACAAAGGAGCAGCAGAGAAGCTACAGGAAAACACTTTGTCTTCCAGTCTGCCCCTGCTCATTGTGAAGCCGGGCTTCAAACCCCCTGCTCCTCTGCAGCACATCCCAGCAGTATTCCCATCTTACGCAACGCCAGCCACACAGCCATGACCTCCAGAGAATCGCAGCGCTGTCAGAGCTGCTTTGCTGCTTTGGGATCAAAGTGCCTCCCCCAGAAAGCGCCTTTTTCTGGGGCAGGCTCCACAAAGCTGGCAGCAACCGTGTCTGTGCAGCTGCAGAGAGAGTCCCCAGCTCCCGCGGGATCGCGCCCGGAGCGGCTCTGCAATAACGCTGCCTCCAGCTGTGCTAGCGAGCTGCCGTGGCCTGGACGTGCCCTGCAGCAGGCAATGGGTGCCCTTAGGGTCTTGTCATCTTCAAAGCGGGGCAGAGGAGCTCTGCCTGCACTTGTAAAGCCATCCTTTGGAGCTTTATTAGAAGCGCTGCGAGCAAACCCTGCTGCTGCTGCTCAAGGGGAGGGCAAACACAGCAGGGCCGGGCTCAGGAGCAGTGACTCACGGCACGTTCCTACCTCCACCACAGCTCTGATTTACCAGTGCCACCACACTGCTGGGCTGGCAGGGCCACGGCTGAGCTGGGACAGCCTCGTGGCCCTGTTGTTGGCAAACCTGGTGCCTGAATTGCAGGGGCAGATGTTTACAGGAGCTCCCGAGGCGGCCGCTCGGCTGCTCCCAGCTCAAGCAATGGGGACCGAAAGCTGAACATCAAACGGGCTGAGAGGCTGGGCAGTTCAACTCATCTGAAAGTCCTGAATGACAAATTCCCATGGGATTTTAGGGGATGGGCAGAGAAAGTGCCCCCTCTGCTTGTTTCGAGGGAGAGGAAAACAAGGGAGTGGAATAAAAGTCCTTGTGCTCAGATATGCTAAAGATTACAAGACACAAGGAGTAGTAGGGAAGTTTTAAACCCTACCATTCATCAGGTGGACTACAAAGCTTAGACACAGGGCCTTGGAAGCAGGGCTGAATCAAGTAATTTCCTGCTGGAGGTCAGGCATTTCCATACCCTGTTACCTGCTGATTCACTCGGATCAACAGCTCCCAAACTTGCCATGTGCTGGAAGTTTGAGACCAGCCCTTTCTTCTGCCTCAATGCCACCAAGACAAGCTGCTCACCAGGCAGAAGAACACAGTCAGCACGCATGGAAGCACATAGGAGACTGACTGATGGAGAAGGAGCAAGAGGGAATGAATGACACCAGAGGCCATGAGAATGAGCAGAAAAGGGAGGAAAATAGGTTAAGGCAGAAAAAACAGACAGGGAACAAACTCCTCAGAGCATGCACACAGCAACAACAGGCACCAATCACTCTGCTCTTGAAGAGGCTAATGCATTCCAGCAGTGCCCAGGCCACAGAAGCGAGCTGTGGGTTAGTAACAAAACATCACTAATCTTAACAACAGTCTACTACAAGATACTACCACAATGTCTTACAGACCAGCTTCAGCGGGTAACCTTTTGTAGAGCTCCTTCACCTCCTCGTGCTTGATTTTGCCCCTGGCCACGCTCTGCTTGCGCATCTCGGCCATTTCGTTGCACCACTCCTCGAACTTGGAGTTGTCACGTTCTACCAGCTCCTGCAGGAAAGCTGGTGGGAAAAGGAGGAAAAAGAAACCCCAGTCATTCCAAGGAAAAACGCCAATTATGTTAATTACCCCTGTGATGGGTTACCCGGGGATAACAAGCCTAAAAACTCCCCACGCAGCTACCGACATGAAGCTTTTCCAAAGGCCAAGTGCATGGCTGTTGCTTGCTGTAGTAGTTCTGGGTGTAGATGATTTGAGTGCAAGACAAAGCACCCAAGAAAATCATTTACTCGGGGTTGGTGCTGCATGAAGAGAAACCCTTTGCTTGCAAAGAAGCCTCTGCCAAGCACTGGCAGTGGGGGGCCGTGCAGCGGGGCGGCTGCAGAGCCAGAGCACAGCCGGATGCTTTGCTGCCTGCTTCAGGCCCTCCCTGCTCCTCCTCTTGCTCCCACTGAGAGCAGCTCCGCCGTGCTGCCAAGGGCAAGGAATCTGTCGTTCCCAGGGAGAAACAAGAGCTTTTCACCCCATGGGCACACCTGAAGCCTGTCCTGACGTGCAGCCGCATGGGTAGGAGTGAACTCAGCAAGAGGGGTTGAGCACGTTGCAAGCCCAAGGACAAAAAGCCCTCAGGAGATGGGAGATAAGAATGGCAGGGTGAGGGAAATGGGGATTTTTGCTGTTGCCAGTGGAAAAAGCCCCCAAAACCCCAAACCTCAGCAGGGAAAAGAAGATAAAAAACACTTCCCTCGCGGGGCTGGTGTAAGCAGTGCTTTCCCCTTCCCTTATCGGAAGCTTTCTCCTATTCAGCAGTGTTTTGAAGAGCTAAAATATATCCAGAAAGGTTTAATGCTTGTGTGGCCAGAGAGCACAAGAGCCACCTCGGGAGAATACATGGCACTAAAACCCAACCAGCTTGACCCCCTTGAGGTCAGAGCCAAGTTACATCTACATTCCCATCCCGGAAAAGCCGCTTTGAACGGCATCAAAGGAAAATGCCTCAAATTTACAGTTGCATGAAACCTCCCCGCAACCACAGGGCTCGCTGCTGCCCTTCGCTCCCTGTTCCCTGGCAGCATTCCATGGGAAACAAAGGCAACCGCGGGGCTGTGCAGGAATTCGGCGCTGGGTGGAGAGGCTTCTGCCGGGGTTATTGTTTTGGGCAGAGGGGTAGGAGGAAAAGGAGCGCAAGAGAGCTCAGGAAACAGACTGAAATGCAGCTCTGAGGCAGGGATCAGCATGAATTCCCAAAGCCGTGGGGCTCAGGGGGTGGGTTTTAGTGGTGGTGGGAGCTGGAAAAGGTTTGGTGTTGGTAAGGGGGGGGAAAGCAGTCGGATTTACCCCCTCCTCATGCAGGTAACGTGAAGAGCGGAGGTCTGAAGGGGATATGCCACCTCTGCTGTGCAGGAGAGGGAGGAAGGTGAACACACCTCACCCCCACCAGCACCAGGGGCCTAATTAATATTTCTAATCAAGCAGCACGCAAATGTGAAGCATCATTAAATCCACAGGCCAAATCCACCGGGATTTCTGCCACCCCCAGTCATTCTGAAGCAAGACACGAACGCGCTCGTACAAAAGCCCTGCTAAGGGCTCCCATCCTCTTGTTTTCACACCATTTATGCTCAACATGGCAAAGATTCTGCAAAAGCACAAGAAACCTGACATCCATCAGGATTATTCACCTCCAGCACAGTACGTGTGCTGCTGGTGACATTTAACCACGCTGCTCCCCTGTGCCTTCAGGAACCCGAGCGGGCTCCTGGCTGCGAATCTCAGTGCTCCCGCTGCCACACGTGTCTCCCAAGGGGATGATCTCCTCCTAACCCCTTCCCATCCTGTCTTGCTGGTTAAGACAGATAGGTGTGAGCTAGCACAGGGGTGGGATCATCAGGATTCCATCATCAGGACAGGGCCACCAAGTGGCTATAAGGCACTTCTGTGGGCTCACAGTGGTCACTAAAGGGGCTTGGAGGAAAAAACCCAGCTCCTGGCCTGCCTGGAGCACCCCAAGCACAAACACAGGCAGGTGAGGAATGGATGGAGCAGCCTGAGAAGAAGGACCTGGGGGTGTTGGTCAATAAGAAGCTCCCCATGACCCAGCTTCAGTGAGCACTTGAGCCCAAACCCCCTCCGTGTGCTGGGCTGCACCCCCAGAGTGTGAGCAGCAGCTCAGGGAGGGGATCCTGCCCCTCTGCTCTGCTCTGGGGAGACCCCCCCTGCAGCCCTGATCCAGCTCAGGGGCAGCAGCACAAGAGGGACCTGGAGCTGCTGGAGCGAGGTCAGAGGAGGCCATGGAGATGCTGTGAGGGCTGGAGCAGCTCTGCTCTGGAGCCAGGCTGAGAGAGCTGGGCTGGGGCAGCCTGGAGAAGAGAAGGCTCCTGAAGGGGAGACCTGAGAGCAGCTCCAGTGCCTAAAGGGGCTGCAGGAAAGCTGGAGAGGGGCTTTGGACAAGGGCCTGTAGGGACAGGCCAAGGGGAATGGCTTTAACCTGCCAGAGGGGAGACTGAGCTGGGCTCTTAGGCAGAAGCTCTTCCCTGTGAGGGTGCTGAGGCGCTGGCACAGGGTGCCCAGAGAAGCTGTGGCTGCCCCATCCCTGGCAGTGTTCAAGGCCACGTTGGACCCAGGGGCTTGGAGCAAGCTGCTCTAGTGGAAGGGGTCCCTGCCCGTGGCAGGGGTAGGAGCTGGGTGAGCTTTAAGGTCCCTTCCAACCCAAACCACTCTGGGATTCCATGATCACCGGATGGGCTGGAGAGGCCAAGGCAGTCCCAGGTCACTCACCTGGCACTTCGACTGTCAGGGATTTCTCCCGGGTCTGCAGCCTGTACACCAGCATGTAGGCATTCCGGGAGCAGTGTGTCCCCTTCCCACACTTGGGTTTCCGAGTCTGGGATTTCGATGGCTCCGCTGTGGAACAGAGGGAAAACACCATCAGGGCACGAGCTCACTCACAGAGCCTCTGTGAATGGGACAAGTTTGCCACCTAGCCGGCATCCCTCTGCCCTGCCAGGCCTCCATGTGCCAAGCACTGGGCTTGGCATGAGGCAAAATTGGATCCCAAAGACAGCCCCAAATCCCTCCAGCATTCCTGGAGGCGGGGCAATGCAAAGGGACTAAAATTAGGAGCCAGTTCTGAACCGCCCTTCTACAAGAGCCTTTTTCTCTCTCCCCAGTTAAATCTCCCTGAGCCAAAAGCAGCTCTTGGAAAAACATCCTTCCCCCCCCCTCAGTTCTGGTCTCCCAACACCAAAGCTCAGAGTCAAATCTCCAGGGAAAGAAAATCTTATTTACAGGTTGTTGTTTGTGAAGCGCCAGGCGTCATCCTGGCGGGTGACAAAGCTTTTAGGGAGCAAAGAGCCACGGAAGCAGTCGCTTCAGCGTGACACAAAGGCACGTTGCAGGAGCTGCTGCTCCCAAAGGCAAGCAAACACACTCACCTACAGCTGCAGCTCCCAAAATCAACCTTTTTGGATTGAAAACCAATGAGGAACAGCCCTGCCATAGGCCAAACTCTAAAGAAGGCATTGAAATACTAAGAAAAGTGTCTGTCTCTCCCAAATTCTGGCAGGATTCCCATGGCTCCCCCCCATCCTCCACTGCATCCAGGGCTCTTTCCTAGACCCTTTTGATTTGCATTTTCTCCAAATGCTTTCTAAATTGTTCCCATCTGGGAACACAGGACCCTGCCCGCAGCAGACCTCTGCTTTACGTGCCCAACCTCCTCCTGCTGTCACAGGCATCTGTAACAAAGCAGAGCCTCGGTTTTGCTTGGAGCAGGCAAAGAACAGATCAAAACCTTAAGGCTCCCAGCCTAGAGGCTTCTCAACACGCTTTGCTGCTACCCTGTGAGCATTCAGCAAGAACACTGACTTGTGGCTCAGCATAAGTTTACAAGATTGAGGCCAGCGAGGTTTGTTTGCATTGAGTTGGCTATGCTGGGTAACTGCGGAGGTTGAAGAGAGTGGCTGAGCAGCTCGTGTTCCCTTTCAGGGCTTATTCCATGTTACACCACTAGATGTCTAACCAGCTTCACGATCTGCTCGGGAGCAAGCGGGAGTCAAACATTAACTGGATGGTGGAGCTGCTCTGGGCCCTGTGAGGTGTTTGCTGGCAAAGAGCTGGAAAGGCAGCGGCATCCGTAGGTGCTGTGCTGAAGGGAGATGAATGCCTCGAGGCACGCCTGCTACCCAGGCTTTACAACAAAAGGAGCCTTTTACAAGGGCCTGTAGGGACAGGCCAAGGGGAATGGCTTGAACCTGCCAGAGGGGAGATGGAGATGAGCTCTTAGGCAGAAGCTCTTCCCTGTGAGGGTGCTGAGGCGCTGGCACAGGGTGCCCACAGAAGCTGTGGCTGCCCCATCCCTGGCAGTGTTCAAGGCCAGGTTGGACACAGGGGCTTGGAGCAAGCTACTCTAGTGGAAGGGGTCCCTGCCCGTGGCAGGGGTTGGAACTGGGAGAACTTTAAGGTTCTTTCCCACCCAAGCCAGTCTGGGATTCTATGATTCAACTAAATCTGAAATCTTTTCATTAAGCTTTTACTTAGCTATCCTTTGAGAGAGGAGACATTTCCTCAAGTCCAGCTGCAGCAAAGCACAAGCATTCTGGTGGACCAATGTTCCTGGGAACAGATTTGTGCACCATAATGGAAATTTCTGGCATTAACTTCCCCGTTTCCCAATGCTACAAAGCATCCTGCACTAAGGAACACCAAGGGACTGCAAATCCAAGCGCTCAATGTGCCAGTTGAAGGCTGAACCACTCCTATATATTAAATGCAGCCAAAGAAACCAACATGTCCAGCCTCAGCCCAAGCTCTCCAAAGAATCAAGACCTTTTCCTATCCAGAGAACACCGGTATCTGGGCAGCGTCAGAACAGAAGAGCCCAAAGAGAAGTAAAAACGTCGAAGCAAAAAGGCAGTTTTTGGCTCCCAAGTCATTATTTGGCTCAAGATTTGTCTTAATGGAGACTCTTTACTGCCTCCAAGCAAAACACTTCAGTGGAAATAAAACCATCATGTGTTAAGGAAACCAAAAGCAATCCTGTTATCTGTCCCTACGCCTGCTTTTGCACCCTGGCCAAGGAAGCAGCACCATGCCTGTTTCATCCCGATAGGCCACTGCTGCCTGAGTTATCAGCACCTTATCTGCTGTGTGGCAGGCAAGCACCGTTTGCCACGTTACTGCTAAGAGGTGAGTGACAGCACATGGAGGAGCGCCGCTGTTTTAGGAGGAACGGGGCCTCCACGTGCTCAGCCTCCATGGTTTGGGTGAAAAGAGTGATTTTAAAAAGGGCACTCACAACTTAAAGGTTTTACCTAGATCTTCCTCAATCCCCAGCTGCAGTTTCTTCCCTTCCATCTTTTCGATGTCTTCATCATTAAACTTGTACCACTCGCCCGTCTGCGGGTCCTTCACGTGGGCAATGTAGTGCCCGGAGTAGGCACTCACACCACGGTGGATGAGGACAGCACTCAGCTCGTAGACATAGACACCATCTGGAAGGAAAGAGCAGTTAGCCAGTGTTCCAGATGCAACAGCACAGATCTTTCCCTTCCTACTGCTTCATGTTTTCACAAGGCAGCAGGTAAAGACTGCTCCTGAACTTGAATCTCTCCAAGACCTCGCGAAGTAGGTTGTGGCTTCCACAACCCACTTAGTGAGGGAGTTATTTAAAACACGGGCTTCCAACAACTCCTGACATGGTTTCCCATTGAAAAGGGGATTCAGAAGAGATGTGCTGAGGGATGGTGGATAAAGTTAACAAAACAGAGCGCTCAAAACTCACTTTTTTGTTCCATGAAAGGCTCCATGTCAAGCAGCTCTGAGAAGCCGATGTAGGTGTTCAGCTTCTTCTTATGGCCAGTTTGTCTGCGTGGAGGCAAAGCTTCAGGTCAGGGAGAGCAGCAACAGCTCACACCCTAAAAGAACTCCCCCTGAAACCCAAAGGGAAGCCCACACACACTCAATCACAGAATCACAGAACCATAGACTGGTTTTGGGTGGAGGGGACGTTAAAGCTCATCCAGTTCCAATCCCTGCCACACGCAGGGCCACCTTCCACTAGAGCAGCTTGCTCCAAGCCCCTGTGTCCAACCTGGCCTTGAACACTGCCAGGGATGGAGCATTCACCACTACATCCTCAAATTAAAGCAGGAAGAGTGGAGCAGATGACTTGCCAAAGAAGAACCTGGGGAAATCCAGGTTTTACTCCAGTGGGAGGCTCACCTGTCAAACACGAAGCGCATGAGCTGCAGGTTGAGCGTGCAGGGAAGGCTCAGCAGCCTGATCTTCCTCGTGGCATTCTGCTTGCTCTGACACGTCTCACAGAAGTAACGATTGTCCCCTTCTAGTTTTTCTTCCTGAGCAGAGGGGGGGGGGGGGGCAGAAAGAAAGGCCCTGAGACCAGGTTATCACTGAAAACTGAACCAGTCCACACCACTCAGCAGTCATAACCAGTCCATGCTATCCCACAGCTGAAGACTGAAGAGCAAAGAAGTTATTTTAACCACTGAAGTCTCTACCCAGCTGCTTTCCAAAACTTTTTTACCTCTTGGGTAAAAAAAGCACTTTTCAGCATGGCCAGAGTGGGCTGCTTTGACTTTAAGGGCAACTTCAGACCCCATTCCTTGTTCTGAGGTCATTTCAAGGCTGCCAGGTTTGCTCCCCGCTTGACTGAGTTGGTTGATATCAAACGAGGGCCACAGAGAAGGTGAAGAATTAATTAGATTGCCCTTTTCAGAGCTCATATGGACCAAGTTAATGTAAAGCCACATTTCTGCCTGGCAACCCCAGGCCTCTTGCGCTCAGTAACAGACATCACCGTGCAGGAGTCACCGTGTTACATCCATACAGATCCAGCAGCAGGATTAGGCCAGAGGAGAATTCCAGCTGCCCTAAACAAGGCCACGGATGGTTTCACTTGGAGGAGGAGCAGACCAACCTGAAGCTCACCAGTGCAGGGTTTAATGCACGTACCCAAACCAGTCTTTTCCCATAGCAGACCTGCCACAAGTAGAGCAACCGGTTTGCTGAGTGCACCAGTGAAGCTGCTGCTCAGCAGCCAGACAGCTCAGGCACAGAGGCTTCGGCTTAGTCCTGCCCTAAATATTGTCACTTGAATCCACACCTCGAACCTTTAATGTGCCAGAGCTCAACTTAAGACCTAGGATGATTTTCAAGTCGAATTAAGAGCACTTGCAGCTGCTCCCACAGCTATTCCCAACCCTTCCTAGGATTTCAGAGAGCACATTCTGGAGCGGGGAATGTCTCCTGTTGCAGTGCAGATGAGCACTGATATGGAAGACGCAAAAGGCAGCCACTCTCCTGGTGCTATCCACGACAAAGCACGCAGGGATTTCCTGGCAGACTTTGGAGATGTTTTCCCAACTCTGCAGGGAAAGGATCTGAACTGAACACGTGGCTTCAAAGTGCCTTTTACAGCCACAACGTGCACATGGTTTATGCTCTGGTCCAGAGCCACCCTTTGCTTGCTCAATCCTCATTTTGTGGGTGCACAGAAAATGCATTTCCCTTTGGATGCACCTCAGTGGAAGAACTCGGTTGCTTTGCTTCGATATTGACCTCAAAGGCTGTTAATTGAAGGAAGGAATTAAACCACCTTGCTAAGAATAGCAGGCCTTGAATCCCACCGAGCTCATACCTTAAGGAATTCCGTTATACAGTCTGTCAACTGCTTGTGCCCTTGGATGTTTAACTCCAGCTCATAAAACTTAGACACGAGTTTGGACTCTCTGCCACACTGGTTGCAGCTAGGATTGAAGAAACAAAGACAAAACCCCATGAGGACAGTTCACTGCTGTGGGTCTGAACTCCCCAGCCACTGGTAAAGTACTTTATGAGCTATAAAACCAGAAGGAAAAGTTTGACACCTCTACAACACAAAACCTCTGCAGGGAGGGAACAGGGTAACAGCATCTACCAGGAGCATCAGCTTGCACCAGTTTCTATAATTTCTGAGGTGAAATCCACAGCTCTGAGAGCACAGGAAGGAAAATACAAGCCCGAAGCTGCAGGACTTCACATTTCCTTAACTCCCTTGCAGCTTTACTTGGTCAATTATCATTAAAGGCTAAAAAGCAGCTGCAGAACTGCACCATCACCACACAGAGAGCACCAGGAAACCTAAAAACCTCTTACAAAATGCTCTGGCAGATGCTTACCTGCTTGCTCCGATTGGTAGAAGGGCCTTACCCCCCTGCTCCTTTAGCTCTAAAGCATCTAAATATTTACAGAGAGGCTCTTCCCAAAGAGCAGCACTTACACCGTGACGTAGGCGTACTCTCCGCAGAACTGCTTCTGCACTATGTTTCGGACATCTGGGTTCTTTTGTTTGGATAAAGTATCTTCCAGCAGCGACATGAACAGCTTGGAAAACTCCTGGGCATCCTGGAAAAGAACCCCCAAGTCCCTTCACAAGCCATCAGAGCACAAAGCCCAAGCACAACCCCGTTGCTCATTTACTACAAATTACCCAGAGCCCTACACAGGGGCTGCACGGAGGCTGCGGCGTGCGCTGCATGGATAAAGAGACCTCTCAGGAGAACTAAAGGAAAAAGAGGAATTTGCCTCAAAGGAGCGTGAGGCCGCCAGCAGGAGGTAACCTGGCTCCTGGCCAGGCAGTCTGACTCTTGCCCTAGCTCCTTACAAGGCTTTGGAAGGGAAAGGAACCTCCTGCAGAGCTTTCTCCCCTGGTCTCAAAGCTGTGCACGCAACACGAGCTGTCCCTGCCTGTGGGGGGGTCTGAAGGTAAAACAGAATGCCCCAAAAGTGAGAAGCTGCCACCCCCCCTGCAAAGGCCAGGGCCTTCCTCTCCCACCCTGGCTCTCCTTCGCTTTCCTCTCCCAAGAACAAGAGGTTTCGGCCTCTCCTGGCTGTCCTTCCCTATCTCTGGACAGTGGTGACTGCTTCCTTCCCCTCCGGCATCCTCCCAAGGAAACACACACGGAGCTGGGGCTCTTCCTCCCACAGTCTCCATCCGAACTCCTTCACGTGTACATCCAAGCTGTGTCCTTCTCCTGAGCTCCCTCCAGCTTCAGCAACAGCCCCATGGGCCCCACCTGCAGCACTTGTCCCCTTCTAACCCCTCTCTGACCCTCACAGTGCCCCTTGGCTGGCTCCTGGTGACCCCACACTTCTCACCCTGTGAGGGCCCTTCAACACCCCTGAACTACCCATGGGGGAGGAGCAGCCCATAAAGCCCCTGCCAAAGGAGCTCCAGCTCCCACTCCACACAGTGCTGGGGCCCATCAGGTGCTAATAAAACTCCCTGTCCCCATTCCATTGCCCCCCATCCCATTGCTCTCTGGGCTCCTTCTGATCCCCTAAGCCCCAACACTGACAGGAAGAGCCTGCATCACCACTCTGTGCTTACACCAAACAGCAAACCCCAGCTCAGAGACACTAAACCAACACCAAAGGGCAATTCCAAGTGCTCTGAAGGAGGTGGTTACCCAAACCTACCTGCTGCTGCCCCGTGTCCAAGCCCAGCGCCTTGACAAAGCCAGAGGGGTCGATGTATCGCCTCTTGCTGTTCTGCAGCAGGGCAAACAGGTACTGCAGGTGTTCACAAATGCTCTGAGGCTCATAGTCTGTTAAAACAGCACGTTGCACAAGTTACAGACAGCAGTTCAAGGCTGGAGGTAGTTGTGCCCAGTGCCTGGCCTTTCTTTGTAAAGGTGAACTGAGTCATTACAAATCAAATGGGTTTCTCAAAGCCATTTTAAAATCATAGAATGGCTTGGGTTGGAAAGGACAGGGACCCCTTCCACTAGAGCTGCTTGCTCCAAGCCCCTGTGTCCAACTCAGCCTTGAACACTGCCAGGGATGGGGCAGCCACAGCTCCTCTGGGCACCCTGTGCCAGCGCCTCAGCACCCTCACAGGGAAGAGCTTCTGCCTTATGTCCAACCTCAACTTCTCCATTTAAGTTTAAACCCATCACCTCCTGTCCTACCAATACAGTCCCTGATACTGTTAAGAACTGAAGCAGTTCATGACACTGCTGACAGCACAAGCCAAATATCACAGAAACGTGAGATAATTTACAATTGGAAAATCATTCCCCAGGTTGGAAAAAGACCCTTAAGACCACTGAGTCCAAATGTAACCACCCCACAGTGCCTCACGTGAGCTGTAAGCAAAGAGTTCAAGCAGTGTGTGCACATGACCCCCTAGCAACAGCTTCCTGTTAAACCCAAATGGTGAGATATTGCTTAAAAACACCATAAAAACAGGAATGGAAGGAATGGGATCCAGAGGCCACCTATAGCTCTGTGCCGGACACAACGGATGGCACCAGAGGCCATGGTGTCCACTCTGGAGGAAACTGGGAGCCTCAGTTGTACTGGGATCCTAAATTCTTGCCCTCCTATGGGATGAATGAGGCTCCATGGTAGAACAGATCAGCCCCATCCAAGTGCTTCCACCCCCAGCACCATCACTAAGTTGGGAAACACTTTGGGAAGCAGCCCAGCAAGAAACAAACCCAAACCAGGTTTTCCAACCAAATCAGATCACCCCTGGGTGAAGAAATAACACAGATAACGTTTGGGTCATTCCCAAAAGCCAGGTAACGGACCCAAAACCAACAGTGCAGAGATGGGATGAGCGGCTGCTGCTTCACCTATGGATTCTCCCGACAAACATGATCCCAGAGTGAAGTTTAGGAGCAAACCCACGCATGGCAGAGGAGCTGCCACCCACCTTTGTCCTTGGGGATGCCCTCTCCAGCCATGGAGGTGCTGGGACACAAGTAGAGGGCTTGCCGGAGCTCCAGGTTCAGAAACCACATCTGCAGGAAGGTGTTGACGTAGCACGTGGCACCGAGGTTCGTCAAGCCCACAAAGGCGTTCTGGTGTGGGACAGAAAGGAGAGCGCTCGGTACCCGGGGCGGGAGAGGAGAGCAAGCAGCAATCATAGAATCACACAATGGTTTGGGCTGGAGAGGACCTTAAGATCATCCAGCTCCAACCCCTTGCCACTAAGACCTTGTCACTCAACCTGTCCTTGAACACTGCCAGGGATGGGGCAGCCACAGCTTCTCTGGGCACCCTGTGCCAGCACCTCAGCACCCTCACAGGGAAGAGCTTCTGCCTTATCTCCAGCCTGAACTTCCCCTGTTTCAGTTTGAACCCATCACCCCTTGTCCTATCACTCCAGTCCTTGATGAAGAGTCCCTCTCCAACACCCTTGTAGCCCCCTTGACATTGGAAGCTGCTCTGAGGTCTCCACACAGCTTCTCTTCTCCAGGCTGAACAGCCCCAATATTCTCAGCCTGGCTCCATACAGGAGCTGCTCCAGCCCCTGAGCATCCTCATGACCTCCTCTGGACTTGCTCCAACAGCTCCATGTCCTTCTGATGTTGAGGACATACCCAGCACTGAGGCTGTTTGTTGGGAAAACGCTGCCTCCGGCACTGTAAAGCCACATTCCCAAACTCCCTCAGGCTACAGGGGCACCCGAGGTGTTACCTCCCCTCTTCCTTCCCATCTTTTGGGGCGGCTGGGGGGTACCTTCTTGCGGCGCTCGCAGTTGGGGTCGTCGATGTTGTGGAAGCTGTTCTCATCGATCTCACCCAGCCACACGTGCTCCCCGATGCCCACCAGGCAGTTGGGGTTCCCCCGGCAGTTCCTCCTGCAGAACCAGCCCCACTGTCACCCTCACCATCCCTTCAGGGGGCAGGGCATGAGGACAGCAAGGGGGGGTGCCATAGCACTAAACAGAGCCAACAGGGGAGGGATATGGGTCCACTACAACCCCCAAAACAACGGTTATGGGTGAATGAGGAGATGGAGAATAAAAAGGGGAGGGGAAAGGGGGACCCCAGGGAGGATGCCAACAGGAGAAGAGGGGTCCCCCACAACCTCAGAAGGATGCCCTATATCTGGGGAGCCCGGTAACAAGAGGAGTCCCCCACAACCATGAGGGAGAATCCCTGTATCTGAGGACCCAGTTAATATGAAGGGGCCCCCGCAACCTCAGGGGGATCTCCTGTATCTGGGGAGCCGTTTATCAAGAGGGATCCCTTATACATGAGGAGCTGCTTAATGAGAGCTCCCCCACAACCTCAGGGGGGTCCCCAATATCTGAGCTGCCAGTTAACAAGAGGAGTCCCCCACAATCCTGCAGGGGAGCCCCTGTATCTGAGGTCCCACTTGACGGGTCCCCCTTAACCCCAAGGGGGGTCCCCCTACATCTGGGGAGCCAGGCAAGCAGAGGGGCCCCTACAAGCCCGGGGAATGGGGGTCCCAAAGCAGCGAACGGCGGCTCTCCATCGACCCTCATGGACCGGGAACCGCCTCAGGGCCTCCGTAGCCGCACGGTGGGTGGGGGTGGGTGTGAAGGAACGCGGGGTCTCCCCAAGCCCAGAGGGGTGAAGGGCCCTGGGGGAGCCCCCCCCCCAGGCGCGGGGTTTGGGTCCCTCTATCACCGGTGGCGGGTCGGGGGCAGCGGCGCGGGGGGTGCCCGTGGTACCGGCAGGCGCCGCGCTGGCAGGGCTCCAGCCCGACGCGGTAGGCCGCTTCGATGTGCTCCTGCGCCACCGCCTCGGGAGGCACCGTCTCCGTCCAGCGCCACGCCGCCTTCTCCAGCTGCAGCCGAGGCGCCATCACCGACACCGACCGGACCGGACCGGACCGGACACACCGGGACCGGACACACCGGCCCCTCCCGCCGCCGCCGCCGTCAGGGCTGGTGACGCCACTCGCGCGACGCGCTGACGTTGATGACCCGCGACGAGCGCGACGCGCAGCAAGGGGAGAGGGGCGTGGCCGGAGAGTGACTGAACGGGGCGTGGCTTATGGGGAAGGGGCGTGGCTCGGTTGGCGAGGGGGCGGAGTCTGTCTGGGAAGGGGCGGGGCTTGGGCTGCGGGCGCGGAGCCGCTCACGGCCCCGTGTGCGCGCAGTGGCTGGGTCCTGACCCCCCCCCCCCACATCCCCCCCTTGTCCATCCCGGACCCTCCCCGCACCCCCCCACACCATAACCCCACATCCCTGTGCCCCCCATACCACAGCCCCTGTACCCCAAAACATACCCCCTATGCAATGCGCCCCAATGCCCCCCAAAGCCCACCAGACCCTACCCCCGATCCCCTCCATCACCCCCATACCCCCTCAGCCCCCCACACCGCAGCACCCCTATACCCCCCATGCCATATCCCTCCCACACCCTCACTCTATACCCTCCCCGTACCCCCACACCATATCCCCTGTACACCCCAACTCTCACATCCCCCATACCATACCCCCCCTTCACCCCAACCCCATGTCATATCCCTCCCACACCCTCACCCTATACCCTCCCCATACCCCCTATACCCCCAAACTCTCACATCCCCCATACCATACCCCCCTTCACCCCAATACCCCCATACCCCCCATGCTCCCCCATCAGCATACCCCCGCACCCCAATACCAAAACCCTCCCATACTACTCCCCTATACCCCCATACCCTCCCGGTGTACGCCCCCGGCGCACCCCAACACACACGGGCTGGTTCTCTCTCCTTTAATGCTGCCCCTGGGGGCCCCGCCAGCACCCGATTGTCCCTCGCATCCCCACCCCGCCTCCATCCCGGGGGGCCCCGGGCGGCCCGGCCGCCCCGGCACAGGTTTGGGGGGCTGGTGTAGTGGTGGTGGTGGGGGGTGTAAACATTTATGGGGGTCCCGGCCCCCCCCCCCCCGGGGTCACCCCGGGGCAGCGAAGCACCGTTTCCTCCTGTCTTGTTTTTGGAAAAAGAGTAAAATTGGCCAAATTCCCCCCAAAATACAGCCGGGGGGGTGGGATATGTTAGTGCGGGCAGGGGGGGGCGGGGGAGCCCCCCACCGCGCCGTGCCGCAGGTCGATGGGGTGTCGGGGGGCACCAGCGGGCGCCAGCACCAGGCCCCGCAGGCACCCGGTGATGCCGGAGCGGTACTTGCCGGCCGTCAGGCTGGGGGGGTCTGGGGCGCCGCCTGTGGGACACGGGGACATGAGGACATGGGGCACAAAGGGGTGTGGGGCACCCCATGGGCTCACCCCATATCGGGTCTCACCTGGACATGGGCATCGCACCCCCCATCCCATGGCCCATCAGGTGTCCCATCCCATGTCCACCCCATATCCCATCCCATGTCCACCCCATATCCCATCCCATGTCCACCCCATATCCCATCCCATATCCACCCCATGTCCCATCCCATGTCCACCCCATGTCCCATCCCATGTCCACCCCATATCCCATCCCATGTCCACCCATGTCCACCCCATGTCCCATCCCATGTCCACCCCATATCCCACTCCATGTTCCCCCATGTCCCATCCCATGTCCACCCCATGTCCCATCCCATGTCCACCCCATATCCCACTCCATGTCCCCCCATGTCCCATCCCGTGTACATCCCATGTCCCATCCCATGTGCACCCCATGTCCCCTCCCATGGCCATCCCTGCCCTGTCCCATCAATGCCCCCACCCCATGTCCCATCCCATATCCATTCCATGTGCCACAATGTGTCCTATCCCCTGTCCCATCAGGTGTCCTGTCCCATGTCCCATCCCATGGCCATTCCCTGCCCCATCCCATGGCCCATCAAGCCTCCCCTCCCCATGTGCACTCCGTGTCTCACCCCATGGCCATCCCATGTGACTCATCCTGTGTCCAACCACAACGCCATCCTATGTCCCATCAGGTATTCCACCCCATCTCCCATCCCGTGGTCACCCCATGGTACATCATGTGGGCCCACCCATGTCCCTTTCCATGTCCCCCCCATGTCCTATCAAGTGTCCCCTGCCCTGCCCTATGTCCCATCACATCATCCCCACCCCAGTCCATCCCGTGCCCCCTCCCATGTCCCATTGTGTGTCCCCTTCCCGTGTCCCCATCCCATGTCCCATCCAGTGTCCAGCCCAGGAACCACCCATGACCCATCCTGTGTGAGCCCCGTGTCTCACCCCTGACCATGTCCCCCCCCTCTGTCCCCAGGTGCCACCGTACCCACGTAGATGCTGCCCTCGGTGTTGGCCATGATGTTGGTTCCTGGGGACTCCCCACTCACCGGCTCCTCCCCATCCACCTGCAGCTGCCCGCGACGGCCCTCCCTGCACAGCACCATCAGCACCCATCAGCACCCATCAGCACCAGCACCACCAGCACCAGCACCACCAGCACCAGCGCTCATCAGCACCGGCACCCACCAGCACCAGTACCACCAGCACTGGCACCCATCAGCACCCATCAGCACCAGCACCACCAGCACTGGCACCCATCAGCACCAGCACAACCAGCACCGGCACCACCAGCACTGGCATCCATCAGCACCGGCACCCATCAGCACCCACCAGCACCAGCGCTCATCAGCACCAGCACCCATAAGCATCAGCACCACCAGCACTGGCACCCATCAGCACCGGCACCACCAGCACTGGCACCCATCAGCACTGGTGCCCATCAGCACCAGCACCACCAGCACTGGCACCCACAAGCACTGGTGCCCATCAGCACCAGCACCACCAGCACTAGCACCCATCAGCACCAGCACCACCAGCACTGGCACCCATCAGCACCCACCAGCACCAGCACTCATCAGCACCGGCACCCACCAGCACCAGCACCACCAGCACTGGCACCCATCAGCACTGGTGCCCATCAGCACCAGCACCACCAGCACTGGCACCCATCAGCACCCACCAGCACCAGCACCACCAGCACTAGCACCCATCAGCACCCATCAGCACCAGCACCACCAGCACTGGCATCCATTAGCACCGGCACCACCAGCACGGGCACCCATCAGCACTCACCAGCAGCAGCACCATCAGACCCATCAGCACCCACCAGCACCAGTGCTCATCAGAACCAGCACCCATCACCACCAGCACCCACCAGCACCAACACCATCAGCACTGGCACCCATCAGCACTCACCAGCAGCAGCACCATCAGACCCATCAGCACCCACCAGCACCAGTGCTCATCAGAACCAGCACCCATCACCACCAGCACCCACCAGCACCAACACCATCAGCACTGGCACCCATCAGCACTTGCCAGCAGCAGCACCATCAGATCCGTCAGCACCCACCAGCACCCTCACCATCAGCACCCATCAGCACCTTTCACCCACCTTGTCACTGTCACCCGGTGCCACTCGCCATCATTGATGGGATCTTCGGAGATGATGGTGCCCTCACCACTGCCCAGCTGGTAGCTGCAGGGTGACATGGGCTCAGCATGGGGGCACCCATGGGTGTCACAGAGCAGCCCAGGGTGACACCGGGTCCCCCTCACCTGAACACCAGGTGCCCATCCTTCAAGCCGAGGCCAATGAAGTCTTTGGCTTTGCCACCCTCGCTGGGCTCCTGTGGGTGCAGTGGGGCAGTGAGCACGGTGGGGACACCCTGACCCCCCCCTCCATGGGGCTCAGCACCCCGGGACCCCCAGCACCACTCACCGCCCCATGCCACAGCACCAGCCCCTCAGCGCTGCCCGTCCGCAGCTCCAGCTCCATGGTCTCGGGTGCCTCGGGGGGGCTGCGGGGACAGGGGATGGATTGATGGGTGCAGGACCAAGGGGGGTTACAGTGTGCAATGGGTGCAGCACCCAGGGGGGTTACAGTGTGCAATGGGTGCAGCACCCAGGGGTGGTTACAGTGTGCAATGGGTGCAGCGCCCAGGGGTGGTTACAGTGTGCAATGGGTGCAGCACCCTGAGGTGGTTACAGTGCGCAATGGGTGCAGCACCCTGAGGTGGTTAGTGTGCAATGAGTGCAGCACCCAGGGGTGGTTACAGTGTGCAATGGGTGCAGCACCCAGAGGTGGTTACAGTGTGCAATGGGTGCAGCACCCTGAGGTGGTTACAGTGTGCAATGGGTGCAGCACCCTGGGGTGGTTACAGTGTGCAATGGGTGCAGTGCCCCGAGGGGGTTACAGTGTGCAATGGGTGCAGCACCCTGGGGTGGTTACAGTGTGCAATGGGTGCAGCGCCCCGAGGGGGTTACAGTGTGCAATGGGTGCAGCACCCCGGGGTGGTTACAGTGTGCAATGGGTGCAGCACCCAGAGGGGTTACAGTGTGCAATGGGTGCAGCACCCCAGGGGGGTTACAGTGTGCAATGGGTGCAGCACCCAGAGGTGGTTACAGTGTGCAATGGGTGCAGCGCCCCGAGGGGGTTACAGTGTGCAATGGGTGCAGCACCCAGAGGGGTTACAGTGTGCAATGGGTGCAGTACCCAGAGGTGGTTACAGTGTGCAATGGGTGCAGCACCCAGAGGGGTTACAGTGTGCAATGGGTGCAGCACCCCAAAGGGGTTACAGTGTGCAATGGGTGCAGCACCCAGAGGGGTTACAGTATGCAGTGGGTGCAGCACCCTGGGGTGGCTGCAGTGTACAGTGGGTGCAGTGCTGTGTGAAGCCGCAGCACCCGGTGGGTGCCATGGGCAGGCTTTGAGCACAGCACCCACCAGGGTGCCCCATCCTTGTCACTCACCCTCGGGGCAGGAGGTGGGCGGGCAGGGCCAGGTAGGAGCCATCCTGGAGACTGACACTGAACTGTCCTGGGGCATCTGTGGGGGGGGATATGGGGGGGTCACAGGGGGTCCTTTTGGGTACCAGAAGGGGGTAAATGGGTGCTGGACCTACCGCTGCCCCCGCTGCCCTCCTGCCAGTCCTGCTCCAGCTCCAGGGCCAGACCTGCGGGTGAAGGATGGGGATGGGGTGTGAGTGCCCCCCATGTCCCCCGTGTCCCCGGGGGTCCCCCCGTGTCCCCACGTCCCCACTCACGGTGCTGGCAGAGGGGGCCGCTGTAGCCGGGGGGGCAGAGGCAGGCTGTGCCGGTGCAGGTGCCACCGTGCAGGCAGGGCTGGCGCGGGCACCCTTCCTCCTCCTGCTCACAGCGCGGCCCTGGGGACACCCACGGCATCACCCCATGAGGGGTGTGCATGCACGTGTATGCACAGTGCATGTGTATGCACACGTGTGCAAACTGCACCCATGGGGGTGCACGGCACCCATGCATACGCACCAACCCATACACGCATGCACTGCACTATGCACACGTACACTGCGTACTGCACACACACGTGCAGCAGATGCACCCCCTTGCAGGCTACACACATGCACATGTCTGTAGTGCACATACATACACAGCACACATGCAGAGCACACAGTATGCAGCACAGGGCACACACACTCACAGCACACATGCATGCACAGCACACACAGTGTACATGCATGCACAGGACACATGCATGTACAGGACACACAGCACTTGTCATACGCAGCACACACATGCACAGTGCACATGGATGCACAGCACACGTGTGCACATGGATGCACAGCCGCCACCATGCGCAATACACACGTGCGTAGTGCACATGCTTGCACACACAGCATGTGTGCACACATCCATGCACACATCCATCCATGCACACATCATTGTACACCTCCATGCACACACACATCCATCCATGCCCACTCATCCATGCACACACATCCATGCACACACACTCATTCATGCACACCTCCATCCACGCCTCCATACACACCTCCATGCACACCTCCATGTACACATCCACGCACACACCCATGCACACACACATCCACCCATGCACACACCCACACACCCACATGCACATCCATGCACACACACATCCAACCATGCACTCACCCATGCACACACATCCATGCATGCACACCTCCATCCACACCTCCATGCATGCATCCATGTACACCACCACACACACATCCATGCACACACACATCCACCCACACACACATCCACCCATGCACACACCTCCCCATCCATGCCCACCTCCACCCATGCCCACCCATCCCTGCCTACCTCCAGCCATCCACACATCCATGCCCACATCCATGCACACACACCTCCATCCCTGCCCACCTCCATCCCTGCCCACCTCCATCCCTGCCCACCTCCATCCCTGCCCACCCATCCCTACCCACCTCCATCCCTGCCCACCTCCATCCCTGCCCACCTCCATCCCTACCCACCTCCATCCCTGCCCACCCATCCCTGCCCACCTCCATCCCTGCCCACCCATCCCTGCCCACCTCCATCCCTGCCCACCCATCCCTGCCCACCCATCCCTGCCCACCTCCATCCCTGCCCACCTCCATCCCTGCCCACCCATCCCTGCCCACCTCCATCCCTGCCCATCCCTGCCCACCCATCCCTGCCCACCCATCCCTGCCCACCCATCCCTGCCCACCTCCATCCCTGCCCACCCATCCCTACCCACCTCCATCCCTGCCCACCCATCCCTGCCCACCCATCCCTGCCCACCTCCACGCACGCACTCATCCACACACACACCCTCACTCTCACCGCTGAAACCGGGCTGGCAGCGGCAGCTCGGGGCGGCCCCGGGGGCTGCGGGGCGCAGGCAGCGACCCCCGTGCACGCAAACGGCCCCGGCGCAGGGCGAGCGGCCCCGGCACTGCCCCACGCCGCGGCTCCGCAGGAACCCATAGGGCAGCTCCAGGCGCTTCCCGTTGATGGACACCTGCGGACGGGGGGGTGATGGTGAGCGGGGGGGGGGGGGGGCAGCCCCGTCCTGCGCCCCCCGGGGGTGCGGGGTGGGGCTGGGCTCCGGCTCCCACCTCTCCGATGCAGCCCTGGAAGGAGGCGTTGGTTGGGGGGCGCAGGGGGGGCTCGGTGCCCCCCAGGTAAAGCGGGGAGCGAAGGTTCAGCCCCAGGCTCTTGCCGGGCGAGGAGCGTTTCACCGCCGCGGCCTCGTCCACCACCAGGGTCCCGTCCTTGTGCACCCGCTCGGCCATCACCCAGTGCCACTGCCCCAGCGCCAGCGGCTCCGCGCTCCGCAGCACCGCCGTGCCTGTGGGGATGGGGTGGGGGTGTCACTGGGGGGGAGGGGGCAGGGGTGGTTGGGGACCAAAGTGATGCCGGGGGATCCCAGTGATGTGACAGTGATGCTTGGGGACACTGGCAGTGCCTGGGGACCAAAGTGATGCCAGGGGATCCCAGTGATGTGACAGTGGTGCTTGGGGACACTGGCAGTGCCTGGGGACCAAAGTGATGCCAGGGGACCCCACTGATGTGACAGTGGTGCTTGGGGACACTGGCAGTGCCTGGGGACCAAAGTGATGCCAGGAGACCCCAGTGATGTGACAGTGGTGCTTGGGGACACTGGCAGTGCCTGGGGACCAAAGTGATGCCAGGAGACCCCACTGATGTGACAGTGATGCTTGGGGACACTGGCAGTGCCTGGGGACCAAAGTGATGCCAGGGGATCCCAGTGATGTGACAGTGATGCTTGGGGACACTGGCAGTGCCGGGGAACCAAAGTGATGCCAGGGGATCCCAGTGGTGTCACTGTGATGCTTGGGGACACTGGCAGTATCTGGGGACTAAAGTGATGCCAGGGGATCCCAGTGATGTGCCAGTGATGCTTGGGGACCCTGGGACCATCTGGGGACCAAAGTGATGCCAAGGGATTCCAGTGACATCAGGGCACCCTGATGATACCTGGGGACCACACTGGTAGAATGGGATACTGGTGATGGCCATGGAACTTGGCAGCACCTGGGGACCCCAATGAGGGCAAGGAACCCCCAGTGACACCAGGAGACCCCACTGATGTCCAGTGACACTGGGACCTCAATGAGGCCAAGGGACCCCAACAGGCCAAAGGACACTTGGGGACCCCAATGACGCAGGTGGCCCCCGGCAGCACCAGCTCACCCCACCTCTACCTGGTGCCACCAGCACCCCCGTGCCCGCTCCAGCCCACCTGAGCCCAGCTCATAGCGGAACTCGAGGTGGCCGCCAGCCATGGACAAGGCCACGAAGTCCTCGACCGGGGCGGCTTTGCCGGCGCTGAAGAACAGGAGCCCGTCGGGAGCCAGCGGCAGGAACTCGGCCTCCACCCGCAGCTCGTGGTGCACGTTGGTGAGGGGCGGGTAGGACACGAAGGCTCCGGCCTCGCCGAAGGACGGCACCGTCACCGCCTCGCCTGCGGCACCCCCGTCAGCACCCAGCGTGTGGGACCCCAGCCCCATCCATAGGGTCCCCAGCGTGGTCCCCATCCTGTCCCCATCTCCCCAGGCCGGTACCCAGACCCGTGCCCATCTCCCCAGGGTGGTCCCCAATCCCCCCTCCCCATCACTCCCATCTCCCTGGGATGGCACCCAATGGCCCATCTCCATCACATCCATGAAGCCCATCTCTCCAGACGGAACCTATTCCCCAGGCCCCATCGCGCCTGTGTCCCCACGGTGATGCCAGCCCCATGTCCGTGTCTCAGGGTGGTCCCCAGCCATATCCCCACCTCCCTTGGGTGCTCCCCACCCTGTGCTCATCTTGCTGGGGCACCCTCCGTCCCGTGCCCGTATCCCCAGAGTGCTCCCCATCCTATCACCATCTCACTGGGGCGGTCCCCATCCCATGCCCCTATCCCTGTGGTGCTTCCCAGCCACATCCCCATGTCCCCAGGGTGGTTCCTATCCCATAACCATGAGGGTGCTCCCCAGCCATGTTCCCATCTCCCTGGAGTGTTTCCCATCCCATGCCCATCTCTCATGGTTAGTCCCCACACTATGCCCATATCCCCAGGGTTCTCCCCACCCCATTCCCATATCCCCAGGGTTCTCCCCACCCCATCCCCATCTCCCCAGGGTTCCCCCCACCCCATCCCCGTATCCCCAGGGGCTCTCCCCACCCCATCCCCATATCCCCAGGGTTCTTTCCACCCCATTCTCATATCCCCAGGGTTCTCCCCACCCCATCCCCATCTCCCCAGGTTTCTCCCCACCCCGTAACCATGTCCCTGGCATGGTGACAGCCCCACATCCCCCTGCGCTCACCCTCGGTGCACCTCTCCCCGCTCTTGCCCAGGTGGCAGCGGCAGGTATAGCCCGTCCCATCGGGCCGGTTGACGCAGGTGGCATCAGCCCCACACGCCTCTATGGGGTGACACAGAGCAGTGAGCACCCACCCAGTACAGACATCAGGGGAACGACGTCCTGCAGGTCGGGGTGTCCCCTACCCGGGTGACAATGCGACGCCTGCGAGTACTCGCAGTTGCTGCCGGTGAAGCCATGGGGACAGCGGCAGACGTAGGTGCCGCTCTCGGCGTCCTGGCACACGCCACCGTTCTATGGGGGGGTGACATCGGTGTCAGTGATAGGCGGCCATGGGTTGCCACGGGTGGGCATCACCCCCCCGCCACCACCACCACCAGCACCAGCCTCACCTGGCACGGCTGGTCCTGGCACGTGGGACAGCTGGTGATACCGTGCGCCTGCAGGTCCATGTCCCCAAAGGCCACCTCCTCCCCTTGGATGCGGAGCTGGCGCACGCAGCCTACGCAGGGATGGAGATCGGGGGTCACGCGATGCTCTGCCCCACACGGTGCCCCCCCCAAACCCCATCACTCACCCATAAACCCACGGCTGAGCCCCGTCTTCTCCACGGCGCTGAAGTCGGGGTAACCCCCCAGGTACAGCTCCTCGTTCAGGTCCAGCCCTTGAAACCTCCCCTGCAGGGCACACAATGGGATGGGCGCCACCTCCAGCACCCTGACCCCCACCCAATGTGCACAGCACCACCCCCAAAGCTCTACCTGGGAGGTGCCATTGACCGGGGGGTGCCCCTCCAGTGCCAGTGAACCCCATGTCAGGTTGCGGAGCAGCCGGATGCTGTGGTACTCGCCCAGGCGCAGTTGTGTTGGGTGCCGGATGGTCGCCATGCCCGAACCGGCGTCAAACCTTCGTTATGGGGGGCACAACACGTGCAGGTGGGTGCTGGCACCCGTCTATCCCCCCCCACACCTTTCCCTTTTCCCATAGCACCCACTTGTGGGTCTCACCTGAACTCGGGGCGCCCGCCCACCAAACCGAAGGAGATGAAGTCGGCACCGCTGGTTTTGCGCTGCCCGTTGTAGAGGAGGAGCCCTATGGGGTGGCAGTGGGTCAGGAAGGATGGGCCCGACTGGGCCACGTCCTGGGGACCCCAAAATACCCCCAGGGTGGAGGAGGAACCCCCCATAGGTTGTGGAGGGGCTCAGACGGACAGGGAATGGGAGGTAAAGGAAGGGGATGATGGAGGGAGGGTGGAGAGGGAAGGGAGGAGGAAGAGATGGAGGGGACATGGAGGAACATGGGGGAACAAGGAGACAACAGTAAACGACATGGGGGGACATGAGTGGGGCATGGAGGTGCACGAAGGGAACATGGAGGGAGAAGGAGGCAACATGGAAAGGATGCGGAGAGGACATGATGGGGAGATGGAGGGACATGAGGGCACATGGGGTGACACAGGGGTCCCATCAGGCCTCACCATCAGCAGCGTCCGGCCGGAAGGTGATGAGGATCTCAAACCTCTTGTAGGCATCCTTGATGGTGGGCAGGGGCAGGAAGGAGCGGGGCGTCTGCCCAAAATAGGGGAGCAGGCGCTCTGCGGGATGGGGGTTAGGAGGTGAGTTAGGACAGCCCTCATCCTGTCCATCCATCCATCCATCATCCATCCCTCCATCCATCATCCATCCATCCATCCAACATCCATCCATCCATCCATCCCTTCATCATCCCTCCATCCATCCCTCCATCATCCATCCATTATTCATCCATCTCTCCATCATCCATCCCTCCATCATGCATCCATCATCCCTCCATCCATCCATCCATCCAACATCCATCCATCCATCCACCCATCCATCCCTTCATTATCCCTCCATCCCTCCATCATCCATCCATCATCCATCCATCCATCATCCCTCCATCCCTCCATCATCCCTCCATCATCCCTCCATCATCCTTCCATCCATCATCCATCCATTATTCATCCACCCCTCCATCATCCATCCATTATTCATCCATCTGTCCATCATCCATCTCTCCATCATCCATCCATCTGTCCATCATCCATCCCTCCATCATCCATCCATCCATCATCCCTCCATCCATCCATCCATCCATCCATCCATCCATCCATCCATCCCTCCATCATCCCTCCATCCATCCCTCCATCATCCATCCATCCATCCCTCCTCCTCACCTCGGACCTTGAGCACGTAATACGCTGTCTCCCGGCCGCGGTGGTTGGCAGCAGCACAGGCATAGACACCAGCATCCTCATGGCTCACAGCCGGCAGCGTCAGCACGTTCCCCTCCACCTTGGCACCGGCCGGCAGCTCCCCCTCCAGCTACAGCATTGGGTGAGCACCCACGGGGCACCGCCACCACCCTACACCCCATCCCACATCCCTCCTTCTCACCTTGCTCCAGGTGATCTCCGGCACCGGGAATCCCGATGCCAAACAGGGCAAAACAGCCGCGGCTCCCACCGAGACCTCCTTCACCTCCGGCTGCCCGGCGATCTGGGGGGTGGCTGCGGACACACGGAGCTGTCACCCCCCCTGCGGTGACACCGCGCTGGGCGTCCCCAGCCCCACATCCCCGTCGTCACCTTGCACGTGGAGGATGACGTGGGACTGGACGGTGCCCACGGCGTTGGTGGCGGTGCAGCGGTACTGCCCGGCGTCCGCCCGCTCCACGCGCTCGAAGGTGAGGGTGCCAGCGCGCACCAGCACCCCGGGCCGGATGCGGCCCCCCACTTTGCTCCAGGTGACGTGGGGACGGGGGTCGCCCAAGCCCAGGCACTCCAGCTCCACTGAGGTCCCGGCGAGCACCGTCTGCACCGCGGTCCGGATGTTGATCAGCGCCCTGGGGAGAGCTTGGGGGGGGACGACACAGTGGGGCTTTGGGGTGTCCCCATGGCATCCGGGCGACTGGGAGATGGGGAGAAGTGGGGTGCTTGAGAGCGTGGGGGGGCCGTTGGGTTGGCTGTGGCATGGGGAGAGGTTGGGGGTGTTGGGGTACTCATGGGTATAGGGAGAGATGAGGAGTGCTGGGATGCCCGTGGGAATGGGGAGAGATTGAGGGTGTTGGGGTGCCCACGGGCAAAGGGAGAGATTTGGGGTATCAGGGTGTCAGTGGTATATGGAGAGATTTGGGCTATTGGGGTACCTATGGGTGTAGGGAGAGATGGGGGGTACCAGGCTGCCCAGGGATGTGGGGAGATATGGGGGCATATTGGGGAACAGAAAGAAGAAACTGGGGATACAAGGGTACCAATGGCCATGGGGAAAGGGGGGGTACTGGGGTGCCCGAGTGTGGAGAGAGATGGGGGGGATACTGGGGTGCCCATGGGAAGGGGAAGACATAGGAGGTACCAGGGTGCTAATTGGCATGGGGAGATGAGGGGTACCAGGATGCTCATGGACGTGAGGAGAGATGGGGGGTACTGGGGTGCCCATGGGCATAGGGACAGATGGGGGGTACCGGGCTGCCCATGCTCATGGGGGCCAGGTCGAGGGGTGCCCGTGTCCCCCAGTCCGTGGGGGCTGCTCCTACCCTGCATGCTGAGGGTGGCCCTGTCCTCCGCCTGCCTGCCTGGGGCGCTGGCCCGGCACACATAGACCCCCTGCGCGCCCCACGCCAGCTCCGGTATCCTATGGGACACAGGCAGGGGGTGGGACACAGCCGGGAGGTGGGACCCCATGGGGGGAACCCCGTGCTCCATTGCTGCTCCTCACCTCAGCACCCCGTCCCGCACGCTGTGGTTGGGGGGCAGCTCCCCACCGTCCTTCAACCACACCAGATGCACCCGGGGGTCCCCAGAGACAGCACAAGTGAATTCAGCCGTGCCGCCAATGCCCCTGACGAGGCTCCCCGGTGTCACCCGCACCACCAAGGGACCGCCGATGGCATCCCCACCGTCACCGGCATCACCTGCGCGGGATGCAAAGCCTTGATGGCACCGGTGGCACCGCGGCGGTGGCGGCGCCCGCGGCTCGGGACGGGGCTCACCATGGACGGCCACGCGGGAGAAGGCCTCGGCGGTGCCCACGCGGTTGGTGACGCGGCAGCGGTAGGTGCCGGCATCGGCGGGCAGCGCGGGGCTGATGTGCAGGAGGCCGGCGCGGTGGCTGGTGCGTGCCGAGAGGCTGCCGTTGAGCTTGTCCCACGTGTAGAGCAGCGGGGGGGTGCCATGGGCCAGGCACTGCACCTGCAGCGCGTCACCGGCGCGCACCGCGGTGTCCTCCGGCAGGCTGGTGGCGTATGGTGGTGCTGCGGGGGTGGACGGTGCCGTGAGCACCACGGTACCGTGTGTACCCAGGTACCATGAGCATCCAGTACCAGGAGCACCCCAGTACCGTTAGCACTCGGCACCAGGAGCACCCCAGTACCGTTAGCACCCTAAGAGAGCCAGGATGGGATAAGGCATAGGGCAAGGAGGGCTTTGGTGGGAGCCAGTGGGAGGGGGTGGTGGAGATGGAGATGGGCATGTGTTGGGATGGACAAGAGATGGATGGATCCGTGAGGATGGGAGGGATGGAGAACCCTGAGAGGAGATGAAGAGATGGGCATGTGCTGGGATGGATAAGAGATGGATAGATCCATTATGAAAGGGATGGATGGAGGTGAGTGAGAGAAGATGGAGAGATGGATGTGAGGTGGTACGGCTGAGTGATGGATGAATCCACAAGGAAGAGTTGGATGGAGGGATGAGTTCGAGAGGAGGTGCACAGAAGGGCATCTGCTGGGATGAATGAGATGGATGCAGAAGGGATGGGTGCAGGGATGTGGTAAGAGATGGAGAGATGGGTGTGAGCTGGGATGGCTGATGGTTGATGGATGAATCCATCAGGAAGGGGTGGATGGAGGAGTCTGAGAGGAAATGGAGAGATAGGTGTGTGCCGGGATGGGCACATGCGGAAGGGATGAATGGGTGAGTTAGGAGATAAAGAGGTGACCATGTGCTGGGATGGATGGGAGATGGATGAATCCACAAGGAAATGATGGATTGAGTAGTTTGAGAGGAGGTGGAGAGATGGATGTGAGCTGGGATAGCTGAATGATGGATGAAACCACGAGGAAGAGATGGATGGAGGGGTGTGAAAGAAATGGAGAGATGGACACGTGCTGGGATGGATGAGAGATGGATGAATCCATAAGGAAGGGATGGATGGATGAGTTTGAGATGGAAAGATGGGTGTGTGCTGGGATGAATGAGATGGATGGCTGCACAAGGAAGGGGCGGATGCAGGGATGTGAAAGCAGTTGGAGATGAGCGTGAGGTGGGGTGGCTGAGTGACAGACGAATCCTCAAAGAGGTAAATGGAGGAGTTAGAAGATGGAGAGAGGATGATGTGCTGGGATGGATGAGAGAGAAATGACTCCACCAGGAAGGAGTGGATGGAGGGTGTGAGAGGAGATGGAGAGATGAGTGTGAGCTGCAATGGATGAGTGACGGATAGATGCATGAATGGAAGAGGAGAGAGCAGTAGTACCCTGTGTGCACACAGGGATGGGACCAGCAGACGCACACATCCATGGGAAAGGCTGGATGACAGAGAGGCAACAGGAGGATGAGTGCCGGGATGGAGCCAGGATGGATGCACGAGGAAGGGCTATGGGATGGGATGGGATGGAGACAGCCACATGCTGAGAAAGGACAGAGAGGAGCCACAGATGGGTGATGGCAACAGCGGGAGCAAAGGAGACAATGGAGATGGCTTCAAGGACCCAGAGGCACCCCGACCCCCTGGCACCCCCTTACTCTCCACGTCGAGGGTGACGAAGGCCTCGGTGGCACCGGCGGCACTGGTAGCGTTGCAGATGTACTGCCCCGAGTCCTGCTGCGCGGCGCGGGGGATCACCAGCGTCCCGTTCACCACCCGGTGCTGCCACGGCAGCGGCGCCCGCAGCTTCGACCACTCGATGCGGGGCTCCGGGTCCCCTATGGGCAACACCGGCGCCCGTCACCGCGGCATCAGGGCGCCGACCCCTCCATCACCGCCACCCTCCTGCATCCATCCTCTGCCGTACCTCTGGCCGTGCAGTGCAGCGTGGCTGTGTCCCCGGCCACCACGGTGACAGCGGCAGGCGCCGAGACCTCGGGGGCACCCGGGTGCCGCTGCGCTGACTCCACGGTGACGTCCACCCGTGCCTGCGCCGAGCCCAGGGCGCTGTGCGCGGTGCAGACGTAGGTGCCGGCGTGCTCCGGCTTGGCTGGTGAGAGCTGGGTGGTGGGGACAGGGTGGTGGTGAGCACCGGGCACCCATGGGCACCCATCAGCACCCATCGGCACCCCCGCTGACCTGCAGGATGGCCTGGCTGTCCATGTGCAGCAGTGTCTGGTGCTCCACCTTCTGCCGGGAGCCCGGCCGGCTCCAGCGCACCAGCGGCCGTGGCTCGCCCCGGCCCAGGCACTCCAGGCTCAGGGATTTGCCCTCCTTCACCGACACGGGGCCCGGTGGCATCACCGACACCGTGGGGGCACCTGGAGGAGGAGATCAGTGCAGGGATGGGGATGCCAGCACTAAGGGTGATGGAGTGGCCTTGGGGACAACGTCACTAAGGGGTATCTGGAGCATGCGGGGGACATCAGCATAGGGATGGGGACACCACCATCCCAGGAGCATCTGGAGCCAGTGGAGGACATGGGGATGGGAACACCACCATCCCAGGAGCATCTGGAGCCAATGGAGGACATGGGGATGGGGACACCACCATCCCAGGAGCATCTGGAGCCAATGGAGGACATGGGGATGGGAACACCACCATCCCAGGAGCATCTGGAGCCAATGGAGGACATGGGGATGGGGACACCACCATCCCAGGAGCATCTGGAGCCAATGGAGGACATGGGGATGGGGACACCACCATCCCAGGAGCATCTGGAGCCAATGGAGGACATGGGGATGGGAACACCACCATCCCAGGAGCATCTGGAGCCCATGGAGGACATGGGGATGGGGACACCACCATCCCAGGAGCATCTGGAGCCAATGGAGGACATGGGGATGGGGACACCACCATGCCAGGAGCATCTGGAGCCCATGGAGGATATCAGCATGGGGACCTGGGCACCACTATTCCAGGAGCACCTGAAGCATGGCCACGAGGATGGGGACACCATCACCCCAGCAGTGTCTGGAGCACATGGAGGATACCAGTATGGAGACTGGACTGGAGCAGGGACACCACCACCCTAGGGCATCTGGAGCTCATGAAGGACATAGGGATGGGGACACCACCACCCCAGGGGCATCTGAAGGGGACAGGGCCAGGGCCACCTCGCACCTTGCACCAGGAGGTTGACAACGCTGCTAGCAACACCAAAGCGGTTGGAAGCCACGCAGTGATAGGCACCCTGGTTGCTCACATGGGCACCGGTGATGGAGATGACGGAGCCGTTGGCGCTGATCTTCACATTGTCTGGGCGAGGAGGAGCCATCAGCACCGGGGCCACCTTGGAGATGGCATCGGGGCCACCCTGGGTGCCACCATACCTTGGAAATGTTGGCCAGGTCCCATCCGCCAAGTGATGTTGACGGGCCGGGCGCCGTCGTGGACGCGGCACTTGAAGGTGGCATCCTCACCCGGTGCCACCGCCATGCTGTGCGGGTCGATGGAGATGATGGGGCTCTGCAGGCCTGCAGGGACAACGGGAAGCCACGAGGTCACCCACGTCCCCTGTACCCCAACCCCCCGGCATCTTACCGCACTCACGGTAGCTGGAGCTGTCCCGGGAGGTGACGGTGACGGTGACGGTGGCCTCGCGGGACACGCTGCCCGTGTCAGCCCGGCACACGTACTCCCCCGAATCGGCCACCGAGAGCTGGGACAGGCGCAGGCGCGACCCCGACATCTGGGGACACGATGGCAAGAGGTGGTGGTGGTGGTGGTGGTGGTGGTGGCATCACCCACAGCCACCGTCCCCCACCCCATCACAACCCCACAGACCTGGTGCTTGGCCGGGAGGGCCCCCCCACGCTTGTACCAGGTGATGGTGGCTTGGCCCTGCCCGGCCACCACGCAGTCCAGGTCCAGGGTCTGTCCCTCGGTGACGGAGGATGCGGAGGACTCGATGCGGATGGGGGACGTGACACCGGTGGCTGCGGGGCAGGGTGAAGGGTGAACGTCCCCACTGGTCCCCGGCACCGGCAGGGCCCCGTCCCCTGGAGGGGGGCACTCACAGTGGGACGGGTTGGCTCCATCATCGATGGTGACGATGAGGGACGTCTCCTGCGTGATGCCACCCGATGTCACCCTGCACACGTACTCCCCTGAATCGGCTGCTGTCACCTGGGGGATGCGCAGGCGGGAGCCCGACACCTCGAGGGGACAACATGGGGACAAGTCAGCACCACAGAGCACAGAACAGGATGAACACAGGGTGACCCCCCCCCCTCCCCGTACCAACGCACCCTTACCTGGTGTCCGGCGGGCAGGGAGCCGCCGCGCTTGTACCACGTCACGGTGGTGGGACCGGACCCTGCCACCACGCAGTTGAGGTCCAGGACCTGTCCCTCAGCGATGGCCGAGGACAAGGACTCGATGCGGAGGGGCTGGGACACGCTGGAGGCTGCAGTGGTGGTGGGGGGGGATGTTTGGCACCGGGGTGGCACCGGGTGTCCCCATGCGCTGCCCTCTTGCCCGCACTCACGGTAATAGGTGCCGGCGCTGCTGGGCACGGTGACGATGACGGACGCCTCCTGCGTGGCACTGCCCAGGGTCACCCTGCACACGTACTCCCCCGAATCTGCCACCGCCACCTGAGCGAGGCGCAGGCGGGTCCCCGATACCTGCGGATGGGGACACATCGATGTGGGGCTGCGCCCCATGGGGTGATGCCACCCCCCCCCCCCGTCCCACTGCCCTACCTGGCTGTTGGGGGGCAGAGCCCCACCGCGCCGGTACCAGGTGACGTGGGGGTGCCCCTGTCCGGCCACCATGCAGTTGAGGTCCAGGGTCTGTCCCTCGGTGACGGCAGCGGACGAGGTCTCGATCCTCACCGGGGGGGTGACGCCGACGGCTGGGGAGTCAATGGAGGAGTCAGCTCCGTGTCCCCATCGTGTCCCCGTGTCACCTCCCACCCGTGCCTGGTACCGTAGGAGGAGCCGGCGCCGCTCTGGATGGTGACGATGAGGGATGTCTCGTGTGGGATGCCGCCCGTTGTCACCCTGCACACGTACTCCCCCGAGTCGGCCGCTGTCACCTGTGGGATGCGCAGGCGGGTGCCTGACACCTGGGGGGGGGTGACACATGAGGAGAGGGACCCAGACCCCTCAAGTCCCCCAAAAATCACTTTTCCACCCCAAAATGCTCCTTTGGGCTTGAACGGGGCCACCTGGGTTTGAATGGGGCCACCAGGGCCATGCATCAACCCCAACCAATTGATGCCATCCCCTCCATGTCCCCTACCTGGTGCTTGGCCGGGAGGGTCCCCCCACGCTTGTACCAGGTAACAGTGGCCTGTCCCTGCCCGGCCACGATGCAGTTGAGGTCCAGGGTCTGTCCCTCAGCCACGGAGGAGGACGAGGACTCGATGCGCACCGGGGGGGTGACACCAGCAGCTGGGCACAGAGATGGAAGAGTCACCCCAAGGCCCACGCATGGTCCCCTCGTCCCGTGTCCGCTCCCGTCCCCACTCACGGTAGGTGCTGGCCCCGCTGGGCTGGATGGTCACCATGATGGAGGTCTCCTTGGTGCTGGCCCCGCTGGTCACCCGGCACACGTACTCACCCGAGTCGGCCGCTGTCACCTGCAGCAGCCGCAGCCGGGAGCCAGACACCTATGGGGAGGGGACATGGGGGTCACTGGGGCTATCAGTGCTTGCATGGGGCTATCTGGGATTGCACAAGGCCACTTGAGCTTGCACAAGCCACCTCAGCTTCCATGGGCCACCTGGGCTTATATGGGGTCACTTGGTCTTCCATTGGCCACTTGGGCTTATATGGGGTCACTTGGTCTTCCATTGGACACTTGGGCTTGAATGGGGCTACCTGGGCTTATATGGGGTCACTTGGTCTTCCATTGGCCACTTGGGCTTATATGGGGTCAATTGGTCTTCCATTGGCCACTTGGGCTTGAATGGGCCACCTGGGCTTATATGGAGTCACTTGGTCTTCCATTGGCCACTTGGGCTTGAATGGGGCCACCTGGGCTTATATGGGGTCACTTGGTCTTCCATGGGCCACCTGGGCTTATATGGGGTCACTTGGTCTTCCATTGGCCACTTGGGCTTGAATGGGGCTACCTGGGCTTATATGGGGTCACTTGGTCTTCCATTGGCCACTTGGGCTTGAATGGGGCTACCTGGGCTTATATGGGGTCACTTGGTCTTCCATTGACCACTTGGGCTTGAATGGAGCCACCTGGGCTTATATGGGGTCACTTGGTCTTCCATTGGCCACTTGGGCTTGAATGCGGCCACCTGGGCTTATATGGGGTCACTTGGTCTTCCATGGGCCACCTGGGCTTATATGGGATCACTTGGTCTTCCATTGGCCACTTGGGCTTGAATGGGGCTACCTGGGTTTATATGGGATCACTTGGTCTTCCATTGGCCACTTGGGCTTGAATGGGCCACCAGGGCTTATATGGGGTCACTTGGTCTTGCATGAGCAACCTGGGCTTGAATGGGGCCATTTGGACTTGCATGGGCAACCTGACCTCGAATGGGCCATCTGGGCTTCCATGGGGCCACCTGGGCTTGCACAGGGCCATGCATCAACCCCAACCAACCCCGTTGGTGCCATCCCCTCCATGTCCCCTACCTGGTGCCTGGCTGGGAGGGTCCCCCCGCGCTTGTACCAGGTGACAGTGGCCTGTGCGGGGCTGGCGATGACGCAGTTGAGGTCCAGGCTCTGTCCCTCGGGCACGGGCGATGACAAGGACGAGGACTCGATGCGCAGTGGGGTCGTGCTGCCCGCAGCTGGGGACCGAGATGGGATACAGATGGTGTCTTCCACAGGGAACGATTCATCCCATAGCCAAATCCACCACAGCACAATGCGCGCCCACCCGTGGGCAACGTCCCCTGGCCCCTCCGGTCCCCACTCACGGTAGGTGCTGGCCCCGCTGGGCTGGATGGTCACCATGATGGAGGTCTCCTTGGTGCTGGCCCCGCTGGTCACCCGGCACACGTACTCACCCGAGTCGGCCGCTGTCACCTGCAGCAGCCGCAGCCGGGAGCCGGACACCTATGGGGAGGGGACATGGGGGTCACCGGCGCTATTTGGGCTTCCATGGGGCTGCTGGGGGTTGTATGGGGCCATTTGGGCTTCCACGGGCTACTCTGGGCTTGTGTAGGGCCACCAGAGCTTGATGGGGCCATAGGTGAACCCCAACCAGCCCCGTTGGTGCCATCCCCTCCATGTCCCCTACCTGGTGCTTGGCTGGGAGGGTCCCCCCGCGCTTGTACCAGGTGACAGTGGCCTGTGCGGGGCTGGCGATGACGCAGTTGAGGTCCAGGCTCTGTCCCTCGGCCACAGCAGAGAACGGGGACTCGATGCGCAGCGGGGTCGTGCTGCCCGGAGCTGGGGACCGAGACAAGAAGGTGACACCAGTGACAACAGCAGCTCCCCACCGGCACGGGCACAGGAGCCATGGTCAGTGCCCCCCTCCCGCAGGCACTGTCACCCCTCCGGTCCCCACTCACGGTAGGTGCTGGCCCCGCTGGGCTGGATGGTGACCATCACCGCGCTCTCCTTGGTGCTGGCCCCGCTGGTCACCCGGCACACGTACTCGCCCGAGTCAGCCGCTGTCACCTGCAGCAACCGCAGCCGGGAGCCGGACACCTATGGGGAGGGGACACCGGGGTCACCGGGGGTATTTGGGCTTCCATGGGGCCACCAGGACTTGCACGGGGCCATGCATCAACCCCAAGCACCCCCATTGGTGTCATCCTGCCCATGTGCCCTACCTGGTGCTTGGCCGGGAGGGACCCCCCGCGCTTGTACCAGATGACAGTGGCCTGTCCCTGCCCGGCCACCACACAGTTGAGGTCCAGGGTCTGTCCCTCGGCCACGGTGGATGAAGACGCATCGATGCGGATGGGGACACCCGAAGCTGGTGGCCCTGGGGGGAAGGACAGAGCTATGAACCCCGCTCTGGGACCAGCACATCCCTGCTGGTGCCACCGAGCCCGGTCTCACCATAGGATGAGCCGGATCTAGGCATGACGGTGACGGTGACGGACGCCTCCCGGACGGTGGTCCCCATGCTCGCCCGGCACACGTACTCCCCTGAATCAGCCGCTGTGACATGGGGGACACGGAGCCGGGACCCTGAGACCTGCGGTTGGGGACATGCGTTGGTGTCACACAGCGGGGTGTCACCCAGAGCAGGATGTGCGGTGCTGCCGGTATCACCAGTGCTACCGGTGCCCTACCTGGTGCCCGGCGGGCAGGGAGCCACCGCGCTTGTGCCACGTCACGGTGGTGGCACCGGCTCCGGCCACCACGCAGTCCAGGTCCAGGGTCTGCCCCTCGGTGACGGATGGGGATGAGGACTCGATGCGCACGGGCGGTGAAGACCCTGCATGGGGGAAAAAGGGGGACACGGGTGGGTTGTGGCCCCCCAGAACCACCCCAAACCCCACTGATGCTCCACACCCTCCTCACCTGGCACCACCACCACCTCGATGGCAGCGCGAGCCGTGCCCGCGGCGCTGGTGCCCACACAGAGGTAGATGCCCCCATCGGCCGCTGTCACGGCGGGGATGACCAGCGTGGTGATGTCACCGTGTTCAGTGCGGGACTGCGGCACAAGGGCGGGTGTGAGCGGCACCCACGGGGCACACACACCACCCCCGGGAGCACCCAAGGGTGCCGGTGCCCGGCTCACCTGCGGCGGCAGGGTGCCCCCCTGCTTCTCCCAGGTGATGGTGGCGGTGGGTGACCCCGAGACCCGGCAGTAGAGCCGCACCGTGGAGCCCTCCTGCACCTCTGTCTGCTCCGGGCTCACCTGCACCTGCGGTGCGTTGGTGCCTGTAGGGACAGGAGGGCACCAGGGGTGATGGGAGCGATGCAGGTGATGGGGACAACAGGGGATGAAGGGGAGGATGGAGGTGATGGGGGTCGTGTGGATGATGGGGACAATGGGGGGTGACAGGGGTGATGGTGGTGACAAGGATGATGGCAACACTGGGGATAGTGGGAATGATGGGGGTGTCTGGTGGATGGTGACGGTGGGATGATGGTGATGAGGGCAGTGGATGATGGTGATGGTGGGATGATGGTGATGAGGGCAATGGATGATGGGAAACGACAGGGATGATGGTGATGGGGACGATGGGAGTGATGGGGACAATGCAGACGATGGGGATGATGGAGATCCGTGACAGGGATGACGGGGACCACAGGGGTGACAGGGATGATGGGGCCAAGGGGGGGGTGATGTAGGTGATAACAGTGATGAGGATGATGGGGGTGACAGGGATGATGGGGATGATAAAGATAACCAGGACAAGGGGGACAGCACTCACCTTGCACACGGAGGAAGGCCCGTGCCGTGTGCTGCCCGGCGCTGCTGCGCGCCCGGCACATGTAGTGCCCTTCATCCGCCGGCTCCACGGCGCTGAACCGCAGCGTCCCCCCATGGACCACAGCCCGTGGTGGCAGCGCTCCTGTGGGGGGGGAACGGGACACAGCCCGGTGTCACCCCCATCACCACATCCCCGAGCCCGGTACCGCAGTGAGCCCCCATCCCCGCAGGCACCTACCGAGCCACTCGAGGGTGGGCAGGGGGCTGCCGGTGCCCACGCAGCGGAACTCTGCCGGCTGCCCCGGTGCCACGCTCAGCTGCGCCGGCTCCACGGCGGCGGTGGGGGCTGCGGCGGTGCCGGCTGCGGTGACACCGGGGTGGGGTGTGGGGGGGGGGGTGTCAGGGCTGGCCGGGGGCACCCCCACATGGTGCTGGAGCGGTGGGAAGCGGGGTGGGGGGATGGCGTGGAGCGGTGCACGGTGGGGTGCACGGTGAAACCCCGGCATGCAGTGGGTGGGGGGCAGCGCGTGGACCCCCCCCCAGGCCCCTCCACACGGGGACTTACCCGGTCTGTGCCCTTCCATGAACTCAACGGGGCCATAAAACATCTGAGTCTTGGAAGGTGCTGCAAGAGGATGTGGGTATCAGGGGTGCCCATCACCCGGGTGTCTGGGCACTACACTACCCCAGTGACCCAGCCTCTGAGAGCCGAGTGTGCCCATCACCCCGGTATCTACATGGTGGTTCTGCCCATCACCCTGGCATCTGGGCACTGAGCCTGCCCATCACCCCAGTGCCTGGGCAGCCAGCAAGCCCATCATCCCAGCATCAAGGCACCCAGAATACCCATCACCTTGGCGCCTAATCACCAAGTGTGCCCATCACCCTGGCATCTGGGCAACGAGCAGACCCATCACCCCAGTGCCTGGGCAGCCAGCAAGCCCATCATCCCAGCATCAAGGCACCCAGAATACCCATCACCTTGGCACCTAATCACCAAGTGTGCCCACCACCCTGGCATCTGGGCAACGAGCAGACCCATCACCCCAGTGCCTGGGCAGCCAGCAAGCCCATCATCCCAGCATCAAGGCACCCAGAATACCCATCACCTTGGCACCTAATCACCAAGTGTGCCCATCACCCTGGCATCTGGGCAACGAGCTTGCCCGTCACCCCAGTGCCTGGGCAGCCAGCAAGCCCATCATCCCAGCATCAAGGCACCCAGAATACCCATCACCTTGGTGCCTAATCACCAAGTGTGCCCATCACCCTGGCATCTGGGCAACAAGCAGACCCATCACCCCAGTGCCTGGGCAGCCAGCAAGCCCATCATCCCAGCATCAAGGCACCCAGCATGCCCATCACCTTGGCGCCTAATCACCAAGTGTGCCCATCACCCCGGCATCTGGGCAACGAGCAGACCCATCACCCCACTGTCTGGGCACCCACAGGGCCCATCCCCGTGGTGTCCGGGTGCCAAGCCTGTCCCTCACCGTGGCTTCACAGCACCAAGCGCACCCAGCGTCTGGATGCCCATCACGTGTTGGCATCTGCGTGCTGGCCGTGCCCATCACCCCGGTGCCTGGGCTCTGGGGTGCCCATCACCACGGCTCACCCTGCACGTAGAGCGTGGCGGTGCCCTCGTCCATGTCCAGCATGTTGGAGCCGGTGCAGACGTAGACGCCGGCGTCCTCGGGCCGCACGCGCCGCAGGGTCAGGATGCCATTGAAGTCCACGGCCCCCGCCGGCAGCGAGCCGTGGTTCTGCCGCGTCCACACCAGAGTGTAGGCAGGAGACTGGGGGGGGAACGGGACAGGGGCAGGCCTGAGGCTACCGGGATGGGCATGCGCAGGGGGCTGCTGGGGCTGCACACCCATCCGGGCACCCATGGAGCACCCAGCCTCTGCCATAGAGATGTATGGGCACCCGAGGGTGTTTGGGGGGCCCAGAGGGGTGGCTGGGCACCCAAGGGTGTCCCTGTGTCCTCTAGGACCCTATGGGCACTTAGGAGTCCTCATGTGTCCTGTGTGACCAGGTGGGCACCCAGGGGTGCCCTGCATAGACCCATAGGCATCCAAGTGTGCTCCCATGCCCTGGACATCCCCATGGGCACAAAGGGTTGTCCCTATATGCTCCTGTGGGAACCTAGGGGTGTCCCACAGAGAAACATGGGGACCTGAGGGTGCTTGGGGGCCCATAGGACTGGGTGGGTACCCAAGGGTGTCCCTGTGTCCTGCACACCCCCATGGGCACCCAGAGGTGTCCCCATGCCCTGCACATCCCATGGGCACCCAGAGGTGTCCCCATGCCCTGCACACCCCCATGGGCACCCAAAGGTGTCCCCATGCCCTGCACACCCGATGGGCACCCAGAGGTGTCCCCATGCCCTGCACACCCCCATGGGCACCCAAAGGTGTCTCCATGCCCTGCACATCCACATGGGCACCCAGAGGTGTCTCCATGCCCTGCACACCCCCATGGGCATGGCCCTGCACCCCCCATGGGCAGGTGTCCCCATGCCCTGCACACCCCCATGGGCACCCAAAGGTGTCTCCATGCCCTGCACACCCCCATGGGCACCCAGGGGTGTCCCCATGCCCTGCACATCCCAATGGGCACCCAAAGGTGTCTCCATGCCCTGCACACCCCATGGGCACCCAGGGGTGTCCCCGTGCCCTGCACACCCCCATGGGCACCCAGGGGTGTCCCCATGCCCTGCACACCCCCATGGGCACCCAGGGGTGTCCCCATGCCCTGCACACCCCCACGGGCACCCAGGGGTGTCCCCATGCCCTGCACACCCCCATGGGCACCCAAAGGTGTCCCCATGCCCTGCACACCCCCATGGGCACCCAGGGGTGTCCCCATGCCCTGCACACCCAATGGACACCCAGGGGTGTCCCCATGCCCTGCACACCCCCATGGGCACCCAGGGGTGTCCCCATGCCCTGCACGTCCCCATGCCCACCCAAAGGTGCCCCCATGCCCCGCACACCCCATGCCCACCCAAAGGTGTCCCCATGCTCACCTTGCTCTTGGCGGTGCAGACGAAGGTGACATCGGCCCCGGGCTTCACCCGCTGCACCCGCTTCTCCTCCACGGTGACGGTGATGGGTTTGCCTGGGGTCTCTGTGCCGAGAGAGGAGAGCTCAGCCCCACTGCTGCCCCCCACCCCACCCCACCCCACAGCGAGGGTCCCCGGGGTGACCGTGACCCACCGGTGACGATGACCTCAGCGCGGCTGGCGTTGCTGTGCCTCAGGTTGCGGCAGGAGCAGATGTAGACACCGGCTTCGGAGGGCTGGATGCTGGCAAAGTGCAGCTCCTCACCTTTGGGGGGGACACACAAACACATGTGTGACACCCCACATCCCCCCCTACACACACACACACACCTTGGGGACACCCCAGTGCCGCCCCATACCTTGCTGCCGGCTCTGGGCACCCTCGGGGAGGGGTCTCCCATCTTCCCGTGCCCAGTGGTAGTAGAAAGGGGGGTCCCCGGTGGCCTGGCACCGCAGGGTGACGGCGCTGCCCTGGGCCACCGCGGTGCGCGGTGGGTGCACGCGGACGGCCAGCGGCACCGGGGGGCCCACCGGGACACAGCCCTGCCCGGGCACCGATGGGTCACCCACATAGCCGGGGGCACAGCTGTGGGGACAAGGGGTGAGGAGGGGTTGAGGGGTGCATTGGGGTGTGTGTACTGGGGGGGATGGCGGGGGGGGTGTATTGGGGGGTATATTGGGGTGGGTGTATCAGGGTCCATGTATTGGGGTGACTCTACTGGGTTGGGTATATTGGGGTGAGTATAGCGGGGTTCATATAATGGGGTAACTATTGGATTGGGAATATTGGGGTGAGTATATCAGGGTTCATATATTGGGGTGACTCTATTGGGTTGGGTATATTGGGGTGGGTGTAACAGGGTTCATATATTGGGGTAACTATTGGATTGGGAATATTGGGGTGAGTATAGCAGGGTCCATGTATTGGGGTGACTCTACTGGGTTGGGTATATTGGGGTGAGTATAGCAGGGTTCATATATTGGGGTAACTATTGGATTGGGAATATTGGGGTGAGTATATCAGGGTTCATATATTGGGGTGACTCTACTGGGTTGGGTATATTGGGGTGGGTGTAACAGGGCTCATATATTGGGGTGACTCTATTGGGTTGGATATATTGGGGTGGGTGTAACAGGGTTCATATATTGGGGTGACTCTATTGGGTTGGGTATATTGGGGTGGGTGTAACAGGGCTCATATATTGGGGTGACTCTATTGGGTTGGGCATATTGGGGTGAGCACTTCGGGGTGGGTATGTCGAGGTGCACATATCGGGGTGAGTCCATCAGGTTGCATGTATTAGGGTGAGCTCATAAGGGTGAATATTTTGGGGTGGGTATATCAGGGTGAGTACATCAGGGTGGGTCTATAGGGTGGATGCAGCAGAACATTGAGGTAAGCACTTTGGGGTGGGTATGTTGGGGTGACCCCATCAGGACGGGTTTTGGGGGTGGGTACACGGGATGACCCCATCAGGGTGGGATTTGGGAGTGTGTTTTGGGGGTGGGGACATGGGGTGACCCCATCAGGGAGGGTTTGGGGGTGTGGTTTGGGGGTGGGTACATGGGGTGACCCCATCAGGGAGGGTTTTGGGAGGGTACATGGGGTGACCCCATCAGGGTATGGTTTGGGGGTGGGTACATGGGGTGACCCCATCAGGGAGGGTTTGGGGTGTGGTTTGGAGGTGGGTACATGGGGTGACCCCATCAGGGTGCGGTTTGGGGGTGTGTTTTGGGGGGGGTACATGGGGTGACCCCATCAGGGTGTGGTTTGGGGGTGTGTTTTGGGGGTGGGTACATGGGGTGACCCCATCAGGGTGTGGTTTGGGGGTGGGTACATGGGGTGATCCCATCAGGGAGGGTTTGGGGGTGTGTTTTGGGGGTGGGTACATGGGGTGACCCCACCAGGGTGTGGTTTGGGGGTGTGTTTTGGGGGTGGGTCTATCGGATGTGTTTGGGGTGCGGATGCTCACCGCTCACAGTACTGCCCGGTGTATCCCGGCTCACAGGCGGTGCAGCGGTACCCACCGCCCTCCAAACTCTCACAGGTCCTGGAGAACCTGGATGGGGACACATGGATGAGGTGGGGACACATCCTGTCCGCTCCCCCCCCCACCAGCACCCCCAGCCCAGCACCGGCACTCACTGGTTCTCGGGGTACGGGAGGGGACAGGCACAGGGCTGGCAGTCCTCGGGGGTACCAGCGGTGGCATCCCCATAGAACCCAGGGGCACACTGGTCACAGAAGTCCCCTGCTGTGTTGTGCAGGCATCCCTGGGGGGGGACAACACACACTGGGGGGGTCAGGGGTGGGATGACACCCCCAGACCCCCCCAAAAACATGCTCAATGTGAAGCCTTACGGAGCAGACGCCGCTCTCGGGGTGGCAGCTCTCAGAATGCCCATTGCACTCGCAGAGCTCACAGTGCCCCAGGTACAGCCCCCCCCCGGTGCGGGTGTAACCGGGGGCACAGTCCTGGTGGGGAGAGGAAGAAAAAGGGGGGGGGTGTCAGTGTTATGATACCCCCAAAACACCCCTGGGAAGGGTTATGGGGATGCAGGTGGATGCTGAGGGATGCAGGGGGATACTGAGGGATGCTGAGGGTTGCAGTGGGATGCAGTGGGATGCAGGGGGATGCTGAGGGATGCAGTGGGATGCAGGGGGATGCTGAGGGATGCTGAGGGATGCTGAGGGATGCTGAGGGATGGGGAAGGAATCCAGGTGGATGCTGGGGGATGCTGAGGGATGCTGAGGGATGCAGGGGGATGCTGAGGGATGCAGGGGGATGCTGAGGGATGCTGAGGGATGCAGGGGGATGCTGAGGGATGCTGAGGGATGCAGGGGGATGCTGAGGGATGCTGAGGGATGCAGGGGGATGCTGAGGGATGCTGAGGGATGCAGGGGGATGCTGAGGGATGCAGGGGGATGCTGAGGGATGCTGAGGGATGCTGGAGGATGCTGAGGGATGCTGAGGGATGCTGGGGGATGCTGAGGGATGAAGGGGGATGCTGGGGGATGCAGGAGGATGCTGAGGGATGCAGGGGGATGCAGGGGGATGCTGAGGGATGAAGGGGGATGCTGGGGGATGTTGAGGGATGAAGGGGGATGCTGGGGGATGTTGAGGGATGAAGGGGGATGCAGGGGGTTGCTGGGGGATGCTGAGGGATGCAGGGGGATGCTGAGGGATGCTGAGGGATGGGGAGGGATGGGGAGGGATGCAGGTGGATGCTGAGGGATGCAGGGGGATGCAGGGGGATGCAGAGGGATGCAGAGGGATGCAGGGGGATGCTGAGGGATGCAGAGGCTCACCTGGCAGGACAGCCCGTGGTACCCGGGGGGGCAGCGGCATTCCTCCACCTCGAGGGCCGGGGGGAGGCCGGGCTGGGGGGGCACGGCCACGTCCATGGAGACATCGGCGATGCCGGATGCGGCCGTGCTGGTGGAGTAGGTGGCTCGGATGAGGATCTCATCCAGGTCGGCCAAAGCCATCAGGAGATGCTCCCGTGTCGCCGGTTGTCCATCCGGGCGCTGCCAGTATTGCTGCGGGCGGGGGTGTCAGGGGGTGTCAGGGGGGACACGGGGGCTCTGCAGGACCCCAGGGACCCCTCCTACCTCCCGGAATATGATCTCGAAGGGCTGGGGGGTGCCTGGAGGCAGGTCGGGCTGATGGGCCACCAGAGTGATGTCGTTGCCCTGTGGGGACAGGGGGGACAGAAGGGGTTAAGGGGGGGTCCTGGTGTGACCCTGTGGTGTCCCACTGACCCCGGCACCCCCGTACCGTGATCTGGATGTCGGCGTCAGGCAGGGGTGCTCCCTGCCCCCCCGGTGTGTAGGTGAGGGTGTAGCGGAGGCGTCCGCCGTAGGAGCCCACCTATGGGGAGATGGTGGGATGAGATCAGGATTGGGATGGGGAAAAGGATTGGGATGGGAAGGGGAAGAGTCGGATGGGGATAGGGATGGGGGTGGGATGCAATTGGGAATGGGCAGGTCAGGATAGGGATGTGGATAGGAACAGGATGGGATGGGAATGGGAAGGGGTAGGATGGGATGGAAATGGGGATGGGGATGAGGATGGGTTGGGAACAGGCAGGACAGGATAGTGATGTGGATGGGAACAGGATGGGATAGGAACAGGAAGGGACAGGATGGGATTGAAATGGGGATGGGGATGAGGATGGGATTGGGAACGGGCAGGACGGGATAGGGATGTGGATGGGAACAGGATGGGATGGGAACAGGAAGGGACAGGATGGGATTGAAATGGGGATGGGGATGAGGATGGGATTGGGAACGGGCAGGACAGGATAGGGATGTGGATGGGAACGGGATGGGAATGGGAAAGGGAAGGGGCAGGAGAGGATGGGAACGAGGAAAGTGAAGGCAGAGGAAAAAGAAAAGGAAGATTGAGAGCTAAAAGGAGATGGAAAGAGACAGAGAAAGAGGGGGAAAGGGAGAGGATTGGAATGGGGATGGGGATAGGGAAGGTGATGAGATGAGATAGGGATGAGGAAGGAAAAAGGGGTGAAGGGAAAAGGGGGGAGGGAAAGGGGGGAGGCAGGGGACAGGGGAGGCTCCGGCAGAGCTCCCGGTGCACCCCTGTCCCGGGGGTGGGGGGTCCCCCCTCACCTTGTCCCCTTGGTAGGGGGGCGGCAGCTGCCAGTAGTAGGAGTCGGGGGGCAGGTCCCCGAAGCGGCCGTAGCTGAGGCGGGGCTGGGGGGGCCCCGGCTGCACCGTGAAGCCGGAGCCCACGCGGGTGCTGCGCTGCCGGTTCACCAGCGCGAAGCCTTGAGCATCCCCGGCACCGAACCGCGTCTGCACCTATGGAGGGGGGGTAAGGGGTGAGCAAGGGGCTGGGGACACTGGGGACACAATGGGGACACCATGGGGACGCCATAGGGACAAGAGGGGGTCACTCACGGTGCCGCGGGCATAGCCGGTGCTGGCGCAGTGCTGGACAATGCCCATGCAGAAGCAGGGCAGGCACCCGGCCGCCTGGTCCGCGCTCAGGTGGAAGTGATGGGGCCGGCAGGAGGCACAGCGGGGCCCCTCCACGTTGGCCTGTGCAGGGGACGGTGACACACGTCAGGGGTGACATTGCCCTCGCAGGGCTTGGGGACATGGGGATGGGGGCACCGGGCTCACCTTGCAGCGGCACTGCCCGTTGGCATTGCAGCCCTCGCCGGTGCTGCCGCGTGGGTCACATTGGCACTGCCCCACAGGGACACCTGGCTCTGGGGGGGGGGTACCACACACACACACACACACAAACAGAGGGGTTAACGTGACCCCCATCAATGCCACCACCACGTCCCCTTTGCTTTGACACTCACCTCGGCACGGCTCCCCCCGCAGCGGGTCCCCCACGTACCCAGGCGAGCACCTACACGGGGGTCACCGATAAGAAGAGCCAATGAGGGGGGGGTTACACCCCATAAATCACCCCACACACCCCCCCCCAGAGTCCCCTGGTACCTCTGGCACTGGCGCCCGCTGTGCCCCGGGGCGCAGGCGCTGCAGGTTGGCTGCCCATCCGTGTCTTCAAAGCAGGTCTTGGTCACCCTATGGAGGGACAAAGGGAAGGATGAGACCCCATTGGTGTCCCCAGGGATGGAGGGGACACGGGGGGGTGGCACCTACTGGCTTTCCCCATGGGGTCCATGGCAGGGACAGGGCTGGCAGTCACCGGTGGTGCCGCGGGTGGCATCACCATAGTAGCCGGGTTGGCACTTGTCACACTGGGGACCTTCGGTGTGATCCCGGCATCCCTGCAGAGGAGGATGCAAGGAGGGAGCTGTCGCTGGCACAGCCATGGGGGTACCGGGGGGGGGGGTCCCCACACACTGTCCCCAGCTCACCTGGCAGACACCGGTCTCCGGGTGGCACTCGGTGGCGTGGCCGTGGCACTGGCAGGGCTCACACGTGCCCAGGTAGAGCCCGGCGCTGCTGCGGGTGTACCCGGTGTCACAGTCCTGTGGTGGGGACATGGGGACAAGGGGGGGGGGTGACGTGGCTGCCCCTGAGGTGCTGGGGAGGGGGCTCTGGGGCGGGGGGGGTTCACCTGGCAGGAGGCCCCCCGGTACCCGGCCGGGCACGTGCAATCCTCCACCTCCAGCGCCGGCGGGCGCCCGGTGGCGTGCGGCACCGCCACGTCCAGGGTGACATCGGACAGCCTGCGGGGAGAGGGGACGTCCCCACTGCCCGGCCTGCCCGTGGCCAGGGGTCCCCATGTCCCTCTGTCCCCGTGTTCCTGTGTCCCTATAGCCACATGTCCCCCTTTTCTCATGCCCCCATGTACCCATATCCCCATGTCCCTGTGGCCCCATATCCCCAAGGCCCTGTATCCTCATATCCCCACCTCCCCATGTGCCCATGCACCCATAGCCCCATCTCCCTGTGTCCCCATATCCCCATTTCTCCATGACCCCATGCACCCATACCCCCATGTCCCTGTGTCCCCATATCCCCACCTCCCCATGTCTCTGTCCCCATATCCCCATGAACCCATAGCCCCATGTCCCTGTATCCCTATATCCACATGTCCCCAACTCCCCATGTCCCCATGTTCCATGTCTCTGTGTCCCCATCTCCCCATGACCTCAAAGCCCCATGTTCCCCTATCCCTATATCCACATGGCCCCAACTCCCCATGTCCCTGTATCCCCATGTTCCATGTCCCTGTGTCCCCATCTCCCTATGTCCCCGTGTCCCCATGGCCCCATCTCCCCATGGCCCTGTGTCCCCATCTCCCCATGACCCCATAGCCCCATGTCCCTGTATCCCTATATCCACATGGCCCCAACTCTCCATGTCCCATGTCCCCGGCACCTGCTCTCCTCCGTCTGCTCCGCATAGGACGCCCGGATCATGAAGAGCTCGACATCAGCCAGCGCCATCAGCAGATGCTCCCGCGTGGCCTCGCGCCCATCCGCTCTGCGCCAGGCGTGCTGCGGCACAACCGGCGCGGTGACCACGGTGTCGTGTCCCCGTCCCCCCCCCCTGCATTGCAAGGGACACAGGGGCTGGCCCTCACCTCGCGGATGGGCACGGTGACGGTGGTGGGGACGCCGGAGGGGACGCTGGTGTCAGAGAAGTGCTCCAGGAGGATGCCGTTGCCCTGCAGCAGGACGTGGGGCTGGCGCGGCAGCGGTTGTGCCCCCGCCGGCGCGCGGTGCGTCACCGTGAACCGCAGCTCGCCGCCGTACGATGTCACCTGCGGGATGGGGACGTGAGGCTCAGCCGGGCACGGGGGCACCCATTGCGTCCCTCCCCATAACCCCGGCACCGGCACCTTGTCCCCGGCGAAGGGTGTGGGCAGCACCCAGTAGTAGACATCACGGGGCAGCGCATGGAAGGTGTCGAAGAGCAGCTCCCACGGCGAGGAGAAGCGGGCGCTGGCACCCACCGGCTGCGCCCCGGCTGCCGTGGCCAGGGACAGCGGTGCCGTGTCCTCGGCGGTGAGCGCGACCTGGAGAGGGACAGGGATCGGGTTTGGTGCAGGAATGGCACGGCACGGTGCGACATGGAACAGCATGGGGTAGCACAACGGCACCGCATGGCATGGCACAGCATGGCGTTATGTGGCATAACATAGCAGCAATGCATGGCATGGCACAGCATGGCGCTATGTGGCATAACATAGCAATGTATGGCATGGCACAGCATGGTGCTATGTGGCATAACATAGCAATGCAAGGCATGGCACAGCATGGCGCTATGTGGCATAACAGCAATGCAAGGCATGGCACAGCATGGCGCTATGTGGCATAACATAGCAATGCATGGCATGGCACAGCATGGCGCATGGCACACAGCATGGTGCTATGTGGCATAACAGCAATGCAAGGCATGGCACAGCATGGCGCTATATGGCATAACATAGCAATGCATGGCATGGCACAGCATGGTGCTATATGGCATAACAGCAATGCACGGCACAGCACAGCATGGCTCTATATGGCATAACAGCACCGCATGGCATGGCACAGCATGGTGCTATATGGCATAACATAGCAATGCATGGCATGGCACAGCATGGCGCTATGTGGCATAACAGCAATGCAAGGCATGGCACAGCATGGTGCTATGTGGCATAACGGCACTGCACGGCACGGCACAGCGCAATGTGGCACAGCATAGCTATGCGTGACAATGCCATTCCAGCACAACATGGCATGGCACAGTGTGACACGGTGAGGCAGGGCACGGCACGGCACAACATGGCACGGCAAGACACTCTACGGCATGCTTTGGAACCGCATGGCAGGGCATGGCACAACACCGCAAGGACAATAGAAATCATTGCATGCCACGGCAAGACACGGCACCACACAGTATGGCATGACTTGGCATGGCAGCGAGGGACAGCATGGCTTGACGTGCCTGGTATGGCACGACACGGGATGGAATGGCCCGGCAGGGTATGGCACTGCATGGCACAACACGGCACTAAATGGCGCGGCATTCACACAACAGGGCCCGGCACGACCCCGCGGTGGCCCTGGCAATGGTGGTACCTGGTGTCGGCTCCAGGCGGAGCTGGCGCAGTGCCGCGAGACGCCCATGCAGAAGCAGGGCAGGCAGCCCTCGGCGTTGGCCGCGCTCAGGTGGAACGTGCCGGCGGCACAGGAGTCGCAGAGCCGGCCCCGCACGTTGGGCTGCGGCAACGGGGCACGGGGGTTATGGGGGGATATAGGGAGGTTATGGGGGTTATAGGGGGGGTTATGGGGGGTATAGGGGGGGTTGGGGAGGATTGAACCGGTTTGGTGCTGGGGGAACTGGGAAACGGTGGGACTGGGTGCTGGGGGGAGGTTGGTTGGGGTGTGACAATGGGGTCAAAGTGGGTGCTATGGGGGATTGAACTGGGAACCCCAGAGATCAGATTGGTACCAAAGCTGGGGTCAGACTGGGTCCCATGGGGGTTGGACTGGGTGCTATGGGGCAGGGGTGGACTGGTGGCTGAGGGGGATGGGATTGGGTACCCCAGGAATAAGACTGGGTGTTATAGGGGGGTTGGAGTGGGTGCTGGGGGGATCAGACTGGGTACCCCAGGGATCAGATTGGGTGCTGTAGCCAGGGTCAGACTGGGTGCCATGGGGGATTGGACTGGGAACCCCAGGGATCCCTCTGGGTGCTATTGGGGATCCCATTGGGTGCAGGGGGGAACAGGAGCCCCCATCACCTCCCTCCCAGCGCCCTGCCCTCACCTTACACCGACACGTGCCACCATCCTCATCCTTGCCCCCACGGGCATCACACTTGATGAGCTCCTGACCTGCGATGGGCAGTGACGGTGAGGGCAGGAGGCACCCATGGGTGGGGGGGGGAGCACCCATAGGGCAAGGGTTCACCCCAAAACTCACCGATGGGGGTGCACTTGCCGCCCGGTTGGATGGGGTCTCCCTCGTAGCCCGGGGCGCACCTATGGGGACGGGGGTGATGGGTTGGGAGGAGGGGGTGTCTCTGGTGTCGGGGGGGTGTTGAGGGACCCCCCCAACCCTGTCACCTCTCGCAGCGGCGCCCGGCGTAACCGGGTGCGCAGGCATCACACGTGGCTTGTCCATCGGTGTCCAGGAAGCACGACTCCGAAAACCTGTGGTGACAGCGACGGGGACACACCGGGGGGTGGTGACATCTTATGGAAGGGGAGGGGGGGGGGGATTTGGGGTGTCCCCAGGGGCTGTCACCCACCTCCGAGCCGGCTCCGTGTAGGGACAAGGACACGGGTGACACGCGGTGGCCGTGCCCTTGGTGGCATCGCCGAAGAAGCCGGGTTTGCACTTCTCGCACTGGGGCCCCTCGGTGTTGTGCTGGCAGTTCTGGGGACACAAACACACACACACACATGGCACGGGGCGGGGTGGTGACACCAAACCACGTCCCCGTCCCCTTGTCACCCCGCTCCTCACCAGGCAGTGCCCAAAAACGGGGTCGCAGGTGCTGGAGTGCCCGTGGCAGCCGCAGCCGGAGCACGTCCCCAGGTAGGGTCCCTTTGTCACCCGCTCGAAGCGGCTGGCACAGCGCTGGCACGACAGCCCTGCGTAGCCCACGGGGCACCTGGGGACACAGCGGTGTGATGGTCCCATCGTGGCTGGTGGTGGCACCGAGCCCGGCACCCACCTCGCCGCGAGCATCACCTGCACTCCTCGACGTCTCCGGCGGGCCCCAGGCCGGTGTCAGTGGTGCTGGTGGTGTCCATGGCCACGTCGCTGAGCCCCACGCTGGCCATGCGCCCGTCGTACACCGCGCGGATGAAGATGCCCTCCAGGTCCTGCAGCACCAGCAGCAGCAGCTCCCGGCTCACCGGGGCGCCCTCCTCGTCCTCCCAGCGGTCCTGAGGGGATGGTGACACCGGTGTCACCCCGCGGTGATGGTAACACTGGTATTACCCACCTGACACCACCAGCACACACCCGTCACCCTTCCACCATCACCATCATCATCACCGCCGCTGTCACCCACCCACCATCACTGCTACCACGCTCCCACCATCACCCTTTCACCACCATCACACACCCGTCACCACCAGCATCACCCAAAGACCACCACCCTTCCACCACCACCATTACCAGCATCACCATCACCTACCCATCACCACAACCATCACCACCACTGTCACCCACCCACCATCACTGATATCACGCTCCCACCGTCACCCTTTCACCACAACCACTACCAGCATCACCATCACCCACCCACCATCACCCACCCACCACCATCACGCTCCCATCACACTTTCACCACCACCATCACCCACCCACCATCACCAGCATCACCCTCCCACCACTACTGTCACTCACCCATGATCACCAGCAACACCCACCAACCACCATCCTTCCTTCCCCCACCACCACCACCCACCCATCACTACCATCACCATCACCACCATCACCCACACACCGTCACTGCCACCAACCTCCCACCATCACCCCCCCACCACCACCAGCATCACCATTACCCTTCCACCACCATCACCCCCACCACCCGTGCCGGTGCCCCCCACCTCGGTGAAGGGCACGTGCCGCCGGTTGAGGACGTCGGGCTGGGTGTCCCCATCGCGTGCCCGCAGCTGCCGCCCGTGGCCCCGCAGCACCACATCGGGGTGTGTGGTGGGCTCGGGGGGGCCGCGTCCCAGCCGGTACCGCACCCCATAGCTCAGCGCTCCCCCGTAGGCATCCACCTGCAGCACCGCGGGCTGTCAGCAGCCTCCACACCGGCGACCCCAGCCCCAAACCCACCCCATCCCCGTCACCACCCCGGTATCACCTTGTCCCCAAGGAATGCATCTGGCAGTGCCCAGAAGGCATCGAGGGCCAGGAAGCGTCGGGACAGATCCAGGAGCTGGAATTCCTCAGAACCCACATCCACGTGGAGCTGGGTGGCCGAGAGCACCGGTGTGGATGGCGCCGCCGGCATCGTCACGTTGACACCTGCGAGGAGACGCTCAGCCCCTGCCCTGCCCCTTGTCCCCTGTCCCTTGTCCCCATCGCTCACCCTTGAAGTCTCCAGGGCGGTCAAAGCGCAGGCGCAGGCGGTGCCGGTGCCGGGCGGTGGCACGGCAGGAGGTGGTGACGCCGAAGCAGAAGCAGGGCAGGCAGCGGGATGTCCCCGTCACCTCGAAGTGGCCCTCGGGGCATGGCCCTGCGGAGCGGGGGGGGACAAAGTGGGTGATGGTGACAGCGGCATGGTGGAGGGGATGGCACAGGGAGGAGGGATGCTCACCGGGGCGGGTGACGGTGAGGATGCTGTCGGGGATGCCGAACACCATGCCCAGGGTGTTGATGGCCTCGCAGGTGTAGGCACCTTGGTCGGATTCTTTCACGTCGCGGATGGTCAGTGTGCCCTGGCCAGCCTCGCTCACAATCGACACCCTGCATGGTGGCATGACTGGCACCAGGCACCCAGGATACCGGGACACCCAGTACACCCAGCACACGGGCACATGGGTACACCCAGCACATAGGCACACCAGTACACCCGGTACACCCAGCACACGGGCACACGGGTACACCCAGCACATAGGCACACCAGTACACCCGGTACACCCAGCACACGGGCACACAAGTACACCCAGCACATAGGCACACTGGTATACCCGGTACACTCAACACATGGGCACACCGGTACACCTGGTACACCCAGCACACGGGCACACCGGTACACCCGGTACACCCAGCACACGGGCACACCGGTACACCCAGCACACAGGCACACTGGTACACCTGTTACACCTGGTACACCCAGCACACGGGCACACCGGTACACCCGGTACACCCAGCACACTGGCACACCGGTACACCCAGCACACAGGCACACTGGTACACCTGTTACACCCGGTACACCCAGCACACAGGCACACCAGTACACCCGGTACACCAGAGCACAGCCCTGCTCACACCCAAGCCCCGCCCCTAAGCATAAGCCATGCCCACCGAGCAGCCCCGCTGACTCTAAGCCCCGCCCCTTTCTGATACACCACCATTCACCCCTCCCATTACCACAGACCACGCCCCCACTAAAGCCCCTCCCACCGCCACAAGCCCCGCCCCAAGTCCCGCTCCCCCTCCCACCCCTCCGCCCCAATACCCACAAGCTCCGCCCTTCCACAGGCCACGCCCCCTCCCCATTGATAAGCCCCCATTCATAAGCCCCTCCCCATTCATAAGCCCCTCCCCTGCCCCTCCCACCAGCCCTTAGGCCCCGCCCACCTGTGGCTGCTGGGGGGGTGTCCCCAGTTGAGGCGCCAGGTGACGATGGGCGTGGGGACGCCGGTAGCCGCGCACGTGAAGGTGACAGTCTGACCCGGCACGGCCCGCACCGCGTCCCGCGGCAGCGACACCACCTGCGGGGGCACTGCCCGCGACACCCGTCACCACCCGCAACACCGTCACCACCCGCAACACCGTCACCACCCTGCACCAGGACACGGCACTGCCCATAACACCCATCACAACCCATAGCACCGTCACAACCTGCAACACCCATCACAACCGATAACACCCATCACAACCCTGCACCGGGACACGGCACTGCCCATAACACCCATCACAACCCACAGCACCGTCACAACCTGCAACACCCATCACAACCCATGACACCCATCACAACCCTCAACACCGGGACATGGCACTGCCTGCAACACCCATCACAACCCGCAACACCATCACAACCTGCAACACCCATCACAACCCATAACACCCATCACAACCCTCAACACCGGGACATGGCACTGCCTGCAACACCCATCACAACCCGCAACACCATCACAAACTGCAACACCCATCACAACCCACAACACCGTCACAACCTGCAACACCCATCACAACCCATAACACCCATCACAACCCTCAACACCAGGACATGGCACTGCCTGCAACATCCATCACAACCTGCAACACTGTCACAACCTGCAACACCCATCACAACCTGCAACACCCATCACAACCCATAACACCCATCACAACCCTGCACCAGGACATGGCGCTGCCTGCAACAGGCATCACAACCCACAACACCATTACCACTCTACATGGGGATATGGCACTGCCCACAACACCCATCACAACCCACAACACCGTCACCACCCCGCACCAGGACACGGCCCTGCCCTCAACACCCATCACAACCTGCAATACCCATCACCACCCTGCAGTGGGACATGGCACTGTCCATGACACCCATCACCACCAGCAACACCATCACCATCCTGCACTGGGACACAGCCCTGCCTGCAACACCCTTCACGACCCACAACACTGTCACAACCTGCAACACCCATCACAACCCTGCATCAGGACACAGCGCTGCTTGCAACACCCATAGCAACCTGCAACACCCGTCACAACCCGCAACACCATCACAACCTGCAACACCATCACAACCCTGCACGGAGATATGGCACTTCTCACAACACCCGTCACAACACTGTCACAACCCACAACACCATCACGACCCACAACACCGTCACGACCCGTAACACCCATCACAACCCTGCACCGGGACACGGCACTGCCTGCAACACCCATAGCAACCTGCAACACCCACCATAACCCACAACACCGTCACCACTCTGCACTGGGACACGGCCCTGCCCACAGCACCGTCACCACCCACAACACTGTCATCATCCTACACCAGGACATGGCCCTGCCCGCAACACCCATCACCAGCCCTGCACGTGGCCCCATGGCACAGGCTCTCTCGGTGCCATGTCACCAGCCCAGTGCCATGGCATGGGGTCTCCAGGTACTATGCCCCCATCCCGGTCCCTTGGCACAGATTCCCCATCCCAGTGCCACCACACCACATCCCCGCACAGCTTGGGCGCAGCATCCCCATCCCAGTGCCACGGCACAGGCTCCATGGGCACAACATCCCATGGCACAGGGTCCCCACAATATCCCCATCCCAGTGCCATGGCACAGGCTCCATGGGCACAACATCCCATGGCACAGGGTCCCCACAATATCCCCATCCCAGTGCCATGGCACAGGCTCCATGGGCACAACATCCCATGGCACAGGGTCCCCACAATATCCCCATCCCAGTGCCACGGCACAGGCTCCATGGGCACAACATCCCCACAATATCCCCATCCCAGTGCCACGGCACAGGCTCCATGGGCACAACATCCCATGGCACAGGGTCCCCACAATATCCCCATCCCAGTGCCATGGCACAGGCTCCATGCGCACAACATCCCATGGCACAGGGTCCCCACAATATCCCCATCCCAGTGCCATGGCACAGGCTCACCGGCACAGGGGGTGTCTGGCTCTAGTCCCCCCAGTGCCACGTCATGGGGTCCCCAGGGAAAACATCCCCATCCCGGTCCCTTGGCACAGAGTCCCCATCGCAGTGCCACCACACCACATCCCAGCACAGCATCCCCAACCGGAGCTCAGAGCCGTGTCGTCCCCCCCCCCAGCCATGGCATCCCCTCCGGTGTCACTCACCGCAGCCAACCTCATCGGAGCGGTCGGGGCAGTCGGGCTCGCGGTCGCACTGGTAACTGGCGCGGATACAGGTCCCGCTGGCCACGCACCGGAACTCTGCCGGTCCACACGCCGCGCCGGGCGCCTTGGTGGCTGCAGGGTGACAAGGACACGCGTCAGCCGCGACCGCATCCCCCCCCCCCTCCCCGTGTCCCCAACGCAGCCACACTCACGGCAATCGGCCTCATCGGAGCCATCACCGCAGTCGTTCTCGCCGTCGCATCGCCAAAGCTTGAGCGCGCAGTGCCCGTTGCGGCACTTGAACTCGTTGGGTTCGCATGGGGACGGGGTGCCTGCGTGATGGGGGACGGGGTCAGCACCCATGGGTGCCCCCTGCACCCTCCCTATGGCGACGCCGTGGGCTCACCGCAAGCCTCCTCGTCGCTGCCGTCGGCGCAGTCGGCCTCTCCATCACACAGGTAGTCACGGGGGATGCAGCGCCCATTGGCACAGGCGGCTTCTCCCGCCCGGCACCCATCGACCGGCGGCTTGTGGGGCCGGGGGGTGCTGGGGGGCCGGGGGGTGCCGGGGCGCCACGGCGCTGGGGTGACGGCGGCCGTGGCGGTGCTCAGCGGGCGCGTGGTGGCAGCCGGGCGGGACGTGGTGGGGGGCACCCGTGTGGAGGGGTCTGCGGGGTTATGGGGTGAAATAGGGGGCAAGGGGGGAGTATAGGGGAAATAGGGGGCATAGAGGGGAAATGGGATGCACTGGGGGGGGGGCTATGGGGGGGAATAGAGGTGAGATGGAGTTATGGGGGATTATGGGGGAAATGGGAGTGCATGGGGGATTATAGGGGGTGCAGTGCAAAGGGTTATGTGGGATAGGGGAAAATCAGATTGCAGAAGGAGAAATGGGGGGGTTATGTGGGATATGGGGGTGCTGAGGGGCTTATAACGGGAAATAAGGATGCACTGTGGGGGGGTTATGGGGCTTAGGGAGGGTAATAAGGGGGGCTACAGGGGGGAATGGGTGGGGGGGTTTGGGGGTGCAGCAGGTCTGTGGGGCACAGGGAGGGGTATGGGGGTGCCGTGGGGGCTATGGGGTCTCACCGCAGCCGAGCTCGTCGGAGCCGTCGCGGCAGTCGTGCCGCCGGTCGCACCGGTACTCGCCGGGGACGCAGTCGCCGCTGCCGCACGTGAACTCCGTGGCGGTGCAGGGCCGCGGGTGGGGGGTCACTGTGATGGGGGGGGGGGGAACATGGTCAGTGTGAACCCCAACAGCCCCCACCGGCTATGGGGGGGGCGTCAAGGCACACCGTGACATGGCATGGGTTGATATGGGGGGGGTCTGAGCCCCACAACCAAAGCCCCCCCCCACAGGCACTGACCGGCCCCCAGGCGCCGGAACTGGAAGCCATGCGGGGAGGTGACGTAGGAGGCAATGGAGCCCCCGGCCAGGAGGTCCCGCAGGACCCCCCCAAGCTGCTGCTCGTCCCCGTTGCCCTCCGAGCCCACGTCCAGCTCCACAAACACATCACCCTCCAGCTCCCTGGGGGGGGGCAAAGGGGGGGTCAGCACCCCAAAACCCACCCTGAGCCCATAAACCAGCCCCCCATAACCCCCCCCCGGCACCCACAAAACCCCCACAGCATCCCCAAGACATCCCCATCACCCTCAAACAACCCCTGGCAACACACCCCCCCAAAAAAACCTCTCTGCCCCCCCCATTCTCCTGCACCCCCAAACTCAACAGCCCAAACCCCCCCTTGCACCCCAAAACTCCTCCACAGCTCCCTCTAAACCTCCCCATCCCCATAATACCCCCTGCACCCCAAATCTCTCCATCCGCCTTTGATCCCCAGACTCCCCAGCCCAAATCCAACCCCCACACCCCAAGCCCCCCCCGCCATTGGCCCCCCAATCCTCCCCATCCCAATTCCCCCTGCACCCCCAATCTCTCCTGCACCCCCAAACCTCCCCAGCCCTCCCTTGCCCCCCACCTCCCCCCCCAGACCCCCCAAATCTCACTTGATGAACACCACGCTGACCATTTGCTCCCCGGGCACCTTGTAATACTCGGACTCCAGCTGAGGGGTGGGGGGGGCAGAACAAGGGGGGTCAGGGTGCTCCTATGGGTGCCCCCCCCCCCCCCCCAGCGCCCCTAAACTGACCGCATCCACCACGGCCTCCGAGATCTCCCGGAACTCCTCGGAGTCGGGGTCCTCCAGGCGCCGGCTGTAGTCGATGCTGCGGGTGAAGTTCACCAGCGCCCGGAAATAAACTGGGGTGGGGGGGGAGAAATGGGGGGGGGTGTGTCAGAAACAGGCACCTGCACCCCAAAAAATACCCCCCCGTCACCCGATAACCAGATGTGACTGCCCATATTCAGCTGTAATCCCCATATCCAGCTGTGACCCCCATAACCAGATGTGACCCCCATATCCAGCTGTGACCCCCATACCATGCTGTAACCCACCATATCCAGTTGTAATCCCCATATCCAGCTGTGACCCCCATAACCAGCTGTGACCCCCATATTCAACTGTAATCTCCATATCCAGCTGTGACCGCCCATACCCATGCTGTAACCCCCCATATCCAGTTGTAATCCCCATATCCAGCTGTGACCCCCATAACCAGCTTTGACCCCCATATCCAGCTGTGACCCCCATAACCAGATGTGACTGCCCATATTCAGCTGTAATCCCCATATCCAGCTGTGACCCCATATCCAGCTGTGACCCCCATATCCAGCTGTGACCACATATCCAGCTGTGACCGCCCATACCCATGCTGTAACCCCCCATATCCAGTTGTAATCCCCATATCCAGCTGTGACCCCATAACCAGCTTTGACCCCCATATCCAGCTGTGACCCCCATAACCAGCTGTGACCCCCATATCCAGCTGTAATCCCCATATCCAGCTGTGATCCCATATCCAGCTGTGACCCCCATATCCAGCTGTAATCTCCATATCCAGCTGTGACTCCCTTATATCCAGCTGTGACGCCCCCATATTCAGCTATACCCTCCCCATATGCATCTGCAACCCCCATATCCAGCTGTGACCCCCTATTTACCCACATCCCCCCCCAAGGAACACCGGGGGTACACTTGGGGGTGCAACAGGGGGGTCCCCAAGGTGTCACTTACTCAGTGGGGGCTCGTCCTCGGCCACCACCATCCCCGCAGGCACAGGGGGGGGCCCGGGCGCTGCCCGAGAAGGAGGAGGAGGAAGAGGAAGATGAAGAGGAGGAAGAGGAGGATGGAGAAGACAGAGCTTGAGCGCGGTGACAGGCGGGGGACAGGAGCCACCCCTCGGTGCCCCCTTACCGGTGGGTGCCAGCCCCACGCTGGGCACGTGGGTAGCGCTCGGCCATGGTGCGCCGCTGCCGTCCTCCCCGCTGCCATCTGCAAGGGTGGCACCAGGGTGACACCCAGACACGGTGACACCCATCAGGGTGACGCCCCCCCACCCATTGCCACCTTACCCTGGATGCCACCCCAGTGCTGTCTGCAATGGGGACAGCGTGACAGAGCACCAATGGTGACATCCAGCCACGGGGACACCCACCCACCTGATGCCACAAAGTCCCTGGTGCCATTTGCATGGGGACAGTGAGGGGCACCCACCACCAGTGCACCCACCCATGGTGACACTGAGCCCTGGTGACACCCACCCATGGTGACACTGAACCATGGTGGCACCCACCCATGGTGATACTGAGCCCTGGTGGCACCCACCCATGGTGACACTGAACCATGGTGGCACCCACCCATGGTGACACTGAGCCCTGGTGGCACCCACCCATGGTGCCATCCGCTCACCCATTGTCCCCTTACCGCTGGATGCCACCAGGTCCCCGGTGCCATCTGCAATGGGGACTGAGCCAGTGGCACCCCCGGTGACACCCACCCTGGTGGCACCCATCCATAGTGACACCCCCCCATCGCCCCCTTACTGCTGGATGCCACCAGGGCCCCGGTGCAATGGGCACAGAGCGCTCGGCACCCGCGGTGCCACCACGCCGGTGCCACCCTCGGTCCCCCCTTACCGCCGGACGCCACCAGGTCCTCGTCATCGGAGAGGTGCCGGTAGAAGCGGTGTCCCCGCGTGCCCCCGACGTGGTCGGACACCGTGTCCTCGGGGAAGGAGCTCTCGGCCAGGCCCCGGCTGCCCTGGGGACACGCAACAGCGCCGGTGGGTGCCCGCGCACGGCACCGGCACACGCGTGTGCACACACATGGGGTGCACGCTGACACATGGCCAGGGGTATGTATCCACACCAGTATCCGTGTGTAGTGACACAGGGATGGGTGTGCACACTGACACATGCTGTGCACATGCACCACTATCCACACGTGTGACACAGGGATGTGTGTGCACACTGACACATGCTATGCACATGTATCAGCACCACTATCCACACGTGTGACACAGGGATGTGGGTGCACACTGACACATGCTGTGCACATGCACCACTATCCACATGTGTGACACAGGGATGGGTGTGCACACTGACACATGCTGTGCACATGCACCACTATCCACATGTGTGACACAGGGATGGGTGTGCACACTGACACATGCTGTGCACATGTATCAGCATCACTATCCACACGTGTGACACAGGAATGGGTGTGCACACTGACACATGCTGTGCACATGCACCACTACCTACACATGTGACACAGGGATGTGTGTGCACACTGACACATGCTGTGCACATGTATCAGCATCACTATCCACACGTGTGACACAGGGATGGGTGTGCACACTGACACATGCTGTGCACATGCACCACTATCCACACGTGTGACACAGGGATGGGTGTGCACACTGACACATGCTGTGCTCATGCACCACTATCCACATGTGTGACACAGGGATGGGTGTGCACACTGACACATGCTGTGCTCATGCACCACTATCCACATGTGTGACACAGGGATGGGTGTGCACACTGACACGTGCTGTGCACATGTATCAGCATCACTATCCACATGTGTGACACAGGGATGTGCGTGCACACTGACACATGCTGTGCACATGTATCAGCATCACTATCCACATGTGTGACACAGGGATGGGTGTGCACACTGACACATGCTGTGCTCATGCACCACTATCCACACATGTGACACAGGGATGTGTGTGCACACTGACACGTGCTGTGCACATGTATCAGCACCACTAATCACATGTGTGACACAGGGATGTGGGTGCACACTGACACATGCTGTGCACATGTATCAGCACCACTATCCACATGTGTGACACAGGGATGTGTGTGCACACTGACACATGCTGTGCACATGCACCACTATCCACACGTGTGACACAGGGATGTGTGTGCACACTGACACATGCTGTGCACATGCACCACTATCCACACGTGTGACACAGGGATGTGCGTGCACACTGACACATGCTGTGCGCATGTATCAGCACCACTAATCACATGTGTGACACAGGGATGTGGGTGCACACTGACACATGTTGTGCACATGTATCAGCATCACTATCCACATGTGTGACACAGGGATGTGTGTGCACACTGACACATGCTGTGCACATGCACCACTATCCACATGTGTGACAGGGATGTGGGTGCACACTGACACATGCTGTGCACATGCACCACTATCCACATGTGTGACACAGGGATGTGCGTGCACACTGACACATGCTGTGCACATGTATCAGCATCACTATCCACATGTGTGACACAGGGATGTGCTTGTGCACACGCATTCACACTGCTACACGTGTGCACCCATCAGCCCACACCTGCACACACGCATGGGCCCCGCACATCGCCCCACACCTGCGCACACGTGTGTACATCACTCATCGCCCCACGCCTGCACACGTGTGTGCATCACTCATCGCCCCACGCCTGCACACGTGTGTGCATCACTCATCGCCCCACGCCTGCACATGCGTGTGCATCACTCATCGCCCCACGCCTGCACACGTGTGTGCATCACACATCACCCCACGCCTGCACACGTGTGTGCATCACACATCCCCCCACGCCTGCACACGTGTGTGCATCACACATCACCCCACGCCTGCACACGTGTGTGCATCACACATCACCCCACGCCTGCACACGTGTGTGCATCACACATCACCCCACGCCTGCACACGTGTGTGCATCACACATCGCCCCACGCCTGCACACGTGTGTGCATCACTCATCGCCCCACGCCTGCGCACACACGTGTGTGCATCACTCATCGCCCCACGCCTGCGCACACACGTGTGCAGCCCCGGCCGGTGCCCCCGCGCCGCGGTCAGGAATCCGTCTGGGCAGCACTTTCTGAGCAAACAAGTGCTGGGGGATTAATGTGGGGCAGGGGGGGGACGGGGACAGACGGGGGGGGTAAAGGGGGGACACGAGGGGGGCATGAGAGGAACCCGCACCCCAACCGTACCCAACACCGGTATCAAGCGTGTGGGTGCTCAGCCATCATCCACCCATGCATGCACTGAGGGTGCCTGGGCTCTGCCTTCACCCCCCCATGCACGTACTGAGCGTGTGGGTCCTCTGCTACAGCCCCACACACGTGCAATGAGAGCGTCTGTGCTCGGCCATCAACCTACACACGGGCACTGAGTGTGTGCGTGCTCACACAGCCATTGCTCCCATACCCATGCACAGAGCGTGTCTGTGCTCAGCCCCATCCGGACAAGCACACACACACACACACACGCACACTCACACACGCACACTCACACACGCACATTCAGTCACACACATACACACACACACACTCACACACACTTGCACACACTCACAAAAACACACGCGCACGCTCACACTCGCGCACTCACACACACTCACACTCACACACTCGCGCACACACAATCACACACACTCAACACTCGCAAACTCGCACACACAATCACACACAGTTACACACACTCACAATCACACACAGTCACAGACGCAAACTCAGTCACACGCACACAGCCACACACACTCACACTCGCACACACACACACAGTCACAGTCACACAGACACACACACACAAACACAATCACACATTCACAATCACACAGTCACAGTCACACACTCATACTCACAATCACACAATCACACTCAAAAACACTCAAAAACACGCACACTCACAATCACACACACACAATCACACACACACACTCACACACACACTCACAGTCACACACTCACACACACAAACACACACAATCACACACTTAAACACACACACACAGTCACACACACACATACAATCACACACACACTCAAAAACACACACACACAATCACAGTCACACACACATACAATCACACACTCAAACACACACTCACACTCACAGTCACACACTCACACACACTCAAACACACACAATCACACACTTAAACACACACTCACACACAATCACAGTCACACACACACATACAATCACACAAACACACACTCACACACACAAACACACTCACACACACAAACACTCTCACACACACTCACACACACACACAATCAACAGTCACACACACACACTCAAAAACACAATCACACACACACAGTCACACACAATCACACACAATCACACTCACACTCTCTCTCTCTCTCTCCCTCCCTCACCCATTCCCGGCTCCCGTTACCGGAAGCTCCCGCACCGGACACCCCCCCCCCCCCCCCCGCCCCCTCCCGGACGCTGCCGCCGCC